CAAGAGGCTTACAATGCGGGCTACATTGTGCACATTGATGTTGACAGTGAAATTCTTGACGAAGAAAAGAAAATGACTTTAGCAGAGGAATTCCACAGTTTTGTGGAAGATGAGGAAGTAGAAGACAGCCGACCTGGCAACCTGAGCTCTCATGTAATTGAAAAAGAGATGGTACTGTATGAAACAAGCAAAAAGAGACCTGAAAACCTTGAAAAGTTGTACGCTGCCCTAAAAACAATTAAACCCACGTCAGTCGAGGCAGAAAGAGCGTTTTCTGCTCTTGGATTTTTCGCAAACAAAATAAGAAGTCGTATGAACGATAACACCCTAGATGCTTTAATATTTCTGCGTCGATATTACATGAAATAAATATGTGATTTTATGGACCTTTCCCCGACCTTTGACCCCCGGAAAATTCTTCCTATACTTTACCATTGCAAAATTTTCGGGGCTATTTTAAGAGTGCTTTTGCGAGTTGGCGCCTGTAAAATGGGGTATGTGTTTCAAACCATCATTATAATTCATCGCATACAACAATCTGTTTTTTAAAAGTATCGGTAAAGAATTTCAGGATAGTCTATCACAGCTATTTCTACACTAATTTTCATTACTGCAATTAAATTAAAACTCCTAGGAAGACAGAGTAATCATTGAATTATCTGATTTTTATTTAAGTTTCCGAAACACAACTGAAAACTAACAAATAGAGTTCAAAAACGCGAAAACGAGGTAATGTTTACAACCACGCTTGAAAATCTGTCTGAGTGAGAAAAGTGTCTGAGCGGATGCGAAAAGGGGGCATTGTTACGTCACTTTTTACATCTTGCTGATTGGCCAATGTCACGAGGTAAACAAGGAAGTCGATGCTCGAGGAAAGGTCCATTGTGATGCAACTTGTTTCAGTCTTTTACTCAATCCCGGGATTTTACGGCTCAATCCCTGGGTATCCCGATACCGTGATTTCAAAAACTAGTCCCGAAATCCCAACCCTACATACAATTGAGCTTTAAATACACCTTAATACAACAACTCCTCGTTGAGTTGCCTAATATAACTAAATTGAACTAATATATCATAAGTAATAAATTCAAAAAAACTATCAAGCTCATGAATTAGCTAAGCACAGGTTTGAAATACATATTTATTGGGAATGAATAGCCACTTATTAATTTAGTTGGAGACAGTCACATGTATTTTCTATAAGGTAGGAGAAAAATATTTTGGAGTACTGTATTTGGAGGCGGAGCTCAATTTCAGTTTTTCAAATGTCAATTCAAAACAGCAGCGTATTACGACTTTCATGCGAAATAAATAATTTTAATGCAGCTGCAGCTAACGCAACAGCGTATTGAAATGAAAAATTATTACGAATCACATTCAAAAATACGGCCTCGATAGCATCAAGCCGTGTCTCATTTTGCCCGTTTGACCTTTGCACAAAAAGTCGTTGAAACTCGTCTTCTCGTGCTTTGCTCTTGTTTGGTGGCTGCGTGATTCGGCAAAGCGGTATACAGGTTACACAGTACCGTACCGTACCGTAGCAGTCATGACAGCATGAAGGAATGCAATACAGTACATTCAGAAATCGGTAGAGGGGCTAGTTCACTAAACGCTGACAGGTAGATCATTCTAGTTAATGTGGCATAATCATTTTCGCATAATATGTCATTTCCAACCCCCCCAGACTGGATTCCATGGCAGGTCTGCAGGTGCATGCCGAGGGCGCTAGCGCTAAATGCACGCGAGCGAATTTAATTCCCCCCCCCCCCCCCCGAAATGTAACAACAATTTAATCAATAATCCAGTAGGGTGGTGTAGCCAGTCTGCGGACGATTTCATTCAAACGGCTACCGGTATAAAACAAAAACCAATATTTCTAGCCTGTCAATTTTTTCATCGTAGGTGCATTGGCATTTATTCTACAAGCTAAACCTCGAATTAATTTCCATGACTAGGGGTTAAAGCTATACAAACCACCAAAGTATGACACTCGGAAGACATATTTGCGACCGAACGACCAGTGTGCGACCACGGATTTCAAGCCTTGAACACTGTTTTTGCTGCGTCGAGACTAGAGCATACGCAGCCATGCGTGAAAAAATTGGGCTTCTACTTGCATTTCTGACCGTCATATATTTTAAGAACACGGTCATTTTGAACAAAACTTATCAATTTATATACAAAGCACCGCATCACAGTAATCAAACAGATAAAAACATGGTGGCCGCAAATTGGTAGACAAAGATATTATTGACGTATTGGAAATGCGCACCCCCCTATTCCCCCTCCTTTAAATGTAGAAACACGAAAATTTAAAGATGGGTAAAAGAAACACAACTCTACCCCCTTGCCAAGTTTCATATTTTTATCTCTTATATTTGTATGGATTTTCAAGTTTTTTCAATGGGACAATGGGTAGTTGGCGACATGAACAAATGGTCCGTTTTTTATCTTCGGTCGGGTTTTCGGTCGTAACTTTTTTGTTTGTGGCCGCATTTTAGTGTAATTTCGCAGAGCTATGAGAGACAAGTGGACGAGAACGCTTGAGAAATATCGTCACGATTTGTTAATTTTTTCAGCATTAATTAGATCGATGAAGTTGATAGTCACAAATAGGTCGTGGCCGCAAAGTGGGTAAGCCACCCGAAAAGAAAGATGCCAAAGAACTATAACTCCACAATTGTCGACTAATACTAGCTTGCACGATTTGGCCTGATCGAAAAATGCAAAGCAAAAAAGACCATATCGTGGTGAATGATAGTAATCATGTGAGAATAGTTATGGGCGAAAAGATCGCATCCTCACTGACGCTGGCCAGTTACGGCTCTGATTCAGCGTATTTTCATACAATAATTTTACACGGATGTACTGAGCAGTATCGGTATTTAAAGTCACACAAACACTCTCAAAATAAATGACAAAGTATAGAATTAATGTTTGGGGTCAAAGGTCAAACGTCCATTTTTTCTCTGATTTGACGTATTTTTTATCCATTAATTTTATGTAAAAACACTGCCAAAATTAATGACAAAGTATGTCCATTTTGCTCTGATTCAATGTAATTTTTATCCAATAATTTTACGCGGATGTACTGAACAATACCGGTATCCAAAGTCGCACAAACAAACAAAATTAGCGACAAACTGTAGAAATAATGTTTGGAGGTCAAAGGTCAAACGTCCATTTTTGCTATGATTCAATGACTTTTTTATCCAATACCGCTAAATTTACGCGGATGTATTGAGAGATATCTAATGTCAAAGTCAGTTGCACGCGGGTGCAGTTGTTTTGCACGCCGTGAACTATGATTGCACACCAGGAATTCTTATTTGCACGCGGGAATTTCTGATTGCAAGCCCGATTTCTCGTTCAAAAAGGCCATGAAATCCAGACTGGCTAACCCCCACCTCATTATATCATCCATAAATTACATCACTACAATATCACAGTGACCAAATAAGGCCCGTCGAAGTATTTTTTACGGATCGTCATTCAAAACGTGCAGACGAACACTCAAGCAAGCTGTTTCTCTCGTTTTCTTGCCGTAACGATCCCGATATGAGAAAGATTGCTGGCGTTAGCGAGTTCGTTGGCGGAGATGCCATTCTGAGTGATGGTAGCTTTTCTTTGACAATCTCTATGGTGTGATTGTGACGTCGTAGTGACGTAATTTTTAGATGACGTAGCCAGGTGGGGGTTATGGATAACATATGCAAAAATGTTTGTGCCACGCCAACTAGAAGTACCGTACTACGGCATTTAGTGAACATGCGCCTCGGTAGTCTACTGATATCAGGGGCACAAAATTATTATATTCATCTGTATAAATATTACTTCGTGAACACTTTATGCCGTCAAAATATATAGACTATAACTTCAGAACTAAGCTGATACATTCTACGCAAATGCAATAGCCTAACGAGCTCGATGTGGGCTGGCCTCCCACGAGTGTGGGCGAGCATCACACAAGCCTCAAGTCAAATTCAAGTTTCACTTTCCTTGTCGATACTGGCAGACATTTCATCAGGCATTTCACTAATACTGTGCAAGTGCAGCAATACGATTTTTTTGATAGTATGACACTCTGTGTCACCATACTTTAATGGTTAGGCCCATTGCAAAAAACAGTTTCATGGGCCTGCACTATGCACCAATAATAGATATATTTTATTGTCGGGGCTATTCTTGGAATCGGAGAACTGTGCTGTACTGATGTTGCTGATGTTTATATAATCATTGTCCAACTATGCCTTTATTAATGAATCAAATCTATGTATTTAGATCACCATTATTTTTTGCTTTATGTAGCAGCTGCTTATTTACAGTTTACACCAGACATACCCATGTTCGATGTACACATTTAATTGGTTAACTAATAGTTATTGCTATACACAATCAAACTGTTGCTTGTGAAGGGAAGGAAAAATGTGAAAAAGTGTTGTAGGCCCTATTAGAGAATCATGATAAAAATCACAGATGTTTTATTGTTGTGTGCTCTAAGAAATCCTATCGTAATCATGAAAATGTTGTATTTTACAGCCTATCTATTTCTAATTAGCATAATTTGTATAAGCATGCACACCTATATCAGCAGCAAACCAGCAACTAAAATAAATTCGTTACGAAATCGTCCCATTGTTCATAGTCACCAGGAAAAAAGACCTGTTGCTCAGTCTCCAGTGGAATTCCGAGACAATTTGTGCCAGCAAGATACCTGTCCACCTAAGTTAATCTTCGGTCAAGGTCTGAACGTTTCACCAATGAATCGTAGTCATTCTCCAATAACCCCACAGCATGAAAATAACATTAAATTTGTTAAAGAAGAATGGGAGAAGGTGAAAGCAGATTTAAATAATACAGACACTCAGCAACAAAGAAAAGGATGTGTGCAATATGTTGAAAGACATGAATGTATTAATCCTGATTTTCAACCATTTGATCTTGAGGAATTTTGGGGTGAAAGACTGTTGCGTAAAGTTTTAGACAGTGATACACAATAACGTTAATTAATATCATTTTATAATGGGAAAATCTTGCATATGTTGGTAGAATATTTTGAAATGTTTTGGCTTAAGATAATCTAATAGGCAACGTTTTCTAAACTAATATTTCTGTTTGACTGATTGATAATGTAATATTGTTGACGGAAAATATCTTTCCATTATTTAATTTTACCTTGCCGCTGCCAAATCAACTTTTATCGAGGACAAAGATTCTTGCTGTGATAAATTGTTACCGCCAGGCCATTGCTCTTGATTTATTTGACGTTGAGCTTCATGGCTCATTTTTGTTCATGTAGATGCTTGTAATAATGTCATCCCAAATTTAGTGTTTCTTTACTTATTGACTCTAATTAGATCAATAACTTTTTCCATTTTCCTTCCAAAATCTATAATTATATATATATGGAACGCTGCCATAAATTTCCTGCTACCAGATTTCGAATACCATTGAATATTATCATTATTATTACAAGAATATTGATTATATGAATAGCTCATTGCACTCTAAGGTGTTTGTTCTTTCCTATCATGTGTGAATAAATTACTCATGTGCTTGTCCCTTGGAGAATTAACATGGCCATAGTTTGTTAATTACTGTTATATGACATGAGTTGTCATCGAAGGTTTTTCCATCCCCTCTCGCCTCTGCTTTCGAATCTTTCCTATAGAAGATGCTATTAACAAATTTGCATAATTCCATTCTACAGTAACCTATTTTTAATATGACAGTGACACAGAATTTTTTGTAATGGTATCCATAGGGAATCACTCAAACAAATATTTACAATCTTTGAAGAAATTAAATCAATATCTAGGGTTAATTTTCTCAAATGTTTGAATTTATTTCAATCCATGCAGCTATAAAGGGTAATTTCTGGAAACAAGTTTTTTTGACGAATATAAGTAATTTGTACCTTGCGTAATAATTTATATTTCACAAAATAGATAATTGTGTTGACTTAAAATGAATGCATTGTGCATTAATATATGCTGTTTTGTTCACTTTTCAATTTTCTGTCAGTTAAGACAACAATATACATCTAATTGAGTTATAGTTTTTCCCAAGTTTCGCAAAGTTCTAGTTTGATTTTTGGTACAAATTAGAGAATTATTTTAAATTGTTCAATCCTTTTTCGAATAAATTTTATTCATATTATCAATACATAATATGACTCTATGAGGTTCTAATCAAATATAGATGGAAAATAGTTGCAGGAGAAATTAAGGAGTTTTTGTGATTCTCGTGCCATATTTTTCGATTATACTCTTCATTTCTATCTTGTATAATTCGGATTGTTTGGTGTGATGTTTTCATATTCAATTGTTTTTTTTTCAATATTGCATTGAGTTTTATCAGCCGCACCAATTTGTTTTGTCACATTGACACAATTAGGGAAATATTATGATTTAAACATGAGAGTCCCCTGTACTGAATGAACTCAAAACTTCAATTATACAGAATCTGGTTGGAATGGTTATACATGCCAGCTTGCAACCAATTTATCTCATCCTCACATTTATATATAATTTTGAAATATTGCTTCTCTTTTTTGCACGCAGGCTTTGTAAATATATCGGGCTTGTATTAGGAGAAAGAATCATTTTTTTTAATTGGAATCCGCAATGTTTATAACATTATGGTATTTCCACCGAGAAACCTATTTTCACTTTTGGGTTCACTTTATTTTTGTGAAGCTAATAGTTGAGAAAAATTTTTTTTTTCAAATTTGGTTGAATTTCAGGTTTTGCAATTTTTGAATGTTAATCATTTTTTTGAGTGCACCATTCTTAATTGTGAGGTTGTCATTGTATAATACAAACTATTTTTATTAATATAGTAAAACAGTTGCACAAAGTATCGACTAAAAATATTTCAATTTGTAATCAAAATAGCTTTCTATATACACTCCTACCTTTATACATGCATTATTTTCATCATTCTGGACTGGTTGGAAATTTATAGTTACTCTTTATACTAATATGTTTATAAAGATTGTCAGACTAAAATAATTTGAAAAAATCTCACTAGATCTTAGTTCATTGGTAAAAAGTGTTAAATTTCACACAAAAACAGTATTTTCAGTCACAGAAAAGTCTGATTTTAGAATTTGCATTGACCTTCTGTACAGTTTTTTTGGCATTTATATTGAATTGTTGCCTAAGAAGATGTATGTCAAGTATTCCTTTTCATATATGGTGGTATTTGGTATTTTATCTTTTTATTTTCATTTTGTGGTGTGATTTGGATTTCCGCTTTCATCTGTGTTATTTATTAAAAGTTTATTTATCTAATATATAATGGATGCTCGAGAAGTAAGGATGGATTCAGAGTTCGACCAACATATCATTGATATGAAACCTTACGTCCTGAGATTGCAGCATAAAACTGGTAAGACAATTGTAACTAGAATTTAATGCCAACAAAAGGGGCTACTGCTAGAAGTTCCATTTTTGTTGTTGTAGAGCAGCAGTTCCCTACGATGCTAGACGCAAAACTGCCTCCTTTACAAGAAAATTCAGTTCTTCTTCATTGCTTGATAAGGTTATTTTTACAGGGTGTTTTCACTTTGTTTTGCATGAATTATGTGAACATGATAGGATTTGGAATTTACCAATCAAAATACCCCTATAAATATCGCTGGAATGATACGCAGGGCCGCCACAACGGTTGGGAATCACTGTTGTAGAGACTGTCATGGATTGCAGTTTTTTCGGATTCTATTAATATTATTTATATATTTTTTCACACAGAGAGACAAAGATGTGCATTGTGGATTAAAAAACTATGCGAGCCACCATTGTCAACAGCTGATAGGTAAGATGTACAAGCAAATGTAAGCTACAAACCTCAACAATAACATATCCAGAGTATCGATTCGATTACCGGTAATTGTTCGAGATTGGGTCATTTTCAAAGTGGTCCATGTTCAAGTCTGCCAAGTATGGTTTCTAGATCAGCTATGCTTCTAACCCTTATCTTCATCAATTCTATAGGTCTAATATACTTTATTAATTTTGTTAAAATACTATCTAAAGTTACTGTATTTCATGACATCTTGCTCGGAAATGTTATTTTTTTCATTCTAGATTTATGCTCAAAAATCACAATTTTGATTATCTTTTTTTGTTTGCAGAAACAATCGCAATCTCCATGCAAAACTTCTACTTCATATGTTGAAAAGAGGACTTCTTGATGGTCCGTTTGCTGTAAGGCCAGAAGATGGTCAACTGAAAACTCTTCCTTCATATATGGTAAACACGTATTACGTATTTTGGGTGTAATGTTGTGAAATCCGATGAGCAAATTCTTTACAGATCACCAACTCGAGTGGCTTTGTATAAATCTAATGTTCACAAATGAAGCATATAACACATTAAAATAATGACAGCCAAATACTTAATACAACCAAATACTCAAATCAGTTCGATAGAAAATAACATAAACATGTTTGAGACGGGATAGGAGAAATGGCATAACCCAATACATAATTTAGTTTCATGGTATAATCAAATTATTATTAATTATAATTTTTAGTCAATATTTTTCAATGAACCATCATCGACATCTGACCATATGCATCTAACTGAAGAAATGTATCAAGAAAATTCAAAATTTGCTGCAACTGAAACCCCTGATTGGGTACGTTTGGAACTCGATGGATCATTGCCAGTACTGTCAGGTAAATTATAATCTAGTGATTTTTCAATTATTAAAAATAAACTGCAACTTTAATGAAATTAAATTCATTTTTGTTTGGTATCTTCTCAGCAAAATTGAGCCCCGACTGCATATGGATAATAACTCAGGACATTAAATACTGAATTACCTATGTATTATTCAATTGCAGTAAAGTTACGTCGCAGATCAACATTTAATAAACATACTTTGATTTTCAAACATCTGTAGAATCATGAAATAATTCAAACCATACGTCATGTTCATATTCGCTACACTTATTGAAATCAGTTGGTGTGAATTATTTCTATGAATTGCTGTGTTTTCATTATTAACTCTATTGTTCAGTTTTTACTGCTTGTTGTAATGATGTCCCATTTCAAGGTTCAACAATTGCGTCATCATTTTAGGTTCAAAAGAAAATATAGATCCTCAAAGTGATTACAGGACGTCATCACCTCGCCAACATTCATTGAGATTATCAAGGGTAAGGCCAGTCATTTTCAAATATTCATTGTTGATCGTGAAATCTGCTTTGATAACCAGTATCCATATCCAAATAATTGGGTACTGTAGATTTTTGGGATTTTGTCATAATATTTTGAAATTTGACATTGTGTTGGAATAGCAATGTCACGATATACGCTGTGTTTTACTTACTATTTTCATGATTTCCTACAAAGGTAAATTTCACGAGTCAGTTATTTTCTTGATAACTCCTAACAAAGTTTTCCAATAAATACTATTTTTAACTTTTGATCTTCATTCATTGTTAATCCTTATGTGCTGTGTGAGGTATGACATTGCATATTTTTTGTTGGTTGCTAATGAACCGTATTTTCCTCAAAACTGACTACTGTTACTAAGTTTAAACTGCCAAAATATTTAAATATCTGCCCTTCCTCTTGATTTTAGTGTTGTTCATTCAATAAAATTATGAATTAAAATCAATTGTGCTAAACACACTACAATAAAAGCAATCAACATTTTTGAGGAGCTCTTTTGTTAGATTACTTTGAACTTACTGAAATTTATCTTTATTTAGTCTGATGTTCCTTCATTCAATGGCAGAGGAAGAGTATCACCTGTAAGTATGAGAATAATATCTTGTTTGAAGTTTTTATCATAAAATTTTCTTATGATAGGGTGTCATATTCAATGAAATATTCTTACTATACATGAGCCATTGCACTCAGATAATCGATAATCAGATTTGGAATTTCCGAACCTCAAAATCAAAATATCCATGATCTTTTCCCCAATTTTTAATTTGATATACTTACTATAGGTATCTATTTTTAAATTGTTTGAATTTGGCAAAGTAACATTATTATTATTCAGGACATATTTATTTGGTGTATTGGAAACATTGGTACCGTACTGTTTAAATTTCAGACGATTTTATTGTGTGAAAGTCCATAAAGATTTCGTAGTTTAGATTTCCCCATAACTCTCACTTGACAGGGCTGGTATTCATGTATAAAATATACTGATAAAATACAATCAAATTGAAAATTTTTTGCATCAGCAATCACAAGAGCGTTTTAAAATAGTAATATAGCCTATATATTATTGTTGTTTCAAATATCTTGTTTACAGATTAATAGGCCATGGGAGCAACCAACCAATGAAGCTTTCAAAGGTTTGTACATATATCCTATATCCTTGCATTTAAGCCGATCTCCTAAAAACGACCCTAAAACGATTAATTCAATAAATTTTGCATAGCCCATAGGTCGACCCTACAAATCGTACGCTCTTTATTGTGAGGAATTAGCATGGTTCAGGTCATAGCTGTTAGCTGTTGGAATCAGGTTAGCATAATGCCATTTCGTTTGAGTGCGATCAGAGTTAATGTGCGTATGAGCTGACCCTTTAGTTTGGCAACTTTTTTTGAGTTTCAAACTTGTCTCGTATGCTATCGGTAAGTATGTTGATAGGTATTTGTCTGTCTGTCTGTTAGATGCACGCGATATCTCACGAAAGCGATATTGAATCTGCTCCAGCTTTTGCATGTGCATTCTTCATATCTCGGACCAAAAGCCTATTGATTTTGGGCGAATTATGTCATATTATTAGCATTTAGCAAGTTATTAATTAATTAATGATGGGACACAAGGTGTCACTATGGAGCAAGAGGGCTGTTTTGGGCGATCCCCTAACTTTCGATCGATAAGTCTTCGGTCTCTGACCAATATTCTCGTAACTATATTGATAAGTCCTATGTTGATTCCACTGGACCAGCAGTACTTTTCAATGTTTACCTTCTGCCAATTTTATAAATTACAAAATAATATGTTCTTATTTGTTTTCAACTTTGGATAATATTCAACCAATATTACTAACACATATCCTTCTCACGATACTTTGCCAGTCGTCTATTTGTTGTTTGCTCAATTTGAATTGACAGTTATTTGGATCTCAATTTGAGATTCTCAAATAGTTTGAAGAGTTTTACAGTCAGGCATGTCATTTTAGTAGGCAGATTTTTATCAGTGTATATAAATAGGGATGAGGTGAAATTTTAGCAAAAAATTTGGTCTCTCTTTGGAACTAAGGTGAAGATTTGAATATTTTATCACGTCAGCATATTGCTTTCAGTCTGGGATGATCATTTCCCATTTTTGACTCTAGGTTGATTAATCATTGATTAAAGTTAATTGTAAAGATCAAAATAGTGAAAGGACTTTTAAAATAAAAATAAAGGTCTTTGTTTGACTTTGTCTAGTTGTTTTGTGAGTTCCCTCTCTTTGTATTATTTTGTTTTCATAGAAACAAAGGTTGTGTACGTTTGTTACTGATTTGTTATTGTTGTCGTTAAGCACTGTTAAAACTTACGTAGCGAATCTGTCTTCGAGCTTTTGTTTTATTAAGTTCACTGGATTGTAGCACCCAAGCAGTCTGCTATTTAGAAATTCGTATTTGGGCATTTATAGCTTTTAATGCATTTTAAATAGAAGCTAATAGATTCATAGACTATAAACTTTAATGACTGGTTTAGAAAACCTATATGATATGGATGTATTAGGTAAGTGAAATTGTTAGTAATTCCAGTTACTTGAGTTGTCAGAGTAATTTGGATTGGGAGTTTTGTGGCTTAGTATCAATTATAATAATAATGAATAATTAGTATACTCTTTAAACTTTGGGTATGAGAGTTCTCACCTGATTTAGCGGGAATATGCTTGATTTGAAAAAACACAAGTTGTCTTCTTAGAAATCATTGTGTAAATGTGAGACGTGCTGAAGTGTGTGGTATTAGTATCAGATTGCAAACTATTTTTTTTTGTAATTCTGTATGTCTTAAGATTGTACCACAAAAATATATTGATGTGGAGCCTTCCTAAAAAATGTTATAATTTGTCTTCCTCAACTTGGGGTTATGAAATGTACGGGTGTTATTAGTTAGTGTTGTTGAACTCTAACATTACTGCAGGGATCTCTACAGTATGTTATGAACAAAGATTTTCAAAGAGTCCATTTCAATTAACAGAGTTACATAATTATTGCCATTTCAAAAAAGTGGGTCCCAAGGAATTCAGATAATCAAAATTAAAATTCTAAAATACTGAATCATTTAGATATAGATATTGTATGGAAAATCTTGGTGAATATTGAATCAAAAATGAAGATATTCAATTTATATTTCAGGTCCATCAACATTCAGAGACGAACAAAGTCTAATAAGAATGCATGAAAAAGAGGTCAGTGTTCTCTCCCACAGTGGGAATGATAATAAATAGCTGTCTGCTCTTATTACTCTTATTTTTTCAACCATATAAGATATATTTCAGAAATTCAGAAGGTTTATTGACTTTTGTTTGATACTGCTTGTATGAAAAGCAGAAGAAGGTCGCCAGACATACAGTTTTCAAAACTTTAAAGTTTGTTTTATTTTTCAGTTGGAAATGAAAAGCAAAGTATTACAAGCGCAGTTTCATGAAGACAAATTAAAATTACAACATAAACATGATATTGCAGTACAAAAGGTAAGAAATTATTTTTAAGTAGTTTTCAATCAATAAAGCACTACTATTAGTAAAACTTCTATTAAATTACTATTTAAATTATTCCATTCTATGTTATGTTGAGCAGTTTTATACAGTTAGAAATTGCAAATGCTTTCAATTTAAACTCACTTTGCTTTAAAACACTCATGCTTTGAAATTACCTTCCAATTTCCTGAATTGATTATTTAAAGATTTATAAAATATACAAATTTGGAACTGGAAATTTTACTGGAAAGGATAACGTAGCTAACTCTATGATACATATTAAAATATATTTGAATATCTTTGCTTTAAGATACTAGATCGAAAAAACAGTGAAATAGAAGAATTGAAGCAACACTATAGAAATAAAGATAAAGATCATGAAGAATCTACAATCAAAGCTGATAGGCGAGGTTCAAAATTAAATTTGAAAAAATCGTACTAAGATACTATATAGCTATAAACAAGAAAACTCAGAAGTTCACTGACTGAGGAATGGGAAACTATGCATTGGCTTGAATTTTTTGATCGATGTTTTGTAATTATCCCAGAGAGAGAAAAGCTGTGAATCGGCTCAATGATATGGTGAACTGTGCGATCTTACCAGTTGGTTGAGTCTGGTTACCAGTTCATGTCGGGTATGAGATTAATTAACTGGTTATTTATGCCAAATGCATGGGCTTGATCGTTGGCGAAGCAAGCTGTAACGAGGCTATCCAACAGTTACGTGATCCATCTTATTGTGAGACGTCCAGTAATCCTCTTGCATATAGGAATGTGCAAACTTGCACAGGGCTATTAGAGGTGTTATTGCTAGGTTGTTGCTAATGCGCCACGCCGGGATCTTTACAATCTTGAAGAGTTATTCTTTATTTATCTAATGCTGCAAACTCTACCCACAGAACTCAAATCATTTTTAAAAGCCAATGAGTTTTGTTTTTAATATCTTTCATGTTTAACAATTCTAGCACAATCATTAGTGAAAGAATTACAAATGCTCCGAGAAACAAAAGACAAACAAATTGATGAATTAAAATTAATGTTGGATGAAACAACGGAAGCAGCTAAGGCAGAATATGAAGCTAAAGTAAGTTTGATATTTTCTGGACTGATGATCAACCTTTCCAATTCCATTCAATTGATCATTTCATATACAGTGAACATATTTCTTTCTGAATTGACTTCTTTTGTCATCTGTAAGTTTGAGCAAATTTCTGTGGGCCTATGAAGTTTGTTTTTGTGTGCAATGATGTCCTCAAAAATTTCGCACCTTGTTGCAGTTCTGCTTTCGCGTTGGTTGTGAAGACTGCTATACCGTTAGTCTACTGTGACATATTGCATACCCGTACTACTTCAGAAGGGAGCCGAGATGCGCAGTTCGGGTGGCGTCACCTCACTCTTCGGCTCGGTCTCGTGTTCTGAAGTAGTACTGAATTTTTGTTCAGTTTCCGCGGCACTTTTGACTAGAAATTTTGTTTGACTACCCAATTGTTCGAGTATCGAGTGTTCAAATAAAAATGATTGAGGTGTGGTCGTGGGTATAAATAACATGTCTTTCATTATCAGGTGCAAGAAGCACTGGGTGGTTTTGAAAGAGACAAATATGAACTTCAGAAAACACACACAAAAAATATCCAACAATTACTTGATGACACAAACCAACGACTCATGAAAATGGAAGATGAATACAATGCTCAGACTACTGCTACGGTAAGTGCATCCAAGATGGCCATTTAAAACAGACATTTCAATTATTTGAATTTTTAGAAGAGATCTTTTTTGTTCAGCTTTAATTTAAGAATTCGGTTAATCTTGTAAATTGTTAAAAGACTTTTGACAAGCTTAATTTCGTTATTGGATAGTGTTTATTTTAGAATCCCATGATCAGTTTAGTACTGTTAGATCAGTTCAGCTCTCTACTTTTACTTTATATCAGCAGTGGACTGAATATGCACATTGACGGTAGCGTACAGGCCGCATTTATGTCCTCCTATGAGCAATGCCACATTAAACTTCAAATTATGATGCACTTGCAATTTCTGTTTCCGTGTTAGATACAACTACCACTAGGGATGTTTGGCGAGTAAATCGTACACCACTGATATTTGCTTCGCTAATCACTACAAAACAAACACCTCACAACAGCTTTTATTATGACATACATTTGTGCGCAGATAATAATAATTTTTGAGCAATTTTTGTTTTCAAGTATTAAAAGGGAGGTTGTTCGAGGGCCACAAAATATTTACTCAGGACTCCAGGAGCCACTGTTATATTCATTTTAAAATTTTATTTGGAAGCTTTGTCTATTGTCAATTGTTTCATCATAAAGGCATTGACATGGATAATGAATTTATCCTGTAAATTTCGTTCTGATGAGTAATTTCATTTTTTTCTTAATAATTTTTCATAGAAAATGGTTACAAGTGAGTTGGAATGTAGAGTATCTCAATTAACACAAGAAACTGAATCATTATCAATGGCAAAACAATCGTTGATGAATGATAAAGAACATGCTGAAAGGTTACTTGAAAATGCTGAAAAGAAAATTAGGCAGCTCGAAGAAAAGTAAGTTGTACCGAAATATTCCTATGTAAGGGCTTGTTGAAGATTTTATCATTAGGGGGAGGTTGGGATAGGATTTTCATTGTTATCCCTTAGGAGAGGAAAGGCGATAATACGACTTAATTATATGGCGAGCTATGGCCTTTCATCTGGTTACTAGTCCATGTCGGGTATGGAAATAGTCTACCAAGTATTCGTTTAGATGCATGGCTTCGATGGTAAGTGAAACCGTTACCGACCAGAGCTTACATGAACCACCCTATGATGACAAGGAATCCAGCAATCCTCTTACACATAATTATCCACACTGGATTAGAACCTGTAAACACGTGCAGGGTAACCTGTAAACACGTGCAGGGTAACCTGTAAACACGTGCAGGGTAACAAGATGTGCGATGTCTAGCGTATTCCTAATGCTTAGCATGATGCGACAACTGTTTAATAATCAAAATGTTCGTCATGTTAACAGATACAGCAATTTAGAAAAAGAATTCAAACTTGAAAATGAAAATCATGATCTGCAAATGAAATCTCTAATGAATAAATTTGATGCAAATTCTGAGTTTTTGAAACAGGAAAGTAATTTGTCGCTGAATAAGGTGAATATTGTACAGGTTTTGTATTTATTATTTTTCTGGCCTGACCATTTTACCTGTTTTCTCATTAATTTCGTCACATGGAAGGACTGATGAAATCTGGTCCTTTTCTTCACCAAATTTTCTCAGGCACAAGAGACAGCTCGAGAGTTGGAAGATCAGATACAAAGTTTAAAGCATGGATTACAAGACAGCGAACAACAAAGAATGAGAGAGCTTCGTGTAAGATTTGGAAGTTATATGATTTAGTGTAAACCTGGAACACTGGTTGGCAATTATCATACCACACTTGACATCATACCCAAATGAGAGTTGGTTAAAATATTACCAGTGGTTTTCAAACTTTTTAAGCCGCGTCTTGTTTTTTGAATTTGTTAAGTCTCGCACTCCATCTCAAAAATAACTAGCCTAACCATAGCTACAAATAACAGATAGTAAGGCAAAAGTATGTTTTATTCTAAAAACACATTGAAAATATGTGGATAGAACGTGAATATCCAAAATAAAGAAATGTAAATTGAGGCGGGCAAGATCAAATCTAACGAATATTTTTATTTTTAATTAGCCTCTTGCCCCCTCAAAAAATTTTCTAGGCCTTCCTTGTGGGATGCGCCTCAGCCTTTGAGAACCACTGCATTAGACTATCATGGCATTATTTTTGAGTTGTTATTGTTTTCTAATGATTAGGATCGAGAATCTCTCCATCAACAAGACATGATGAGTGTTCAACATCTTCATGAAAAGCAACTTCATCAATTACGCACCGAGTGGGATCAAGAAAAGTCGCATCATGCCAGAGAAATAAGAAACATGGAAGACATTGTCAGGTTTGTTCATTTTTGTTATTTTTTTTAACCTATTCAACCTTTTTATACTGCTTTCTGAAAAATTTATATTGCTTTATGTTTTAGGGAGCGAGATGAGCAGATTGCACGTTTAACAGTCCAACAAAAGCAGAATTCACATCACGCTGAACAAGCTATTGAACAATATAAGAAACAGGTCTGGATTTTTCTTCCATTTGTAAGGTTTTACCAGAGAGAACTCTGTATTAATTTGGTATCGGATTTCTATACAATACCAATATTTTGAATGATAACACGTGACCCAAAGCAAACAGAACTCCTAAATTTCTTAATTACTTCTACGAAAATGATGAAAGTTTATTTAAAACTTGAAACACTTGAACTTCTGTTAGTGTGATTAAATTTCAAAGTTCACTAATCTAGGGTGCTTCGCACATGAGTTATGTTCTCTTCGGAACGTATTCCACTTCCAAATGACCTGTACTCTTATTTTTGGGGGTCACCTTGTACTTGCATAAATCATAGATTTATGAGACATTGTTTCTAAATTTTCTAGATGTCCGATGCACAAAAGAAAGTTTATAGTGACATGCAGGCTCAACTTGATAAAATTAGTGACGAACTTGATAATAATAAAAAATATCAAGAAAGAATGAAAGACGATCATAAAATTCAAATGGAAGAATTGAAAGCAAAATATCAGGATGAGGTCAGTTCAAATAACTGTGTTTGTTAAATAAATGTTTGTCAATGATGTTATACTGTATAAAATTACATCTGTTTGTTGTGTGAGGTTTCCAAATAAATTGAATTTCTCGCAACATCTAGATGTTGTGGATGTTAGTGGTTCTTGCTTCATTTTATTTTTATATGGAATCTCAAACCTTATACTGCAAATGGTATTTTTATCACCATAGTTTGTGAGAAATATATCACTATGTTTTAGAATTCTCGAATGCATGGTGTCATATGAATATAATATGACATACAATATGGGATATCTTGCCTGTAAAACCAGTGCCATATCATGCAATATCATTATCTTTCTTGATCATTTCCTTATTTTTCAAAAATGTGGTAGACTTCCCTATGTTATACTGTTAGCCGAGATCAGACACTTAGACGCCATTCTCATATTTTGCAAAAATTAATTTTTCAACTCTATAGTTCTCACTGTTTTCCTTTTTGCCTGCCAACTGTTCGGTAGTGCTTACCCAATTCATTATACCTGGGCGAGATGGGTGGCATGGGGTTTGAACCTGAGATTTTAACTTGTGAACCTATCATAGTTAAGTCTAATGCTTTAACCACTTGGCCACCACCACCATTAATATTCTTGAGTTGTTTCATAAAATTGATATTTAATCTTGCAGCTGACTGATATGAAAATGAAATGTGAACAAGATAAAGTTAAGGTGACACAACATGCTATTTCTGATCGTGATCAGTTGAGCAAAACTTATGATAAACAACTTGAAGATGCAGAACGTAGATTGAGAGATGCATTGGAGGAGCATGAGAGGGTTGCAGAAGAAAGAAAACTGCAACATCATGAGGTTTGCTATTTCTTCAGCTGAAAATAGTCTATTTCATGGCGGAATCATATATGATAAGTGTGAAGAGTTTAAAGTATTGCATGATATATTCTAGCATTTGCATGCATTATCATGATCAAATCATACATCTGTATGTTCTCAACAGTCTTACATGAGGGACAGCGCCCTTGATTTTGACCCGTCAATTGTCTTTGTTATTAGGTCATAACTGGTATGGAGGCTCAAATTCGAGAACTTCGCGAAGAGCTTGTTTCCGCAACTGCATTGAGAAGACAACAATTAGTTGAGCTAGGTTTATTGAGAGAAGAGGAACGACAGAAAGCAGCCAGAGAACATGACGCCATTGTTAATAGACTGGAATCTGAAATGGATAGGCAAAGAATGGAAATGCATAGACAGAATGCATCTGAACTTGACAGACAAGCTCAAAAAGTGAGAAGTTTGATCTATTTTTCATGGAATTATATTAAATCCAAATAGTTTTTGATTGGATACTCCGGTAGTATGTGTATCAGGTTAGGGTTAGGCCATATTTTTATTTCGATTTTCCTTATTTTAGATCTATTACGAGTTCGGGGACTGTCTGTGTTAGCCTATTGAATATCCCTCTGCCCATAGGCTTCCGTCCCTTTACACAACTTGATGTGTAGTTACTTCCATATTGGTACACATACTTCTGGAGCGCCTTTGATTGTGTGCATGAGTGTGTGAATTTTTGCAATATTATTCGCTTTCCATTTTTTATCAAGAACGCTCTGTCACCTGAAGTTGGTTAGTACTGTCACCTTAATCATACACAATATGTGTGGTGGTGTCATTGTCTCCATACCATATCCAATTTGGAGATTTTTAAAAATATGAAGGTAATTGCTATGCACACTGTTTTTAGCTACTAAAGATTTGATCAAGCTTATAATGTGTGTATGTTAACGTTGAAGATCTAATTACTCTGTTCATCTAAACTAAAGTTAAGAAAAAATGTACTGTTGGGCTCTTTAATTATATTTTGTCATTGTATTTCCTAGACGAAAAACAGGCTTGAGGGATTAGAAAAAGATTACAAACAACGTTTAGAAAGGGCGTATGATCGGATCAGTGAATTGCAACAGAAGGAAAACAGTTTACGAGATGAATTGTCTCGTGTACAAGTGGAAAGTGAACAACATATTGCAGATGATGCTGCTAAACGAGAAGAAGAAGCAAAAAGGTTACGACTTCAACTCGAAAGTGCTAATATTGTGAGTATTTTTCATTCATTTCTGGCATTGTGATCCTACAGCTGACATTTCAAAGCTTTGTGTCATGATAAAGCCAAAGTGTGTGCACACCTTTTGTTCTTATATTACATATGCCTTAATTTTATATAGACAATTCTTATTGTTGTCGATGTATTTTTACTTATTCCTTGTGTCGTTTAGGAGGTACAACATTATCGTGAGATTGCAAAACAGTCATTTTAACATCCTAGTTGTTGGAAATGTTTTTGATTCAATCAAAATGTATAAATATCAGGCGACAGAAGTGTGCAGGAAAAACTAAGAGTCTCAGCCAACTTTATAATAAAACAATGTGTGCATTCGTGTGTACTCTCAATAATAATAGCTGTCGTTAAGTATGAATGTCAAATGCTTGTGCATGTGTCAATTTTATAGTGTATACATGTCGTAGAAAAATTCAAGACCTCACCGATGTGTGCAACACAAAAAAGGTTGAAAATCACTGTTCTATGGTAGCAGTTGATTTCATCACATATATTTCTGAACATTGTAATCAGCTATACTGCTTCGTCATTTCTAACTCTGTTGTTCATTGTTTTCAGGCACTACTGGCGGAACTGGAAGCAGAACGAGAAAAATTTCATTCTATACAACGGCAGTCACAAAATTCTGAATTTGACCTAAAAGATAAGGTAAATAACAAGCATCATTTCTTTTGACAAAGTGCGATTTCAATGATGATGATGATTACAAATGGGCATTCTTTTTCCAATTTACAATATTCAATACCAAAAGTATCAGTTATTTATATGCTGAATTATGTTATCATCATTCAATTTTTCAGCATTATTTCCCTCAAATCTACCATACCCATTTAGGACATTTTAGGAATCAGACCAAGTCTGTTTTTATTTTACATTTTGATTAATCAAATTAACTTGCTTCTGATCTGATATTACAAGATAAATTTTAGTTGTATCTTAGATGCAATCCTTCTTGTTACAGCTTACCCGAGTAAAGATGGATTATGAAGAACGCATGAAAGGATTATTACCTGCTTCATTGAGAAAAGATATGGAAGATACAATCACTTGCTTGAGATCACAAGTAAACAATTTGGATATATTTCTCTTCAAATCGTCATATTCTTCAATTATTTATAATGGAAAAACTCCATTTTTATTGGTTGTCATGATTCATTCATACCTTGATGTTTTATACTTAAATTGATTAATTGGATCATGTTTCCCAACTTTTAAATTGTTGCCAATATTCGGATAGTTTTTGCTTTAGTCTCCATTCATATATACATTCCATATTCGGCGCTCCAGAAGTGTGTGTACCAATATGGAGCTAACTAGTTTTGTTTGCCTTCATCAAGTTGTGAAAAGGGACTGAAACCTACGGACAAGGGGGAGATTCACTTGGCTAACACAGACAGTCCCCAAACTCGTAATAGAACTAAAATAAGAAAAAATAGGAATGAAATTATGCCCTAATCCTAACCTGTTACACACGCTATGGGAGTACCCAATATTCTATTTATAATGTTGTCTGATGTATGATGATTCAACCACATATTTTCATGTTTAGGTTTCATCGCTTCAGCAGAGAGTGTCAATACTACAAGACGAAGTCGATGAAGGAAACCGATTGATTCCATTCTCCTTGAAAACACCTTCCACTATCTCTCCCCGTCATTTGTCATGACCAAGAAAAGAATATTGAAGATCAACCATATGTCAACTTATATAAACATTTTTTGTAAAGTTATATATATAAGTTAATTGCACATAGTTCAATTACACAACCAAATTGTATGTGAAAAATTGTCATAGCATATTGTCATTGTCTAATATTTAATGTGGTATAATCTAGGTTGCTACAGTTCGGCAGCCCAAGGAAAACGACCATTCAAAGTGAAACACTATATTTATCGCTATCTACATTACATGTGTGGAATCATGATGTTGTAACTTAGGGGAATACTTGATTACAAACTATTGTTGAGAATTAGCAAACTTAGCAACATTGTTTTGCAGCAATATATATGATATTCATTTGTCGTTTTGTATTTATTTTCACTTGTATTGTCATTCATACTGTATAACTTATACATTTCTTTCAGTATAAAGACACATTGTGATTTGTGGTGAATTTATTGGTAACTGAAACGTTGTGCCAAAGTTAATTAAACTGGTTTTGCTGTTTGGTGTTCGCCCTGGTGCAGTATAGGTGATTTTCAGTTTTCTATTTTGCTGCTATTGTAGTGTACATCAGGTATGCATAGAATCCATATTTTCTTAATTAGAGTATATTTATATTCTTTTATATAAAAATAAACTAAAAGTAAAGCATTGTGTTGAGAACAGTCATAATGGGCATATTATTGAAAAGTTGGGAATAGATTGTTATTGCTTTGTCAGGGTGGCGTTCATTCAGGGTGGTCGATGAGAAATTGTGCCAACATGTTTTGGGCTCAGGAATTGTGAAAAATTCAAAAGTACGTTATCTGCTCTAGTCTAGTGAGTTTATCTCTAAAGGCATGAAATGGGTCTGATGCCTAACATTTGGTGTACCGGTACCGTCGCTTGAACCATTTATAAGTTAAACAAGTTCTGTCAAAAAAGTCGTTGCGCATACTCCATTGATTTGATGAAGAAATTAACACGCAGTACAAGGCTAACAACGTGCTGGCACACTAGAGGTTATATGGGGATTCTCGTGAAATGATTTTGTTCGCACATTTTTCCTGTGACGAGCAGGGTTATTGTAAATGAATTTAGATTTATAGAACTGAATGATAAGACCGGTTAGTTAATTTGAAAGACTTTGCAAACAGTAAGCCTGTTTTGTAGCAATCGTAATCTTTTTAACATATATATTAAGAATTATGCAACAAACGGTACCGAATGTAATTGCTGTACGTTCGCGTTCATGTATCAGTGCTACTGACGTTGTTCAGTCATCCGAAACCTGATGGCGCGAATTTGTTTTGTTAGTTTGTTTTGATTCACAAACTTGAGTCTGTGAGTTGTACGAAATGAGAGAAACCGTTTGCGTTGACGGGCAAAAGTTTGCATAAATCTAAAACTGGGACCGAAATAGTAACGACTAAATGAATTAACATTACATGATGTCTGATTGCGGAACTTTTACGAAACTGCGTCAGATCTGTGATTTGGCGAAAAATGTAGATTTTCTGGACCAAAGGACGGATAGTGCCATTCAGAGAAACAACATCCCATCGGAAAGGAATATATTGCAATGTCCCCGAGAATCTCTTGCAGCAATGCAGAATATGAAAAGTGAAGTCAAGACCATGTCGGTTTGTGGATTTTTCAATTTATGTTGAATTACAGTATTCTGTATTCAGAACCAGATTTTTTTTTTGTTTTAAAATACTGAAATTCGTATTTTAATACACATTTTAACATTTAGGGACCTTTTTTAGTTATTTCTTCCCCATCAATATCATTAATTCTCCTACTTTTATTTGTTGCTTAATAATGTTCGAAAATTCCAAAAAAAACAAATAACAGAGAATGCATTGATAAAGATGAATGGACCCCATAAACAAAATACTTTTATTAGTGAGTGTGTAATACAGTAATATATACCGTATTTCCCGGCAAATAAGTCGTTTTTCTAGGCCCAAATTATTGGCATGATTTTGGTGGGTCGTCTTATTACTGTATTAGGGGAGTATTATAATCTTTTTGGTGTCGCCTTATCACTGTATTATTCAATTCTTACCATAAAATACCAAATACCTCCGGCGATAGCATCCCCACATTTTCATCATGGCCGTGTTGTTTTAGATCGGTAATGTTCTTATATATGGTGCACGCAATCGCGAGTTAGGTTGTACACAATTATATTGGAATTTGAAGACAGTTTGAATTCTCAGAGTTGTTATGGATTGAATATTACTTTACAAGAAAAAGTCATTATAGGCTATTTTAACCAATGCGCAAAGGCGGCGACCGCACAAAAGTCTCTGCATGGTAATTTGAGATTCCGATGTTGATGCGATTTTACTACTCTTCTTATTGGCAGGTTATATGCACAAAGCCATTTTTTTAGGCTTAAAAACGGGCCTTGTCTTAACCGGGTAGACTTATTCGCGGGGAAATACGTTATTTATTATTGGCTAAACGCTGTCAGTTGTGCAGTAAAAGAGCTGAAAATTCCCATTTAACTTTAGTACGATTTGACATTGGCATAACACAGAAAAAAAATATATAAATGACAGCACAGCACCAGCCAATACAGTACTTACCTGCTATTATTCCGATAAGTCATGCCTTATTGATTTTCTGTAGTGAAGTTTTCCAAACCAATTTATATAGTGAAAGGCCACAAACTAACAAAAATGTACCTACTATTTCAGAATGATTCTTTGAAAATTCATTCAAATCTCCAACGTGTTGCTCATCGGAATCAGAAATTACTATCAGCTGGAGAAAAAATTTTGGAATATTTAGAATCGGAAACAAGTAAAGCTGAAGAATACTTGAAACAGATGTATGGTTATATTCCTGCCGGTGGTGACAGTATGATGGGTGAGAAGAACTGTGTATTAAGTATATGTATTCCAAACAATATGTTTATGTCAGGACTTCTAGTAGCCTATTAATGTACTGTTAATCATATGCCGACCCAATTAATTGCACCATGGATAAGGTGGAATGTTAAACCAAAGGCCTTTAGGCTGTAATGCAGGCCTGCACACAACATACAGCCCGCTGGATACTTCTATGCGGCCCGCGGGTGATTTGGAAACACGCCACTTCTCGGGTCTAACAATCAAAGCCGGCGTTGTTATGCAAGCGCACCGCTACCCCGATCATATTCGAAATTGTGATATTTATGTGTTGCACTAGTTTCAATAAATATCGAACTTTGTGTGAAACTAGTGTGCCCTTCGCCACCCCTAAAATTTGTCCCCTCGCCCTCCAGTTTGGGAAACCCTGATTTAGATATCTCAGTATTCAAGGTAGACGAACCACTAAATACATATTTGCCATCTCATATGCAAAAATACTGTACCTTGTTTTTACTCAAGTAAATAAGATTCTTCATATTTTTAAGCTCCAAAGTAATGAAAGTATTTCATTTAATTTAACTGTTTCACAATATTATTTTGATGTGTAGTTCATCTTGTGAAATATGTATGTGGCAAAGTTTGCGGCCCGTCGGGCCTTCAGATGTATGCTTGGGGCCATCGTGGTAATTTGAGTTGTGCAGGCCTGCTGTAATGCCTTTAGGCTGTAATGCCTTGATTAATGCTAAATTTTTTATCAATTTTTATATTTGGCAGAAATTTCAAAATGTGCAGAATCTAAAAGACTTCTGAAATCAAGTGAAAATGATGATAAGGTTTTGCCAGTTATTGAACAAGGGATTAGTCAGGATGAAAATCCTAGTGTTGAAGGTTAGTACAATTGGTAGATCTTTGATTCATGGTATATTAGGTACTATTATTCTTAATATATATGGGCCAATTTACTTATATTCTTCTGCATCTTCTCAGAAAATGATTCTCTAGCTCTCTTGAAGAGTCCAGAAGCTCCAGTTCCTGGTTCTCGTCAATTTAAGAAAGATTCTATTGCTTCTCCTGAAGCTCCAACTTTACATTCAAAATTTCAGGTTCGTTCTATCGATGAGAACTATTTGTATTTCAAAATTTTGTTTTTTTGTTTTGAATTTTTATATTTATACTATGGATACATTGATATATAATAAAAAGGACAACAATACATGAAAATTTGATCAATATGAATTCAGAAATTTGAAATTATATGTTTTTTGGTGTAATTTGGTGAATTGACTGTATATTTCAAAATGTTTTATAAATTATAATTTATTGACAAATTGGTGCAGTCTCACTCAAAAAATCATTAGTAAGAGTTTAGATCTAAACTCATCTAGAATTGTTATTAGTTTTTTTAAATTATATGCTGTTTGAAAACCGTCAGTATATTTCAAGAATTATACTTTTCTGGCATACTTAGCCAATTTTTCATATTTTGAATCAAATTTATTAAAAAAATTAATATAGACTACATAAAAACGAATATTTGTATGCTAAGTTAACTGCTGGTACATCTTTTTCAGTACTACATAGTTGACTTCGGTCAAGACTTGTACCAAATCCTAAAAGCCGCCAATCCCATTTTAAATTCAATTAAAAACCGTTCATTCTAAAATCTGCTTTGTTGAGTCAACTTGACTGTATATGACTATTTCACCCAGAATGATGAGGAATTCAGGCTTCCTGCTATTTCTGCTGGAAATTTTCATCCAGTCCGTTTTGATAAAGATGGATGCAAAGGTAATAAGAATCAATAATCATTAGATAATGATGCTAAATGTTATTTCAATATTTTTAGTTTTTTTTTTTGATTTCACAAAGATGTTCGTTTTTTTGCAGGAAATGCGGATCGATTTGACGCCGAATATTTTCCGCAACTTCCAAGATCTCCAAATTCACCTGGAATCGATCAAATTCAGCCAAACAAGGTGAAATAGAATGAAAAAAAATCAGTACTTAGTACTATTTTAGTATCTATTATATCCAGTTCTTGTCTACTGTGAGATATGAAACAAATTTACTGTTACAACTAATAAAATATCATAGCAGGAAGGACTGTACTTTCCAAAGCAGAGAGATACAAAAGTAAAATTGAAGATTACCATTGGGATTCATCCTAACTCTGATCAAAATATAACCTATCATTTTGAACTGAATGAAATGCCATTCCGAAATTCGTTTTGATAAAATTGATATCATATTTAAAAGATTGAAGAAAAAATAAAACTTCCCATTCCTGCAATGCATGTCGTATGCTCCTTTTCTTTTGAACTATATGTTATGTTAATTTGTTTGAAAGTTTAAGATAAAATTTGTAGGTGTCTCCATTATCTTTATATTGTTACTATTATTTGGTTATAGTACAAGAACCACCTATATCAAGATGCAGGAAATAAGATATAATTTATTCATTTAAAAATGTAGTTTCAGGATACAGTTGTTGCATCTTCGCAAGCACAATACAACAATCATGTTCCAAACATAGAAACTGCATCAATGAAAAAATTCTTTGAAACTCCTGTAATAAGCGGTAAATATTTATGACTTCTCTGATAGCAAACAAGAAAAAAAGGTACTCCCAGAGTATATGAACCAAGATGGCGGACACCGGAATGTAGCATTGAAGATTGGAAATTTTTTTACAGCTATTGATTGAATGTACTATGTTCCACAACCCCAGTATGCATTATAGTTAGTAACACCAATAGTGCAGCTCAAGTGGTTAAATCTATAGACTTGACTATGATGGCAAAGTAGCCTTATTCGTAGGTTAAAATCTCGAGTTACCTCACCCATGCTATAATAAATTGGATGAGCAATGCCGAACTGGAAAGATCCCAGTTCTTAGTAAATGCTTGAAGCTGATGTCTCTCAAACACACTTTTAATGATCATGATTATGGAGAAATTACATTATTATACTACTTTCCTATGATTTCCATGATGAAAGTACCAAAGCGAAGCTGAAATTCGACAAAATTTTCTCTAATTCTACTTCACAGGTGTAACCCACTTTTAAGGATCATGATTATGAAGTAATTACATTATATTTTTTATAAATTTTTTCTCTAATTCTATTTTACAGGTGTAAACAAGGGATCATACTTCAAAGGCTCTACAGCAAATGTTCCATATGCTCCATATTTTGCAGGACTTGATCAGTCACCAGATTCACCAGCAACCACAATGACAAGTATGTAGGAAACGAATTCCATATCCATCTTGGTGGAAAAGAAGGCCGATAAGCATCTATTGTCTGTTTGCCAGTTCATATCTGGTACGGGAACAGTTGATCAGTTTTTCACTTTAGATGCATGGATTTGATGGCTATGGGGAGAAAGCCATAGCTAACAAGTGGTTACTTAAACTACCCTATAACAGCAAGGTGTCCAGCAATTTTTGCACACATAATTATTTTCCACAGGATTCGAACTCGTGCAGGGTAATCAGAGTTGCGATGGCAAACGTATGGTAATCCTGAAGCTTAAAGAGTCTTATCATACCTTATTACATTTGACCATATGTTAACCACTTACAGACAGCCCAGTCATATTAAATATAAATTTTTATGATTAGATCTGGATACTTTTCGGAATATAAAAGCAGTTGGAAACCCAACTAATGAAGCCGTTTCACCTGAAGTTGATTTCAAGCTTCATTCAAGAAGAAGTGTGCTTAATGATGCACCTGTGGTTAGTGTCATTTATAGCAAATGTATAGCAATTGTGTACAAAAAATCATGTTATTGATACACCTTGGTGGGTGAACTATTGTTATAATTCCAGCAGGAATTTAAAATTTGAGTGTAATTTAGTTAGAAGAATTGCTGTGTTAGGGTGATCAGGGTTTTTGTGTTTATTTAATGGTCATAGATTTCATATATAATTTCAAATTCAGTAGTCATATTCAGTTCTAACTTATTTCAAAAACTTGGAATATCTCAATATCAATGTGCTTTTTATGCATCTTCAAATTACCCTTCGGCCTACTGTTATCTCTTTGTTACCAACTAAATTACTTTTGACTAGTATATTATATCATCTGTGTAATGACTTTTCAGCATTGTAGTTCAATGGATGATGACACCGTTTTACTGCTGAGAGGTGGAAAAGTTCCTATGTCTACTATGGTATGCAGAATTTTAAATTTCTTTTAAACAAGAAAATACTGTACATTCATTTTATTTCAATTATTATTTTCTTCAGAGAACTCCTGATAGTCCAGATTTAACAGAATATAGACATTTTCCAAAAGTGAACATTAATTTTGGTAAGATTGTTTCTAAATAGTGAAAGTGGACAACGAAGATTGTATTTTTGAGATTTTTATTTTCTTTAGATGATGAACTACCAGCGACACCGCCAAGTCCTGAGTTAACATCTCATTTTAAACAAGATAGAAATCAACAAAATACTGATATCAAGGAAAACATGTACGTCACATTCTTGTAATTTTCTTTATTTTTTTTTCCCTATATTTTAGTTATTTGTTTCAAACCGCAAGATTGAAGTATTTGAATATAAACTTGCCCTATTTGGAGAAATGCTTTGTCTAAGTCAAAAACTGTGTGTAAGATCAATCTTACGAGCATAGAGAATTTCAGAATATGAACTATTAAAGCATAGATTCCTTTTGAAATGTGCCCCAGGCAAGACTGTGCAAGAATTTACCCAGTGTGAATGAAACTTAAATATTAAATATTTTCAACATTAAATATTTGTATAGTTTATGAGGATTTGATAAATAAAGGCGTATAAGATTGAAATAAATTTGATTACGGGATTTATTTTCAGGGATCCTTCGTATAATGATGGATTTTCCAAATATGAAGTGAAACAGTCACAATATAATGAACTACCTGATTATTTAAAAAGGGTGATTCCTTATCAACTGAGTTGTGATTTAGTTGAAAAAGTTCTACAAAATACTTTTGCCTTATATGGAGATAAGTAAGCTGTGTTTTTATTTAAATTATCATTTTACCAGTGTTATTTTCCATTGCTGGGTCCTGATCCTGACAGTGCCTTGAAAGTTAAAACATGTACAGCCTCCAAATTTAATCATTTTGATATGCTTATTTTGATTTTTAAGTGTCTCTCTCAAAAATGGAAAATTGGGAGCATTAAATGAAACATTAAACGCTAACACGATCAAAAATATCATGTGAACCTAAAAAAATGTTTTATCAAGTATTTGTTAGAATTGTTATTCATAGAAGTGGATGTCTACGCTTTATTACAAACTACCCAGAGGAAATGTTACAATGTCCAAGTCATCTAATATTCAACATTTTTAAATATAATCTTAACATGTTTGTTTCCTGTAACCTTTTAAACATGATTTCCAGATGATTGAAAAAACATCCAAACCTATTAAGTTGATGAAATTTATTTGTGCACCATATTGCTCATATACTTAAAAAGGAGAATATAGAATTTATACTTTCTAGGCTTATTATAACACCATAATATTAACTTTCCTTAGCTGCCTTCATAAAATACAGAACTGACATCTCATTGTTATTTTGACTTCTTCATGAAATATTGCTCCATTTTCCAGATACCCTCGTGTGACGACGCAGCAGAAAATCGAAGAAATAACATCCTTGGGATTAAAAACTAAATCATTCATATTTTTATTGACGGCTTTGAAAATTGTAAAGAAAATTAGTGGAACTGAATATTTTGAAGTCTTAGCTTGAAAGTATGTCTGTTAATGCTTTCATTGCATATTCAAATGTCACCCCTGTTGTGATTGCGAGGAGAACACAGTCTGGAATAATGGCCATTGATAAACATGCTGTACATATGGATACTCACTTTAACAAATGAACATACATTTCACAACTCGATTCATTGAAATCAGAGGTTTGAGTGAACTCCTGGGTGTTTGTGATCGGCTTTGCAAGATGAAATATATCCAGGATAGCTCAAGAAGCCCGAACTGTCATGAATTGTATTCCTACTAAATGTTAGTACAGGTAGCATGCTTAATGGTTAAACGAGGCCAATGCAGACTTGTGAATTTGAAAATATGATTCAAATTTTGATCTCAACGTGGTTAGTTTCACATTTTAGAGATTTCTTATGTAATATATCAAGCAATATAAAGCCTGCTGCAAAAAGGTTTTGAGATAGACACACTCGAGGGTGGGTTGTGCTGCAGTTGTTCTTGTTCAATGAAGGAACATGCTATACCACACGAGTGGCTGCTCTGATCATTGGTTACTATTCGTTATTTGGACATTGTTTTTGGTCAATACTTCTGATATTCAGATTAAGTGATTTTTTTTTTGCTTTATTGTTAAATATATTAATGTTTTCATGTGTACTGCTGTTTATTTATTGCTCATCATTTTTATACAATGGACTGCTGCTGTTTGCTTGGAGAGAAACATTACAGTAATGCACAAATATATACACATGCTAAGGAGTATCGCATGGGTTATCTGTAGAAAACTAAAGTAGTGATGGAGTTTGTCTAATACAAGTAAAATTTGGGGTAAGCAACAGGCTCTCAGGGGAATCCAATCAAAATTTAATATTAAAGATATTTTCACTTTAGAAGTCCGAATTTGGGAGCAATAGATGAGTTTCAGCTGTTTTCTCCTTGTGGAAGTGTTTTAGTCTGGTTGCAGCAACTGAAAACGGCATCGAAAAAGCTTTAGAAATAAGCTGTGAATTATTTTGAGACAAAATGGAGGAGAATTTGGAGATGTAAACCAGTCTACAGCGCCAACTTTCGAAATAAACATTAAAAATTTTGCAATGGTGAAGTATAGGAAGAATATTTGTGGAATCGGGGAAACATTTATTCGTTCAGTAGTCAGAAATTCATTATTGCCAACATCATTTTGGCTAGAAGAACCTTCTCTAAAAACCCCTTATCATGCCAAAGACACACTTGCAACTGAACAGTTATGTATCGTAGGTAATAATTTAATAATCTCATGCATGTTATTTCACTTTACGAGCTACACAGGTAGAAAGAACAAGTTGGCACGATAGGTAAATTATTCAAGAATTGCAGTCATAATTACATTAAAAACAAGAAAGGAATACACAAATATATATAACGAGACAGTGAATGATAGTTTGGTATGAATCGTAGCAGTGTGTATCAATATTATCTGTGACATATAGTGTAGAGACACATATTTGAATAGAATATACCAGTGATTTCCCGCCTCTTTTGAACTCCAGAACACTTAATATCATAAATATTTGCAAAAAACCAAATGAAAATATCCATTATTATGGAATTTCAGAGTTTGCATTGTTGATGAATGTTTACCAGAGCATGGACTTCTTTGTTCATTATGATGACAATGGCCAATGAGCTAAGGCATACTTATCAATTGAAATTTATATATGTAAAACACATTTAAAGTTGTATGTGCCATTAGTCAATTTTCATTCATTTTTTAAACCTATATGTATGGAAACGTCTATTATCATGTAACACACTAATCTCAGAATCGAATGTGCTCCACTTGGGAAACAACAATTTGACGCGGAAAGCCTGAATGTTTTTCAAGGGTTGAAAATCACTGGATTTTAAAATGAATAAATAGAAAAATTAATTTTTTTACAATTAAATTTCGCGAATGCTTTGAAAACAATAATTTGGTATAACATGATAAAGCGGGCATATATCATAATTTTTTACAAGATAGAAATCCTGACTGTGGTTCTATTGAACTAGCTCCATTATCAAGCTCAATTCATTTATAAAAAAAAATTATAGGTAAAATAAAATGGAATATCATTTTAAAATTCAATCATAATGAAAAAGTTCTTACAAACAAATTTCTCATTTAATAGTTGTGGAAGCAATAAAATGTTGATAACAGTGAAATACTTTCGAGCTGGCTTTCCATGCCAACATATGTGTGTTAACTAAAAGGTACTACTTTGTACAAGAGGTGGTAAAGTTAAATTCTTGGTTATTTTTACATGAATTAACGAGCGAGGTGTCGGAGTCCGAACGCTTGTTGTTGCAGACCCTATAAGAAAAAAGTAAAGTATTTAATACCTGATCAATTAAAAATCAATGGATTAAGAAATTACCTGATGCATTCGGTACAACTCGACCAGGAAAACTTCTTGATAAAAATCTTGGTCGTATCATAACGTCGGTTGTAGCAGGTCTGCTTGATGGTGGATCAGGAGTCTCAAGCTTTAGACGTTTACGAAAATGGTCGAGAATACTGTCTGATATTAAATTTGGATTCTAAAATATACAGAATATTTTTCAGCGTGCTGGTGTGCCCCACAAGGGAGGCGTAGACAGTTTTTTGAGGGGCGTGGAGCTAATTAAAGATAAAAATATTTGTTAGATTTGATCTTACCTGCCTTATTTTGGATATTTACAATGTGCATTATCCACCACAAAATCTTAAATTAAACATCTTGTCAGCATAAAAAATAACTAATAAAAAAAATAACAATGAAAATAACAACAAATTTTGCTTGTTTTTCAAACTTTTCATTATTTACGTTCCACCCACGTATTTTAAACATGTTTTTTTATTTAAATATACTTTCGCCTTACTATCTGTTATTTGTAGCTGTTTTATTGTTCACTAGTTATTTTTGAGGTAGGGCGCAAGACATTAGGGGGTGCCGCTTAAAAAGTTTGCGAACCACTGCTCTACTGTTCATTCATAAAATCATGCAGTTGTATGTACAAGTTTTTATTCAATTCCACACACCTGAATCAATCTGGCACCCAATATATTGTCCTTCTGTTTCTCTAAAGCTCTTTCAAGTTGTGATTCTGATTTTATTTTTTTGCTGATCACACGAACCAACTCTCGTTCATGTTTATATCTATAGGCTAAATTAATACAAAAATATGAATGAGAATAGGTTCCATTACATTTGAACCCATGACAATTGCACCTGCATACTATTGCATCTATGGAAATTTTTTTGTTTCACGGATATTTGAACCCATACTAACCCTAATGCATGGGTTTTAGCACCCGCATATAGATTGAACCCGCGGATATACACATGGGTTCAAATGTACGGTCAACATGAGAATATCATGATGATAAATCAAAACTGAATGGATTGTTTAACTAAGATAGGAATTTCATATTTATTTCGGGAAGACGGGTGCCGATAAGACAGCTCGATCAAATGGATATTTCGGATATGGGATAGGTTAGTCAATTATTCGTTCCAGATACATGGACCTGATGGTGGAGGTAGCCGTAAATAGCCAGCAATTATGTGAACCACCCTAATAATTATACCCCACATGATTCAAATCCAAGCAAAGTAATCAAAGGTATAATGGCAAGGGCAAGTGCATTTCTAACACCACACCACTGACACTAAAATTATAGTCTCATACTCTCATCACACTAAGTTTTGAACCAAATAATTCTGAATCATTCGCTATGATTATTATTTCTATTCACTCTGATAAATTCCTAACTTACGAATACTCTAATACAATTTTATTTAATTATTTGTAATTGTAAATAATCATTACGAACCTTTCAATCTTGCCACAACTTCATCAGAAAAATATTTACAAGAAATCCATTCTTCAAAATCATGAACGTAATCAAGTGCAGTTAACCCCGAGTTGTTTTTTGCATGGACACTACCTCCTGCATAAAAAGAATTATGAAAACTTTAATAGATTGATGAAATTTGTGAGTAGAATCAATACAGTTCGATATCAACATATATGCTTGCCTAATGCATTGTACAGAGCAAACAGTTTTAAAGCAATTGTAATAGTGAGTTCTATAATCAGTAACACAATTGGCTGTAACACTGGTTTTTATTTGTGTAACTTTTACTAAACATTTTACTAACAGAAGAAAATATGGGTATTAGATTTCCAAAGCATGTGATTATATTATCAAACTCATCCAGTCAAATCAAACAACGCAAAATTATTGACTAAAACAAGTTAAATTTTCTGACTTGCGGTAATTTTGGATTGCGGACCTCAAGATTCAAGTAGGAAAGACAATTCTTACATCTCTACAATAAGCTATAATATAGACAAAGTTATTGATTTACATACCTTCCTGAAGTAAAAGGCTTGCTCCATAAAATTTATTAAGTTGCATTGCATAGAATAATGGAGTTGCTTTATTATCATTATTTGCATTAACTTTAGCACCATGTTTTAATAAAATCTCCAATATATCAGTAGGACCGGACATTTGGAGAGCAAGATGTAAACATCTGAAATAATTGGCATGAAAAAGATGATTGATGGCGGTCCAGAAGTGTATGTACAAATAAGGAGGTAACTAATTTTGTTCGCCTTTACAACAAGTTGTGTAAAGGCATTGAAACCTATGGGGTGGATATTAACTCGGCTAACACAGACAGCCCCCAAAATCATAATGAAAAACTAAAATATTCTCGGTTCAACTGGAAAGCTTAAGGTAAATCAGAATAAAATCACGACCTTACCTGGTACATATACTACAGGAGTACCGATAGGATAGCTTAGTGATCAGTATGTAGGCCAAAAAAAATTTCAACATGAATTTTTATATAAATTTGTTGGAGCAGAAAATTTGTGAATCATTTATTCCTAATCCAGATTACACAAAATAAAAATTAATACAGCATATGTTATCGTGTTTAGAATTCTCATATGTTACTTACGTATCTCCACCTTCATATTTCAATTTGACAGAAGCATCATTCTCTAAAAGAAATTCAGACATGGAAGCTCGATCATCTACGATCAATTGTTCTGTCAATATTTTATAAAACACACGATCAGTTTCTCCGGGTTTGAAAAAGAAGCCTCTTTCCACAAGCCTGAGAGAAAAACAAACAGAGTTAATTATGTTATTCCTGAGTTTGGTGGCTCATCTGTCAAATAATAATACAAAGTGAGTGAGTACTTTTCGTTGATCGGCACAAAATTTCTGACCCGTAGTATGTGTACCTGGTTAGGGTTAGGCCATAATTTCAGATACAAATACTACGGGAGTCACTTGGCTAGTACCCGAACTCATAATAGAACTAAAATAAGGTAAATTGGAAACAAAATCATTGCCAAACCCTAACCTGGTACACATACTATGTTCCGCTGTCCGCCATCTTGGTTCACATACTACGGGAGCGCCAAAAGTTTACCCATGTTTTAGCACTTCCAAGGGAAGTAATTACAGAAGGGTTTGGCAACTAAGTATACAAAACATTACAATCAAACATCAATTTGCATGCAATTTTTCTGGTTCCGCAATGTCTGCCTAATTTATCACACCAACACAATCAAGTCTAAACGGTTTAACTTCTAGGCCACATAAATGTATCCAAACATACCATTGAGAACATTCTAAATGATCACCAGCGACAGCAAGGTAAGGAAGACTTGGTGGATTTTTCTTTGTTTCTTTTTCAATTTCATTTCTTATTGATCCTTCATCTGTATCTAAGAGTAATTCAATGGTATCCTTGCGACCCTGAGAAAATACATTTTCCATGATTAATTAGGTATATTCAAAGAATTTTATCGAAATGAAATTCAGAGTACCAGTACTCAAATATTTTTCTAAAAAAAAATTCAGGTTTTTTCTATTCAGACAGAAATTGCAAATGATGATTCAAATCGTTGTAGATTTTGTCAACATTAAATAATATCATAGATCGTAAAATTTTTGTTTTCGAGTTCATTTAAAACGTTTTATCAGCATTTTTTAAAGTTTTAATTTTTTAAAAACATTTGCTTTCAGTTTCTGCCATCTACCCCTTAAAAACAGAACCCATATTTCTAGGAAAAAAAAAAAATTCAACTCTTTAACATTCGAACTTTTGTTCGCGTATGATTGTACTGTACACAAAAGTTTCAGTAATATAGAACGCTTTGCACAAAAATTAGGATCTTTCATTATGTTCCAAATGATCTAAGTTTCGATTTTTTTTGGACCACCCTCTATTCAATATTAGCTGCAATGCAAAACATGTCATTTCTGTGATTGCCTGTCAATTTGACAATTCAATATCAGGCCATTGAACAACAACAAATGAAGCAATCCATGCAATACACAATGAACAAATACCTGCATAGCAGCACAATGAATTGGCATCAACTCTCTGGAATTACGGCAAAATAAATCTGCTCCTCCGCTTATCTGAAATGTTTTATAAACAAATATCATACAAGGGACTAAGAACAAAAAATATGTAAAAAAATTTATATCTCACCATGTAAGAAATTCCATCAAGAAAACTTTCTTGGTTTTCATCACCATAACATAAAACATGTAAAGCTGTATTCCCTTCACAATCTGCAGCAGTTATGTCTGCGTTGCTTTCTAGCAAAAGCTGAAATATTAAAAATTGTATTGTAGTGTTTTTTCTGTGAATAACCCAGAATAATGTACGCAATAACACAAATTTGGCATCTTTAGACAACAAAACTGTATTTTCATAAGTTTCAAATAATTTAAATTTAATCAAAATAGAACAAAAAAATAACACAACACTTTGAAATGTATTTGATTTATAGTTTTAATATGAATAATATTTGAACTGATATTAAAATTATGCTTGCTAGTATCACTAATTAATGCAAACTCACCTTCAGTACATCCAGTTTTTTAACTCTATGCAAAGGAACAGCTCCTTGATAATCTTGCAAATTAACATTTACACGTAATTTCAGAAGATTCTGATAAATGAAGATGAAATATTATGATGAAATATTTACTGATCAAAAAGATAATATACCAAAACATTTAAACAACATAGTTCTTAGTTCTTAGCATACTTCGGGAGTATGCAAATTCCTACCATGGTACTCCAGTCCAAAAACCTGGAACCAGCTGTGTTCGAAATGAATCAATATTCAAACGAGAATATCGGTCGGAGACCGAAGACTTATCGATCGAAACTGCGTTTTCGATGCATGACTCTATAGTGACACCACGTGTCCCATCACTAATTAATTAATAACTCGCTAATTATACGACATAATTCATCCACCATCAATAGCCTTCTGGTCCGAGATATGATGAATGCACATGCAAAATTTGGAGCAGATTCAACCACGCCTTCGTGAGATATCGCATGCATCTAACAGACAGACAAATACGTATCAACATACTTACCGATCTAAAGATCGATAAGTAATTAATTTGAGATTGTTTATATTCAATATTTCAATTTCTTGATTTTAAGAATAATTCAAGATGATGACATTTGAAAAATTATCTTAAACAAGTGACAGGGGAAGTTTCACATGATCAAAAAAGCTTCGTTTAATTTCTAAATCTATAAAAATATAGAGAATTAATCAAATCACTGTTTATTTTAACATTCTCCCATTTTCAAATTAAAATCCAATAAATACACATTTGTTCATATGTGTTCTTTGTTGAACAAACCTAATTTAGAATATACCGGTATTTAATCTTCCAAACTTGAAAAAATATTTTTCAATAATGTATTCAGAATAGCAGATTATTCAGTTTTTCCTATCAGTGTCAGGAAAACTTACTGGCTAGCAGGTTACCTGGCCTGGTAACCAGATGAGAGACAATTTAGCTGGCTCATCACAGTATTTCTACCCAGGGATAAAATAAAAAAAAATATTATCAATACTGGACTTTTCAACAAAGATAACTGTAATCCATGAGATATAATTTCGAAAAATTACCTCGATGGTTTCAACTTGTGAAAAATGTACGGCAGTATGAAGCAGTGTACTTCCTCTTATACATCTTGCTTCTGCATCAACCATTTCGTGTATGCCTAACATATGATCTTTCACAACTCTCTGGAGTGTGGATACATTCCCAATCACAATTTCTGGGACAGCAGATAACCAATACCTTCCAGAAGCTAAATAGACATTTATCAGACGAATTGAAATTGTTTTTATTTCTCTATTTTTGTATGATACTTCAAATCGCATTCTGTTTTCAAGAAACTACATATTACAAATACGAAATTTCCCAAAAGTATTTCGAATAAATTTAGTAAAAAGTCGAAAGATATGACTATTACTTTACTCAATTTATATACGTAATGATTAAAAATTATATCAAAACTGTATTACAATTAACTGCCCATTTAGGTCACAGTTGCAGAAATCTATAAGTATAGCTTCCAGCACATGTGTGGTGCTTGTAACCATTTCATCAGTGATCTCTCAGAAAGACAAAAAATTTGAAAATAAAAATTGATTAGAAAAAGAATTTCTTCAATGCAAATAATTTATATGAACAATAGCTGTCTATTTACACATAACTCTAGTCATTCATTAATAGTACAATGGCTTCAAAGACAATAACTTACATTGTAATAACTCTTTCATTTCTTCATTTCTCATAATATCAAATGCATTTTGGCATCTTGAATTTTTTGCTCTCACATTACATCCCCATTCAATCAGGAGCTAGAGTAAAACCGAATAGAGGTATGAATGCATTGTATGAGTGCAGTTTGCAGCATGAATTTATAAGTACTACAGTCAGTGGATAACTGATAAAACAGGACTTAAATCACTTCAAATAAGCATGGTCATGAAGAACATTTTTTTTTCTTATTCTAAAACATTTCCAACAGTTTTTCCATGCAAGTTTGGACCAAAATGGAAAAGAGCATTGGTGGAAGAGCAACTACATGCCAAGTCACCAACATGCATGCCAAGTTATGTATATGTGAAAAAATCAATATTTAGAACAGAACAGCTCAAACAAAATTGGAGATGCATATTGACATAAAATGTTTCATACAATCATTCACCTTGGACACTTGTTTATGAAGACCCTCGGTTGCAAGAAATAATGGCGTACAACCTGACACATTTTTTGTATTTACTGCACATCCTTTTCGCAATAAGAACTGACAAATATCCTGAAATAAAATGTGATCTGGATAATAATGAATACAAAGAGGAATGGTAAGCCAAACAGTCACCATCAGCAATCATATCACTGGCAAAAAAAATCTGCAATAGGTATTTAAAATTAAAACGTTCAAAAAAGTAAAAAAGGAAAAAAATTCATACTCTATATAAAACTCACTTACAAAATGACCAAATCGTGCAGCAGTATGAAGAACAGTGTTCCCATAGTTTGATTCTTTGGATTTAATAAAATCCGGATGGGATTTATCAAAAAAATCAACCATTTTTTCAACAATAGCTTTGTCACCTTCCTTTACAGCTTTAAAAAACATTCGTTGCCACTGAGCAGTGTTGCCAGGAAATATTTGGTAAAGAAACCTGTCAGAAATAAAGTTGAACTGTGTCATCTGTTGCTGCCGAATAGAAAAACATACTGAATAATTTTGAATAAATGAGCATAAGATTTGAAAAATGCAAAAGAAAGTTCTTGTAACCTGTGACGCATGTTTCAAATGACTAAATAGCAAGAGGGGACACTTGTAGCTACAATGGCAGCAATATGGACTTTATTGAAACTATTGTATATCTTTGCATTTAGGCTGAGTTGCCAATATAAGGGGTCAGCTTATACGTGCATAACTCTGATCGCCTTGAAAATTTGGCTTACACATACATAATTGTGGTCGCACTAACAGATTTTGAGACACTTCCTACCGTTATTAATAAAAGTAAAACATAACAATAATGGTTATCATTTTATTAAATTCTCTTCTGCAATCATTTGCTGTGATAGACGTGTTACGATTTGTAGAGTCGGCTTATATGCAATTTTTTATAAATAATATAAATTCCCCATTTTGGACCGTTTTGGGGGGTTGGCATAGATGCAAGCATATACGTACTTAATAAGTATATTTCCCAAGACAAAGCTGGTTTGAACTTCATTAACTTACGTGGATCCAGCGTGAAGTGTCTTGTTTCTTGAATTGCTTTCAATATATATCTGAATAATATTCAACAAAGGATTATTCGAAAATTTTGGTTTGCGTGTATTTACAACTATATTCACATAAATAAATTACCTCATAATCTTTGTATTTCTCAGGTTCCAATACAGCCATCTCATGTCTTGGCATTCCCAACAAATCGCGAACATTTTTTGAATTTTCAACACCTTATAAACAAAAAATGGTACTCTTGAAGTATGAGCACCAAGATGTCGCATAACCTGAACCCTAACCTGGTACACAACCTGAGTTCAGGTTATCCGCCATCTTGGTGCGTATACTTCAGGAGGTCCCCAAAAATAATGAAATATGCAAATAAATATGAAAATAAGGTAATCGTTTATTTCATAAAAAATAGCACAGAACGATCTCATTATTTTTCAGGATTGAGAATATACATAATGGTTAAACATAGTGCTAACATTACCAACAAACTCAAAATTGTGTGAATGGCGACCTAATAGCCGGTTACAAAAAGGGCCATTCAAGTGAAGATTGGGACTATATCTATCAATATTCTATACACAAAGTAAACATTCTATGCAACTGCAGTGGCTCATTGCTAGACACAAACATTTCTAGTTTATTACCTTGGGAATTCAATAATTTAGTATCATATTATTCACCTGTAAAATCATCTAAAAATTCCTTAGTGCTCTTTTTCCTCAAAACAATTCTACGATCAGGTGCACAACCTTCATGTTCATATGCTCTGTAGAATCCTGATCCTTGTGTTAATTGCAAATTTATAACAAGTGCCAGACATAATTCATTGATTGTCATATGCCTGCAATTCAAAGTATGGACGCTCAAACAATTCATGCCCAACAAGGTGATAACACCCTGCGAAATAACCTCATCAAGCAATGAAACTAGGGAGAACAGGGAGTTTTCTTGTCAAGGGAAAAGTAAAATCAGATTCGCGCATGGCCACGAGCCCCCTGTTGGGGAACCGCTGACATATAGGTCGTAGGTTGAGAAAAGTAAGAATTGGTGGAAAGGAGTGAACCTTTGGTTCTTTCAATTTCAAGATCTGAGAGCCGACATAATGGAGGAAAAATACTGCATCAATGAGTCATCTAAAAAATAATGACATAATTGAGAAGTCAAATCCTGATCAATTACCGTGGAATATGAATAAGATCAAATCTTGTTCTCATTTTTTCCGAAATTATATTTCTTGTTTCATCCTGTATCTGTTGTACATAATTCAACCATTCCATGATGTATTCAATATCGTAACTGTCATTCAAAATTTCTTGTTCTAAAAAATCATGTATGTGTATTAGTAAGAATTAGAATCTAATATATTTTTATAAATTTTGAAATCTCTTTTTATTTCTGAATTCTCAGAAAAACAACATCGAATAACTAAATGACAAAAAAGATTATACACAACCCAGCTTTTTACTGACATAACGTACTATACGTACTATCTTACATGAAAATAGAAGTGGGTATTACTGGGTGTTACCAGAGGCTTTGGGCTCATGCCCTCTTCACGGCTAGAAACATGTTTTTATGACATACTTTTTCTTTGGTGCCATGACATTTTAATACAACTTCGAGGTTTTTAGCTTGTTTTCAAGTTTAAGATATACCAAATATACTCACCTAATAATTACACAATATGTAAATTTTTAGTTTACATAGATATTTGAAATGTCCATTAATTATGCCAGAATATATTTTATGGAAATGTAGAAAATTTTTCCTGGGGTCATAATGCTTTTAACAGAAATTCAATACGATGTCACAGTGAATATTCATATTATGTAAAATACAAAAAAATATTACGGTACATCATAATATGACGTCAAAAATTGTCAACTTTTGAATACCCCCGCTTTTATATGTATCACAATTTCATTCCGTATTTAGATAAATTCTTCTCCAACACAAATCCTTTCCTGTTTTTCTATAATTAATGATATATTTAATAAATATGAGAAATAATATGCCATGCAGGCTATATTTGATATTAATTGTATCATTGTACAAGAAACCTCTCTGATTATCTTCCAATAAACTTTCTAATTGTTGTTTATTCCGGAGATCTTGTACTAATTTGATTGTTTCAGGAAATTTTGCTATTTCAGATTCTTCTTCTCTGATCAGTAACTTCAATTCTTTCTGTGAAAATAAAAACCCTTCAAATGTTGTTGGAATTTATTTCGGCAAATTCAGTTATTTATCAACAATCAAGATTGGGCTGTTAATATCGTAACTGTAACCATGATTTATCTTTCATTCATTTTAACTGGTGAGAATCATATAGGGTAGATAGAAATAAAACTCTTATATCCATGTGATTTCTATTGAAAAGTTTGCATTGTACGATTCATTTAGTAACATGATTTATATAGTGGAAAAAACTCTTTTTTGAATTGCTAAGTTTTATTCAAATGATTCTTAACAATAATGTTGCAAACCATGATTTGATGTCAGCTTAAAGAGGAGCACCTATTTATTTTTAAATAATTTCTTTTTCAAAATTTCGACATATGACATTTTATTTCAAAACACTCAAGTTAGAATACCATTTTAGAGACAGAAATATTCAAATAATCTGGCACTCAAAGTTGACACATATCATCATTTTTAAGATAAAATTTTCGAATCAATCCTATAGAAGTGCTAAATTAAGAAATTGTCCAATTATGTAAAAATATTTATTATGAATATAATATCTGAATAGCTAGAATACTTGAACATCTCAATTCCCAAGTATTGTATATAGACAGGTTTTTCCGCAAAATTTCAGATATTAGTGATAAAAATGAAATTAAGAATTGAGAGTTTAGAATTGAGTGAAAATGTATATTTAGCCTAAAATAATAATATATCTGAGTTGAATGAAATATTTCATGACAATACAAAGAACAGTAACATACCTCACACATAAGGTATCACACAATTGTTCTCAAGAACAAAGAGAAACATAACAACAATAGATTTAAAGGTCGACTTAAATCGTCTCAAACACCCAACACAATAGATTTCCAATGACAAAGCCATATCAGGTTTTAACGTTTACAAATGTTTTAAAAGGCTTTGCAGATAAAGTTTCTCGGATAACAAGATAATGTTTTATTTACAACCACCTATTAGTTATGTATCTGTGGTGTTATGATGATTTTCATAATAGAGAATAGTAATATTGCCTGAGTGAGAGTATAAACTCTTTCTCGGACTCTAATTTCCTCCGCTCCGATTGGTGGAGGTGGTTTATTTGAGAAGTTTGTAGTATTTAATTTAAATGTAATAATTCTTTAGTACTCCTAAAAAAATTTCCAATCATCCATAAACAAAATTTATAAATGTCAAAAAATTATGAAAAATAATATTAATATCAAACTACTAAACAAATCTGATAGAGATATATCTGTTTGTTGGCAACGTTAATCTTTTCAAACAATAGCGATCAGATCAATTTGAAGTACTTCAGTCGAGTGGACTCTCACGTTCGTTTGTTTAATACTTCAAACAGTAAACAGATACTTACCAAACGTTCAATAACTGCTTTCGATTGTTTGTATTTGTAGCTGCACATAAAAAAGAAACAAAGAAAAGAACAAATTGACTTCGGATCAGCTTCTGATATATCTTCCGATCCCATTGGGTTTGTGGCTCTCAACATTTTCCCGATTGTTTCTAATGCAAGATTAATTGTCCACCTATAGCAAAATAATAAATTCGTCAAAAATTTATGTATACGTAAGCTGAACTAACATGGCAAGCTTTACAGAAATCTAATACATAACTTTCTACGCCCTAACTAATACGCCCAAATGGGTTCGCTGAATATCATGTCATTCCGAGAAAGAAAAAATCCCATCACTGATCGTGGCATAGTCTGCAATATATTATGCATTAAGTCGTCAGTTAAATATGTTTGATTACCTGTCATTTAACATAATTTCTGTCGTGAAAGTACCAGGAACAAATGAATTAATAAGTCCACATAATGCTCTACTATCAACAAGATCATCAAGACTATAAACAGTCAGTTTCGTCCTTCTGAAACTCGCTAAAATAGAAAAATTTATATACATAAAAAAAAACATTTTGGATACAAACTGCATAATTGGGAAGTGAAGAATATGGGATATCCAAAAATTAATGTGAACGTAAATAAATATAAAGACTAATACTACCATGAGTTGTGAATTGATCATATCTAAAATACAATCATCTGGTGATGGATAACTGTACCATCCTCCTTTTGGTCTTGTGATTTAAAACTTTTCATTTTGTCGCTACCAGGAAAAGCATCATAACCTGAAAATCATGACCATAAATTAATATTTTTTAAAACATGAATTGCTTTAAAATGATGCATATTTAATTTTAAAAACATAGTATTCATGCAATAAGAAATCATAAAATTCTTTAGGAAATTTGACTTCCATTTTCAATCATATATCACAATATGAGAAATAAAAACTGGATGGCAGGTAAAGCAACAAAAGTTGAAAATTTTAATATTTAACAACTGGTTGGGATAGAGCTGCTCACAAATTTTATTTCAGTGGAATAAAAACCTCTTCATAGTCATTTATAATCTATTTGTCTGAACTATATATATGGTTTAGTGAAATTAGATAATCAAAAAAAAAATAACCCTCAAGATTTTCTGGAGATGGGCTGTCAGGTTCAACAACAGATGCGGATCCACCAAATCCCATCAACATGGAATCATTAGTCCGAGTTACTCTTCTTTTCTTTTTCTTTGGTGGGGGTTCTGGGGTCCACTTTACAAAAAAAATTACAAATGACCTTCTTAAAAAAGTAAGGCCTTGACAAATGAAGAATTAAAAAATATACAGCAATAGTACATCATCTTACAATTGAACTAAAAATCAGTAGCTAAGTAGGCTATGTGTATTCTACACAATAATAATTTTTATTGGATTTGGTCTGAAGAAAACAAAATCAATAGAACACATTCATTTAATATGAAAGATAAATCAAGTTACCTGAAATGCAATTTCTGATAATAAATGAGCATCATCACTTTGCAAGAATTCCATTCTTTCCCATGTGAACCAAATATCATGTGACACAAGTCTCCATAATAGATCAAATACCTTTCAATTTAATAAACATTGAATGTATCAAAATAAATCATTATTTGAATCACATTATGGCTTTTCGTATTTTAACTTTTTGTTTGAAATACCATTGAGATTGCCTAACGATACTTGGAATATGAAAACACTATTAAAAATAAATTTTGCCACATTATGGTAACTTACATGATCTGCAACCCTTTGTGCGACCAGTCTTGCGTCAATCTTAACATTATCTGGTAAAACTTCAGACTTTTTCAATTCTTCAACAAACCACTCAACTCTTGTTACTTTCTGCTGTTGCGTCAAACCGTCCAGTGACTGTTTTTTTGAGTGTTTTTCCGGTCAAGCCTGTAGCACATAAGTATGTATGATCATTCAGTCATTAAAGGATATTAACCTGGCCAGTGGCATCACCTGACATATCAAATTTCTTGGAAAAATAGGGCGAACGCTTGAATTTTCTGCTTGAATATTACTACATTTTGCATATTTCTTGCCCAATAATAATAAATATAAAAAGCGAGATTGGCATGTTAACTTTCAGAATGATTGATTTATCAAATATGTAAATGGCGCAGTCACCTAAATACAATAATGAATATGGTAACACCAATTGTAAAAAGAAATAAACATACTATGGAGTAGCTGCTGCAAATGACTTCCTTTCATTAAATCTGTAAGAACGTTTGTGAGAAGAGATCCATATGGTACTAAACGTAAGTTGATCCATGCAGTGAATCCATTTATTTGCGTTTTCAGAGACATTGTGAAAAACGAAGAGCGCAGCAGATCGGCCTATCATTGCCAAAAGCCGCATACCAATTGTCGACAATATCAGAATATCGGCGCCGATTTTAAAACAAAGTAAACAAAATCACCAAGAACCCCAAGCCGTCACCGTGCGCTTTGGCGCCATAAAGTGTCAAAAAGTAGATTTGTAGTTGACATGCGAAATCAAACTTTTCGGAATGGAATGTTCAACTTAAATGTATAAATGATAAAAACAATGACGCTCAGAGATATAAGGTTTTGCTCCCGCGACAATGTTCCCGTTTGTCAGATTTCTATGCTATAAATTTTTATTTTATCGAGAATGCTCGTTTAGTGTAATTCCATCCCACCCAGTCGCCCCACGCAATATTATCTTGTCTTTATACTGCGTCAGCCGTTATCTACTGACACAAAAATAACGCTATATAGTTTTTATAGCATACATGATTATTTACTTACCAATGCCACGATGTCATACAGTAACGCTTCAATTAGTACTTCCCATTTTTGTTAAAGAAATTTTTGTAGTTGTCTATTGCTGGACCACTAAGATCTATATATAAGTTGATCTCTGATACGTTTATATCAGAAGATAGCGATTGGCAAGAGGATATGGTATAGATAGGCTTTTCAGAATTCGAATGCGTAGTGCAACGAAATTTTTCACAGGGTGGTATTTTACTTTATATCTGCTGTAATATATATTACTAATACTCTTCACATACCATGCGCACATTATAAACTTTTCGAATTTTGAAAGACCGAAGAGCGAGTTGAGCTCATCACTAGCCAATGATCCAATAAAGATAATAATCCATTAGAGCGGGGGTCCCAAGCTCAGGATGATCCCGAATACAACTTTTATGTGCCTAGTTCACTGGTTCTCAACTAGTGGGCCATGGCCCAGTTCTGGGCCACAGAAACATGTTCAGGTGGGCCACAAACAAATTGAAAATTGCTGGAGTTATTGATAAATTAGTTAAAATTTGATTGTAGTAACAATGAATGATGATGCTGTTTTTTAATTCTCATTATTAAAGTGGAAATGTCTATCTTTTCGTTAATAATTTTTTGTTTTTTTGTAGTTTTCCCTTGCATAAGAAAGTTCATGGGTCACAGAATTTTTTGTGCAATCAAAGTGGGCCACGAAAGAAAAGAAGGTTGTGAACCGCTGGTCTAGTGCGATTACAGATCAATATATTTTTTCACGAAACTTTATTTTTTTTCCACTGAACTTTAGTTTGGTGTTGTTGTTAATACCCTTCGTCCGTCTTAGAGTTCGGTCATGTGGTGGTATTTAGTAAAGTAAAATAAGCAAAAACATTCAATCTAGGTTTCAGTGATTTCTTAGCAAGTTCTTATGAAAACACACTACCTAATTTCTTTCTCGCCGGCGTGGCGCATCGTGCTAAGGGTGGCGCGCCCGAGATCGCCCCATTGTTTCGAATGACGCCGTTTACACACAAAGCGTCGATACGATCGCCACCGCACTTCTGATTACCCTGCGTATTGTGTAGTTTTAGCTTTACACAAGCTGCACTTGTTTTACAAAATTCATGTGCAAAAGCACAGATTCGCATGTACATGATATACCAATCTTTTGAATCTAAAATCTTTTCATGGTTTCAAAACTTAGAAAATATTATATATTTTCAATCGGATCAAATTCATTGTTCCATCAGATTTTTGTAGTCGTCAATTCGAGTCCATAAAATAATGTTTTCCAATCGGCAGTGCGGGAAAAATAAGCAGCGAAGAGTATTAAAATAGTGAAGTAGCATCAGGTTCGCGTATGCCTACCAAAACATTCTGCTACCCCCTTCAACACATGAAATTCCCAAAGTAGCCGCTTTCACAAGACAATTTAAAACAAATTTAATTGTATTGTTATGCCATAAACGTTGTTACAGCCCTATTGCCAATGGTCGCACAAGGGTATATTATAGTCGTTCACTTACTGTTAGATTGAATTAAGTCTGATTTATCATCAATTTTCATCACTGAAATGCTGGTATGTATTTGCACTTTTATCTTCCTGTCTTAGCAAGTCACCGAAAAAACGTGGCGAATCACGCTGTGACCCGTCGGTCAGTGATTCGCCATCCCTGTCCTGGATGATAGCCATGAACTTAAAATACGCCGGGAACTCCTACAGATTTCGAATAGTTTTGAGAGAATTGGCCAATGCTCTTCCAAAATTCATTGGTCCTGAAAATTGTCAACTTTTTATATCGAAAAAACTTCCGCCGCAGTTACAGCCATGTCCTCCTCTACCTCCGCGTTATCGTGATGGCAAACGCTTTGAGTCATCCACGAAGGCATCGCCCAGTCACCCAGCTCTGCACGGTGCCGAAACAGTGTGATATATTCATCCTCTAAAATCGAGAGTGGAATAGAGCACCGCGGACCATAAGCGGAATTCTATAAAATTGACCTAACTGTGCTTTTCTGATTTCTTCAGAAAGCGCCCTCAATTGAGGACCAGACCCGGACGATATCCACGTTCGCCACTCAGTTGGTTTGATTTGCCAGTTTATGAGATGATCGTGAATAACGGCTTGCTGGCGGTATTCAGCATTCCGGAACACAGAAGCACGGATAGACCAGAGACCGACCTGCGAAAGCCCCACCAAAGATGTCAAACACCTCGCCCGGCGAGGACATTGAGACCGATTCATCCACTAAGCTGGAAAATTTTATAATGCCGCTCCTCCAGGTTTAGTAGCCTACATTTAAAAAAACCGCGGGGAGTTGAACTCTGGCGATCATTCGATGCGGAAATTGAGTTCTGGTGCGTCATGGTTAGCGCGGGGCGCTATGGTTAACGGCGAGGTGGTATAGCCTATTTATAATGTGAGAAATAAAAATTATTGATTTAGGTTAAGATGACGAAACAGGAGAAGGACGACGCTTGAAGATCGAAGCACGTGAAATTTTCGCTCAACGACAGTGGTTGGAAGTCGGAGATGGTGTTGTTATTTTCTCGACGACGTCAGCAAGTCGGAGTTATGGTTGTTGTTTCTTCAACAACGACTGATTCTTTGTTAGTGAATCTTTGTATTAAATTTGTGGGTACCAATCTTTTCGGATAGCGTAGAGATATTTTTGCCATAAATTTGGTTGCCACCGTGCCACTATAGAGGGTCAACATAGAGATACCACCTCTGTGTGACGTCATAGTTCCGCATGAGTAAAGAGGTATGACCTTCTCAGCGCTTAACTTTGCCGCCAAATATTTTGACCGAAGGGTTTTTTGTTGCCCCAAGCTGCGGGCATTTTTAAGTTATTTTGTAACGCTTCGTATATATATATATATGAGTAGATTAGCTCTAAAAATCACGCTAGCTTTCGTTTCGATGCGATATTTATGTCACAGACTGTGAACTTGACCTTACCGTGTTTACGGTAACTGCTGAACTGACAGCAGTAGCAATAATATTATTCAGATATTGCTATTTCATTTTCGGTAATTTTGCTTTCAGGCCCGTACCACAGTATTGTAGACAACTTAGCTCTAATCTATCTACCGGTACATATAGTTCTAATCGTAGGTACCGTACTTGCACAGGAATCCTTTATTTCAACTTATGTGAAGAGGGAACACAGTTTGGAGAAGCAAACCAAGTATTTGTGGTATCGATACGTGAGTATTGTTATATATATATATTAAGTGATTTAAATATTTTTTACTATGCCAGCTGGAACGCATTGTGCAGTGCCGGGATGCAGCTACTCCTATGTCAAGTCTAGGAAAGCAGGACAGTCTGTAAAAACACTATTTTCTGTTCTTCGGCCCGATCTGGCAAAGACTCCTCAGGAAAGGAAACACCGGGAGGGGTTGTCCAATTTTTTATTGGCGATGAGAGACAGTAGCAGAGGAGATAACATCAAGGCTATGCTGCACAAAGAAACGTAATGTACTTATCTAGGCATACTAAACATATAAACAAATTTATACAGCCTATAATAGTATAATTGAGTAATTGCGTTCAAAAATTCTGCTGTGTGGATTATCAGAAACCCGGAATATTTGTTAATTTTTCTTATCGTATATTTATCGTTATAATTTGCTAAGCCTACCAAGCCATCTAATTTGTTTTGCATTTAATTCAAATTTTGCACAAAATGACCATAGCTAGCTTTTGACATCTTCATATTGTTATACCAATATACTTTACCTTTTTATATTTAGGGCCTCAATATGTGAAGACCATTTCCTGGGAACCGATATACTTCGGCATGGGAAAAAAAGCTCTTTAAGACTCGGAGCAGTTCCATGCAGAAAAATTCCCAGGAGTTCAGCTGTGTACCAGGAAAAAACAAGACCTCTCCCAGCTGTGCGTGAACCACTGCCGGAAAAAATTCGATATCGATCTACTAGGAGTTTGGTCAGTGCCACTTCATACTTGTCGCAATCTATGAAAGGTATGCATCTGTAGAAATTTTTTTTGCTTGTTTAGCAAATTTTGATTGAACTTTTTATACAGATAAGTGGGCTTTGTATGAGCACCGAGGAAAATTTATTGCAGAGATGAGAAAGGATGATTACTGCGTGCCTAGTATAAGGTAGTTGTTTTTAAACAGAAGTTATCAATTATAGTTTGGTTTTCAACTTGCAGAGAATAGGATAACATTTAGTTTTCAATTATTTTGTTGCTGTGTCATTTGAGTAGTAATTGAGTTTGACAGCATGAATTGTAAGTTCAGCAGTTTTTCATTGTAGCGCAAGTTTGTCGTTAGGGAATATTTTTAGATGGCAGAATATGAAAACTCATACTAGGAGGCTACAGGATTGTACAGAGTAAATAGCTAAGATAAATTGCAAATACCAAATCACAAATATACCCATGAGCCATATGACATACCAAATTGTATCTAACAACTTATCAATCTAAAACAAACTGAAATAATTTTACACAATGATGAAAAAAGAGAAGATGGTGCAATGCAAAGTGCTCATTTTTCTGGCTGGAAAGTCGAGATTGCAAAGCTAGGAGTTGACAGATGTGATACTCTGAATTCTGTTTTAGGTATACATTTTCTTTTGACAAGTTCACCTTTGTTTTATTCTGTAACTCAAATTTGTGTTATCCATTTAAGACAAATTAGGCAAATTGGAGTTGTGTTGCGGTATTGATCGGCGGGATGGCAGTACATTGGTTCACCCAGTTTTGTCGTGGGGAGGTGACAAGATTAATATCAAAAATATATATCGGTCAACATCATGTAGCACAATTGGTATGTTAGTAAAAAATCGCTGTTCGACTGTCTCGAGAGCATATATATGATTGCAGGATATTTTTAGTGGATGTGTCAATTGGATGCCCAATGTGCAGCAGCTGCATGTCAGAACAGTTCAAAAATGACGAGGAAGAACACCATCCAAGCCAGGTCATGTTGCAAGTTGATGATACTGTGCATGATATGATCAAGGTCATGTTTACTTTTTGTTTTATTTCAAGATCAAATAATTTTTAATGCACTAGAATCAAGAGATTAATTGTATGACTGACTTGTGAATATTTTTACAGGCCACTTTCGCTTCTGAAAGTTCCATCTTGAATACTTGGCAGCAAATGATTTTTGGTCAGCAGCTTGCCAACTCCAATGCTCACCCCTCTTCACGTCGGTACCATCCAGATGTGATTCGTTGGGCTATGGAACTCTATTGCAGATCGCCTTCTGCCTATGATCATCTGCGAACAAGTCAGGTGCTGACTCTCCCTTCCCCAAGCACTTTGAATCGCTACAGGTAAATGTAATGCTTCTGACAATTGTTGGGGTGTACTATGGTAAATTTAAATTAACTTTGATAACCATTTGGCCATGTTGTTTTCTTTCAGTCTATTTTAAACGATTGCTGATTTATTTTTTATTTTTGCAGAAATGTCATTCCACCACAATCTGGGATTAACAAACTGGCATTGAAAGAAATGGAGAGAGTCATCAAAGACAAGGGTTCATTGATTGGATTTGTTGCTCTCGATGAGATGAAGGGTAAGCTCACTTTAATTTTTATTTACAATCTTACATCATTGTCATATATATGAATCTCTGATACAGTTAGAGAAAATCTGGTCTGTTGTAACGGCAAATTGATTGGTTTCGTGGACAAAGAAATGGCAAGGAATGGCAATAATAACCAGCTTGCTTCACACATTTTAGGTAAGTTGTTACTGGGGTTTTACTACGGTAGACTTTTTATGTAACGCAGTATTAATGTTCTACATGTTTCTTCAGTATTCTACGTTAGAACCGTGAAGCGAGATCTGTCGATTCCTTTGGCGTGGTATGCAACCCGTAACTCCCCAGACTCCAAGCTTTGTCGGGTGTTTTGGAACTTTTAATTGAATGTGAGAGCCGAAGCGTAAAGATCCTTGCTGTAATCGCAGATGGTCACAGTACCAACCGCCGCTTTTTCCAACTTTTAAGTGGCAACTTGGAATTGCCTTGTGATGGTGTATTGTTTGCTCCTAATATATGCGACTCTGACAGGAACATATACCTATGTTCTGATCCATTACATTTGATCAAGGTAATAAAAGAAATGGGCAAATGGCATTGTATAATGTTTACCATGATGCGTTAATTTTCAACAGTCTTTTTTTCATTTGTTCAGACTGTTCGAAACTCGTTATATGCATCAAAAGTTGGTGGGAAGAAGCATATGCGCCGAGGTGGCCAGGACATTGTGTCGAGGCATATTAAAGATCTTTATATGCAGGAATCTGTTCAGGTCCTTGGCCGTACCAGACTGAGTCCATCACATGTAGAGTTAACACCAAGGTAATAGTAAGGTAAGCTAATAGTCTAATTGTGTTGGTTTGGCCGCACGACACGCTGATGAAATCCCTGAAATGGACTTATTTCAACTAAAATTTTTGGAATGGATGGAATGGAACTGCCAAATTTGTTTTGATGTTTGCAAAGTAAGTCGGTCATTTTTTAAAAGAAAAAAAATTCCCTATTTTTGTGTTAGTTATGCATGTATCGTCCATTCAGATGGTATGAAATTGTCAACTTCCTGTAATTGCCCCATACGATGCGTCGACGATGGTAGACTGTCTTGGTTGAAGAATGACTTCATAGGTTCACTGTTGGAGTGGGAAGTGAGTTGTATTTTTGTTTGGTTTATTCAATATGATCACAATCTCTAAAAGATCTACAACCATAGCATTTGAAGATTATATTATATTTACTATGCCATAACATTGGAAATGAGAGATGTCATTTTGGGGTTGGCTATTGTTATTTTCATGCATTATTTATTCTTGAAAACAATTATAGAATGAGCATGGTGGAGATGAAAAGAGTTTTCTGGCTCGCCCAACCTTAGAGGGACTGAAATTCACCACACACAATTTCATAGAGATGTGCAAATACCTTCTGGCAAATGGTTTGGAATATGTGTCTTTGCACTGCTTTAATCAGGATGTTTTGGAAGCTTTATTTCGGAAATTTGGTGAGATTTTTTGGGGGGCTGAACTGTATGGGTATCTATCTAGCCATGTATATATCTAATCCGCAGCATCACATTCATAGAGACAACTTGGATCTAGATCAAGCATTGCAAGCAATCCAGACATATCTCAAGTATCCTATGGAATAACCCAAATTTCGCAAAGAAGGTCAAAGGTGGTAATACAACCTATGGGAAAGCGAATGCTTGGACAGACATATGTGAACATCCATTGCCATCAAAAAAATGAACATTAGCATAATTTCGGCTGCAATCATGACTTACGATATTTAGAATTTGCAGATTATGCTTTTTCTCTTATAATATCGTGGATTGTTGCCATAAAATCAATATTGGTCTTTTGTTCGAAACATTTGACCATACACACAAAGCTTTGGAGTCGGAAGTCCAACATTTTTTTATATCGTAGCTGTGCGCAAAATTTGGTTGAATTAATCAGAGTCAAATTTTTATCGTAATATCCCATTCAAATTTTTCTAAAAAACTAAGCATTGAATTGACTAGAGTATTTTCAATAGATAATTAAATTCAGTAAGACTCAATAAAGTTTTTGTAAAAGTTTGGTTTGTTGTAGCCTGTTTCGAACTCTTCGTCAAATTTGAATTATGGTCTAAATTTACTGGACTTCACAGCCTGCTCGGAAACTTATTGGTGCTGTTTTATAATAGCATGGCAATCGAATAACAAGTTTGGAGGCAGAAGATTGAAGTGGATGATGCAGTTTATTGCCTGGTGTATTTGAGACTTTGTGTATTTTAGTCGAATCAAATTTAATTGGGTGCTTTTTGTATGGTACATAAGAGAAACACTGAGATAACCCGGCCCACACAATAATTAAACAATAGACTCAATCAAGTACCTCAAGCTTTTTATTTTAGCAGTTACTAAAAAAAACTCATGTATTTTTTCCTCATAAATATTATGGAGCTTTAATTAATTTTATAAGACAACATAACATCACAGGGAATGATTTGAAACAAGGGAAGCATAGGTACTTTACAATAAAATAGTGAACAACCTTAATGGGGGAAATAGAATTGTGTTTCTTCGAGATGGTACTTTAGAAGGGGCCTGCTCTAATATTCATAGTAAAATATTGTCCAATGGTGTAAAATCCTTTAATTATAAATTAATGTGGGATAGGCTTGCACGTAATTGACAAAAATCAATTCCGTAATTACGGCCAAATCGATTACGTAATGACCCCGTAATTGCGATATTTTTTTCACACATTTAAACCTATCATAACAACCAATTTAATCCACTTCTATTCCGAATGGGACATCGAAGTTTGGTTTTCATATTCCCGGCAGTACTACACGCCGGCGACAGATGTTAAAGACAAATATCAAGGAGTGAATTCAAAATAATTTTATTCTGATTTTTATCTTTTGTATTAGCTTTGATTTTTTTTATCCACTTTATCACCAAATTTTATGCGATCAATTTTATCATTACCAACACTGGTAATATATTTAAGAAACAATAGTTCACTTTTTTAAAATCGTATTAACGTATTAATACGACTTTCGTATTAAATAAAAATTCCGGGTTGCTAATTTATTAATCAACTACAAGCGTATTCTCTCGTTTGATTATACTTTCGCTTGCCTCGCGACGAAGACTTGTTATTTCACCGTTTTTTAGAATATCCGACTTTACTACTTAGTTAGCATTTTATAATAATTATAGATGCCGACTTATTGACGATATTCCGAATTCCATGCTTCATTTTACATTAAATCATTTCGTGGCCTAAAAGTTATAACATTATTTGCGATAAATTTAGATCAAATATAAATTATTTGCGCATTATTTAAAATACCGTACTTATATGACATGCCTTCTCCGAAAATACAAAGTTATATCGCAAAACAATGCATTTTGTGACATTTATTTTGCACTCATGAAAATATTAATTTATTTTTCTAACTCAAGTCGACAATCCTATTTGCCAAGATTGACACAAGTTTGGTCGAGTGCCGGTGGTATTCGAGTCGACGATAAATCAAAATAAGTTGCCGCATTTGGTAAAGACAGGTAATCATATTTGGCCGACATAATGCGAGGCATTGTGAAAAACATATTGAGCAATGCCAAGTCCGGACAGATATATAACGATAAAATCGGTAACAGAACATCAAGATTTTGTAATAGAAAATGGATCTCGCGCAGAATAAACACGGGAAATCCCGTCGTATTGTTGTTTCTCTGCCGTCTCAATCGCTTTACCGATGCCGAAAAGACTAAGTTGCGTTGGTTCATTAAAGCAATTTCTCTTCCGTCTTTATATTGCTGCTTGATAAGCGCGACATTAATTATCATGGCATTTACAAATAGACCAGGTTTTATAAGTTGATCTCTTACATTCTTTAGTCATTTCACCCGAAGAAGTTGAAACCAGGTGTGTTGACGTCCATCGGTCTCAACACAATTCTATTCCTTATCTACGGTTAATAGGTACATTGGCCATCCTAGATAAGTTGATAATAGGTTAGTAAATGACGCGTTATCCCTTCCCCATCTGCCTAACAAGAGAGAGAAAAACGGCTGCGAATACCGGAACTCTAACTTCTTTTACTTAAACTTTAATTTTTTACAATCGACGGAATTGACTGCTCTGAAGAGAGCTCGTTTCATCACGAAAGCACTCGACCAATAATTACGACTTTACGTAATTCGTAACTTCCCTTCCGTAAATCGAAGTAATTCCGTGAATTACGTGCAAGCCTAATGTGGGATGTTCTTCCTCTTAAAGTAAAACCCAGAATCAGACATGTTGCTGGCAATGAATTATGTGTGTTTTGTTCACAATAGCCTGAGTTTGTTTCACACATATTTTGGAACTGTCCATTCACACAAGATGTGTATGATTATGTTTATTCTATTGCCTTAAAAATCAATTATTGTGTTTTGAGAAATAATTATATTACGTGTATTTTATTAGATTTGAATCAACAATGTTATTCACAATTGTCAAACTTGGAACGTTATACTTTTATTTGCTGATTCTTGCCAAATCTGGTCTAGTACCTCTAGAACAGACCCCGGGGCCCTCTTTTTGAATAATTTGTAAAACAACTTTCTTGCATATGCATGTGAAAGCACTCTTATAAATAAACTCGTTACATATCTTGACACTTTCTTTGTGTCCATTGCAATAGGGTAGCATGTCATTGACATTGGTATCAAAGTTTTGAGACTCTTCTAACTTATTTTCAATTCCTGCAAAGTCTATAAGATGTGGCTGTTTAGCACATTCCTGCGCTACTTTTTGGTAAGCCTCTTCTAATAGTAACAAGTATGCTTGAGTTGGATACTTTAGCTTTCCCTCCGGGAACTGAGGTAATGGGATTGTTGAATGGGAGGGCCTTTTTGCACAGAGGGAGTCCAGGGCTTTTGCTGATTCTGCAAATTTAATATACCCCTTTTTCAGGGTATATCCTGCAATGTACTCAATTATGCCTTTTTCATAACTGTCGACCTGTTCGCAAAATAAATTCTTCGGGGTGGCAAATGTTACATTGTCATCCAGTGGCTTGAGAATGTAGTTGGTTATTTCCAACATGGCTTTCGCTGTAAAAAAATTTTCCGTATGCCCAGCGAACATCTTTGGCGAGAGGTGTGAGCATTGAAAGAATTTTAGCATGACTTGGTCAGCTCCTTTCTCTCTGGCAAAGACTTGCATGAGGGCTTTTATAATATTCAAGCCTTCAAATGTTAGCTCTAAGTAGGATCTTACGTTATTGACCAATTTTATAACTTGATCATCGGAAACTTCCGGAGTTCTTCTATTTTTTACTTGTGTTGATGCTTTCGAATGAGGAAATTCTTCGATTTTATCGAAATCCTCAAAAAGGAACTCAACAATTCCATGTATCTCGTTAGTAGCCATTACAGATGAATAACAGTAAGTAAGATAACTTATAAGTTACTGAGTAATAAACTAGAGCTAGGCTGGGTATGTGAAAAATAATTAATTACAGAGATTGTGCAAATTGACAATCGAAACGTGGTAATGCTTTTGACTTTTAATTAATCAACACTTCTTTTTTTCTCACTAATTAGGCTATGTGGCTGATTTCAGACAGATAACGGTTTTAGCATCGATTTAGTATGAGAATAAATGGTAAGATAGCAGTCCAATAAAAATAGAGTAAAATACAGTGGTTTTCAATCGCAGAGGCCAATACAATATTGATAGTATACAGTAAAGAAACATATTTAATAATTCTGAAAGCAAACTACCGAATCATGACCCTGAACTGATGGATTGGCTGGATACGAACCCGCGACATCTTGACACCAAACGGCCAACGCTGAAATAGATCGCGCTGAGAAAAACATCGCTTTTCCTACTTCCGTACCTCTTTACTCATGTGGAACGACCTTTGAACCCGCGAGTGAATTCTCTATTATCATTCTCTGTGGTGCCACTACCATGTAGGCTCGTTCAACCAAAATGGTTAACCTAACAAGTCCCAGCATCGTTTTTGCTAAATCTCTAAATCTGGAAATATTCGATTTCCCGCAACTCACTAAAAAATGAAATAATGACAAGTCTCTCCGAAACAGGAGGGCTTTATTCATCAATTGTAGGCTATAAAACATAGTTTATTTTGAGAAGTCTGGAATATACACAAATAAAAAATGAAAGATTTTGGAGAGTGATCAAAACTGTAGTCCTATTAAAAATGTTGTGTCCGCCGAACGATACGCACAAAAATCAAGTGGAAACTTGATAAATGAGGCTCAGGAACGACAAACTATAAAAATATACTCTTCATCAGGATTCCAATTCATTACTATATTCTGAGACATTTCCATCGATATATTTACGGTCACATACACGGATGAAAATAAAAAAATGTATGCTGGAGAAATTCTCAGCACGTTTTGGGGTCTTGCCACTAAACCAGCAAATATTTCAGAAAATAGCTCTATTATATTCCTTATAGTACTTACAATATGAAACACTACCAATAGTGTTACTTAGAATTATTTGATTGAGAAAACAGATAATCACGCTATTGTAATGTATATAAAAGTAATAAAATATCCAGAGAATGTACTCGAAACAGATTTTTTCAATTTTTTTTAATCAAGTCAAGGGTCAAAGGTGATAATCGTCAGCTGACTGACCCTGACCCATATTATCTTGTTCCTGAAAGTTGATGGTCCTCTTCGTTCGTTTGCCTGGCCTGTCTGTCTTTCTGAAAATAGCTCTATTATATTCCTAACAGTGCTTACAATATGAAACACTACCAAGTGTGTCACTTAGAATTATTTGATTGAGAAAACAGATAATCACGCTATTGTAATGTATATAAAAGTAATAAAATATTCAGAAAATGTACTCGAAACTGATTTTTTTTAATTTTTTTTAATCAAGTCAGGGTCAAAGGTGATAACTTCGTCAGCTGACTGACCCATATTCTCTTGTTCCTGAAAGTTGATGGACCTCTTCGTTTGTTTTGCCTGGCCTTTCTGTCGTGATGTGGATATGTGACCTAGCCCTACGCCTGTTGATTTATGCAGGATATTTAGTTAACAATATGATAAATCGCTCCAGACGGTACCGCTACTGACAGACTGAACGACAGCACTGGTACGGTACCGGTATCGTATGTTCAGACAACAGAAAGCTTTTTCATATTTGAATAATATTTTTCACTAAGTCTTGCTTAGTTCGCACTATTCTTTCATATGGTGCCTATTACTTCCAGTTATATTTCAGTACTTCAATCCTATTTCTGTATTCACAAGTTGGTGGCAAATTTTAGGGGATTCATAGTCAAGTTTATTTTTTCCTATTCTATTCTATTTTTATACTTATTTAAATAGTGGGAATTTCCCACAAAGCTGAATTTAGAGATTTAAATAGCAAAATTGTAAATGTATTGCCTATTTGAAAATGTCCTGGAAATTGGATTTTATTTGATGCCAAACAAGCGATTTCCAGGATAATGAAATTTAAGAATAGTACAATATTTTTTGCCTCCAATTCTTCAAAATGTATGTACCAGTAATCACTAAATAATGCTAAATAAATAATATTAAATAAGCTAAATTAAGGCTTGCTTTATGCACTTTAATAGTAAATGCTTAATTACAAATATAGATATGAAAGGATATTAAATTATTATCAATGTTAGATTGCTGAGTGTACTAAAACATACCGGTACCCACTGAGAATTAATTACATGCAGGACCAGCAGGCGGTCACTGCAACCTATGTGGTGTGAAATTTTAAATTTAATCACTATCAATTAAAATCAACTATGGGTCTGCATATTTCTGTGCGAGCAAGACTTGGAAAACAAAGTCCCAGTAATCGTGATTTCTTACTTAGTTAATAGGTAAAAGCATCTAAAGGCGAATTCATTTCCTGATATTATCGTTACATCTGTATATGTCTGCCCCATCTTATGCATCTTATTTTAAATTTATCGTCTACTAAAATACCACAGACACTCGATCAAACTGTGTTGGATGTTTACCGATTTTACGGGTTCTTTGTGAGCAAGTGCAAGTATAATTAAAGGAGAGAGATTTCCATGTGAGAGAAAACGCTAGTCTCTAATTAATAAATTAGAAACATGAAATACAAATTTTGACGCATAACGCAGAAAAGACGAAAATCGAATCCTGTTACCGGATCTGGATGATTCGAATCCCAAAGTATTCGAATCCAACAGGATTCGGTATTCTATATTGCCCTTTCCTAACGGTACCACAATCATCTACCTGTTAACAGTTATCACAGTATCAGAAATTTAAGACCGAGACTACTTTTCGTCTGACTAGCACAGTGGTTCTCAACCTTTTACTGACTGCGTACCGCTTTGCTGTTTTTTACTAAGGCCGCCTACCACCGACAAAGCTCCTTTATTTGGCATGGGGAAGAAGACACAAGAAACATGGTATGGGAGTACTTCACAATGTGGTACTACATCCTTTGTGGTGTAACACGCAAAACGGACAAAAACATGCGCATATCGCTTCATTTAAGGTGGGCAATAGCGATCTCTAAAGACAAGGACTGATAGCGCACCAGCGCTATGGACGTTTACCCGACCATTGACCCCGGAAAAATTCCCCCTATACTTTACTATTGCAAACTTTATGCTTATTCTGAGAGTGTTTTGATGTGTTGGCGCATATAAACTGGTTTACGTGTTTGAAACCATCAATTTTATTAGAATTAATCAATCATGTGCGGTTTGCAGGTACTGATATAGCTAAGTTTAGCCTTGTCCATCGCAGCATTTGCGAGTTTCAATTTTGAATACTGCGACTATTAAGTGAAGCTCCGCGGAAGACATAATGACTATTAACTTAATTAATTCACAATTCCTTTTTTTGAAACACAACTGAAAACTGACAAATATCACTCAAAACTACAAAAACGTGGCAATGTTTGCAACCATGCTTAAATATCTGTTTGAGCGACAGAAGTGTCTGATCGGCTGGGTGAGAAATTACAATTGTTACGTGTCGCGTCATTATTGACTTATTGCTGATTGGTTATAGGTACCGAAATAAACAAGGAAACTAATGCTTGGGGAAACATCCATAAACGCTGTTTAGCGAATACATACAGTAAAAATAAAGAAATAAAGCGTTGCCGGCATATTTCAGCCAACTGAAAGGTTAATTGTTGCAATAATTCAATTCTGCTCGCGTACCACTTGAAAAGCTCCCGCGTACCACAGGTTGAGAACCACTGGACTAGCAGATATATTGTTGTTGGTTCTTTGTTTTGTGAAGTGACAAATATGACTCTGACTCTAAAATGACCCAGAGATAGTACGGTGATAGTCTAATTCCAATGAAACTTAGAATCTATTTTTGAAATCAAGAAGTTACCATTTCAAATATTCAATCCGTTTTGGATCTTCTTGTTTCAGTCTCACTGGTGGTGGTAATGCGGAAGTCTGGTTAACTGTGATTCAATTTCTGTGGCTGTTTTTAATTTGCTAGTCATGTTTCCCTCGCATAGAAATCTTGATGAGAATCTTTTCTTTGGGCTCCGCGGTGTGCCGCATCATGTTAGGCATTAGAAATACACTCGCCACCGCATCTCTGATTACACTGCGTGGGTTCGAATCCCATGTGGGATTAATTGTGTGTAAGAGTATTGCTGGACTTGTCGCTGCCATAGGGTGGTTCACGTAACCACTGGTCGATTACGGCTTCTTCCACCATCAAGTCCATGCATCTGAAAACAAATAACTGGCTAACTAATCTTACATTGACTGGTAGCAGGACAAGAGGCCGTGGTTCACCATATGATTAACCTGTCTTGTCGGGTTTCATCTCCACCGAGATAAATATGTAAATCCTATCCTATCTCAACTTTTTTGTATATATGCCAATTACCAGGTCTATGTGCATTTTGGTGCATATGTACCGGTACTTCTCATTTTAAAGTTTCTAGTATATGTTTATTTTCTCAGCAATTGATTTGTTTTTCGATGTGTTGATTTTTCAGAATGTTCAAATAAGTAATATTATATTTCATAGCCTACTAACAACACATGGGTAAGATTGAGAAAAATATTGATAGACAGCTTCTAAAACCTTTTTTAAATTTTGCAGTGTATTGTTATTGCTAGAGATGCCTTGCACATATTGCAATGTTAGTTTTTCTATCATAAAATGGAAAAATAAGTGTCAAACGTGCATGTGCATGTTTTGCACTAATTGTATTATCGAGAAACGTTGTGTGGCTTGCCATAATGTACTCGACTCTCGTTTGCAGTTTGAAGGTTTGATGAAAGTCAGAGTTAAGGATTTGAAGATATATTCATCAGTGCGAGGTCTGCCTGTCAATACATGCAAAGAAAAAAATGAACTTGTGTATATGATATTGCAAAACTGTAATGCACCCAATCCACCACAAATGCCTCGCAAACCCAGCAATTCTACACCAAATTATCCACGCATGGCACAGAATCCGCAACCAAATGAGCAACGGAATAGACATGATAATAACCCACCATATCCACCTAATGGAAGTTACAGGATGCCGCAGCCAGAGCAATTTCAAGCTAATTCATTTCCGCAACCTCCTGAGTACAATCGAACGCAGCGAGCTTTTCCAACTGCAGATGAGATTTTGAGCCAGTTGTCGGGTTCATCTCATTTTAATATATCTGCAGGAAGCGACATTCCTGGTACAAATGTGGATCCACCTGAAACCCCTGTCAATGTTGAATCAGAAACTGATTCCAAACCTCCAATTAGTTCAACTCCACCCCCTAAACCAACACCCACTGGTAATGGAAACAAGTTATTGATAGTGGATATCACAATTGAGGCTCAAATAGACTATTTATCAATAAGGGAAATGAAGCAAATTCTTGCAGATAATTTTGTTGATTACAAAGGCTGTGTTGAAAAGTCAGAACTGAAGATAAGAGTAAAAAATTTATATCAGGACCGATCAAAAAATGAAGAAATAGTTTCACAAGAAGAAGCTGGAACTGCAGAAATGTCAGATAATACTTGTAAAATATGTTGGGATCAACCTATTGATTGCGTCTTGCTTGAATGTGGACATATGGCAACATGCACTTCTTGTGGCAAAAAAATGAATGAATGTCCTATCTGTAGGCAGTATGTTGTGAGATGTGTCCATGTATTTAGGACATGAGCCATGAGCAGCTTCACTTTCGAATTGTATAATTTTTTGCGCTGACTATTATTAGCAATTATTTTATAAACTTAACCCCTTTCTAGATTAAATGAATTTTTCTCTCTTTTGTTGCCTTCATCAAACATTTATGGTATAAAAAGATATACATTGAGTCCTTCTGAGTCATCGTATCATTCTATTATTGCCTTACGCATTTAAAGGATTTCAAAAAGAATAATTTTTTTTAAAAATTGAAACATCTATCAGATATGCAAAAAGCTATTCATCTCATTTGAAAAATCTGATTTTGGTATAAAATTACAGTAACATTCATTTTCATACATTAATATCCTAAAATGTTTTCTGTACTCACTGACTACATTTTCACTGTATTTTGGCTTAATATATTCTTTATAATGTTGATTGAAATTCGTAATAATGGTTTACTCAACATGTTTGTTTGTTTGTTCCTTATTTTCATACATATAAACTTTGCTTACAGTTGCGCTGTTCAAACATAATCTTGGATTTATCCATCAATTATATATTTACAGATTTATTGACAATTTGGTGTGTTTGGTAGAGGTATATTTGCATAACTTCAGCTTTATACTATAAATCCTCATTTGCCAAATTTTGATTATGGCTATAATGATTGTGATTTCCCTGTAGTCACAAGATGTAAAGCAATGAATAAAGTAATGGCAAATAATGGTCGCATATCCTACGCATTGTTCATAAGCTAATTTTTACAATTCCTATTTAAAACTACTTCTAAATACTGTATTCATTTTAGTTAGTAATGCAATGTAAAGTTCAAACTCTTTAAACTATAGCATTTCATGCGTTGTGGTACCCAATTATGGATATAGTACACCAATGCCGTAATTACCAGAAAATTATAATAAAATGCAGTGTTCTGAAATTGAACTGTTCCGAGAACAGGGTTTTTCAAATCATAGTGTTGTTTTGTAGTCTATTCCACAATATGACTTCGAAAATATGACATTTTAAAAACGATGATTATTTTGTAAAAATTCTTTTTAAATTTGTAACAAGTCTCCCCACAATATGACTTCAAAAATATGACATTTTAAAAACGATAGTTATTCTGTAAAAATTCGATTCAATTTGTAACAAGTCTCCCAAATGGGTAGCAAATCTTTCATTTCTTTAAATAGAGATTAAAATTAGCAATTCATTACCAAATTAATATACTGTACTACTAAAGTTCCCATTCATGTTAAAATTATTTGAACGGACAGTACAACTTGTGTAAAATGTATTTTGCATGTCCAGTCAATAGAGAACTTATTCCATTGGTTAGTCTTGAAGTCACTGTCAAGTTGGATATTTTTATAACAGATATGTAATGAATCTAATATTTTCTTCCAGCAAACATCGTTAATCTGTGATATGGTAATTTGCTCAAATCATTTGTCCACTCCTACTTCATAACCATCACTGGTGATCATTGAGTAACTTCTCATGGCTGAAAACTAATAATGAGTGTGACTAAACCAAACTGTGTCTCATAGATCTGATTGGTTGGATTTTCAGTATTGTAGGGATCTTTTCATTAGATTCAAGGATATAGTGTAAATCTTATTAGAGGTATCCACAACATCATATCTTGCATTTAAGATACTTTTACGTGTTCACGATCCCAGAATTATAATATTAATAAACCCAATAGTCATACCCAGATTAAGTTATTGTTTATGTATCACAGTACTAATATTTTGTTTCAATGCTTATTCCCTTTTATCATTATTAGTTTTGCAGATAGAAATACCATTTTTGTGTGCACTTTATGTTGATTGAAAATTTTTCATGCAATTTAAATAAAATACATTATAGTAATGCTTTTTGTTTCTGAATTGAAATAAACCCCAATTAATATGGCATTTATTGTTTTAGATTATTTTAGAATAAAAGGGCTTAATGTATGAAAGTGTACATAATAGTATGTAAAATGAAAAACAGTGGCTTTCTAAGTTTTTTTGTGTGACCTCAGGCAGCTTTAAGCCAATGTCATATATATAAATATTTCAAGGAGGATATTGACTTACAATTCAGAAAATAAGAGAAATATTCATCATTCATATTTTGTATTAGAGTGGCAAGACTGATAAATGCCTTGTGATAAGTTTTGGGGTATGGGACTATGACGCATTGTGATTGGGAACGATAAGAAATATTACATTAACATTTTTGGTACATTCAGCCACTGAGCATGATGGGTAAATCGAGACTCAAGTTACCGAATGTCAAGCTTTTTTGCAGAATAAATGCACAAGGCTCAAGAAATGTGTTATTAATTTCTGGAAGGCATTGTACATGAAGAGGTTGAGAACTTGCTGTCATAAATTCTAGATTGGCACATATGTGAAGGCTCTGTATGCCTAAGATCATAAATGAATTCAAATTGAGAATATTGCTTCTGATTTTTTGAAGTTAACATATATTGACTACATTATGAATATATCATCAGAAATTGAAAGTTTCAAGAGAGGCCGACTAAAGAAAACTGAAAGCAAAGTACGAACTTGTGATGGCAGAGTGTTCATAGAGCAACTCAATCCTGGAACTGGTCACTACTCAGCTTCAAAAGTTGAACAATTGGAATATGGTTGGGTGGGTGATGTAAAACGGGATTTACAGTTGGCAGAGGTGACTGAAAACCTGCTATTGGGATCTCAAGATGTTGCTAGCGACCTGGAACTTTTGAAGCAAAATAGAATAACTCATATTTTAAACTTGGCTCCTGCGGTTGACAATGTGTTCAGTGACGATTTTATATATCTCAAAATACCTATATTGGATATACCAGAAACTGATATTATCCCATATTTTGTAAATACTAATGAATTCATTTCCTCTGCACTGACTTCAAATGGTAGAGTTTATGTCCACTGCAATGCAGGGGTTTCTAGAGCACCGACGGTTGTTGCAGCATATCTAATTAAAACTAGAAGAATTTCTGCCAAAGATGCTTTGCTGAGAATAAAAAATGTCCGGCCTTCAATATCACCAAACAAAGGATTTCTTCAACATTTAAGTGACTATGAGAAACAGTTTGTAAAATCAGAGTAGGTTTACTAGTCAATCCACCCTGATACTACGCTATAGAAATTTTTTCACATTTCAATCAATGTTTTTTTAGTTTTTCAACCATACTCTATGTATTACCAGAATTATTGCTCCTGAGCTGATTATCCTTTGCACTTTCACAAACAATCAGTCATGATAATGAATACATGGAAAATTTAGCATCGCCTACTTTCATATTTATTTAACCCTGGTGGTTTAGATACTAACTCTAACCTGTGATGCAAGCATTATTAGGGAACTGCACTCACATTTAATCAGTGGAATAGCTCATCTATCACTTCTCAAAGCTGTAACAGATCTAAGACTTAGAAAACATACCAAAAGTTTCTCAGAAAAGACTATGAACATTGGATTATTATTACGAAAAACTAACAGAATCATATCTTTGTGCCCATCAGGGTGCTTAACCAAGTGTGATGGAATAAAGCTAACACTTGTTTAGGTATCTGAAACCAATCTTAAATACAAGCAAATTTTATAGAAAAAGAACTAATGAAAGTTCAAAAGTAAGTAATTTCACAAAAAAAAGTTTTACAAAATATACATTTTATCAAATGGTTTGAAACAGTGTTAAGATGTGCTAATACTGCACAAACATAAACCATAATATAACAATATAAAAAAGTATATGAAGTATTATTGTTCTCCATCTGTTGTCGTCTCCTCTTTTTCAGTTGGTTCATCTGTTGCTTTTTCCTACATAAACAATGTTATAATATTAAGAAACTAGTATAAATAGAATTTGTTATTTAGAAGAACATACAAAAACATAAGAGAGATGATGTACCTAATATTATCAGGCCTTTTTTCAAAGATAATGCAACATTGATATTTTAGCTATGTTCAAACTTCTTTGACAAGCATAAATACACTTGTACGGTTTCCTCTTGAGTTCTGTCCATCTAATAATTGCATATGGTTTTCGCAGAGATTTGATAACTGTTTTAATGATTATGTTCATATTTCTCAGTGACACAGGTGAATAAGCTCCATATCCCTATATCATTTGTATTACCGGTACTTACTTTAATATCACCAATTTCTTCAACATCTTTTTCAGTCATTGCTTTTTTCTCTGTCTCAATTGCTTTGAAAAATTCCTTTTCGGCTTTATCAATTAATTCTTGCTCTTCTTCATCATCTCCCCCAGCGGCAACTAAAGATCATTTTTATTATTAGCCGTTAATCATGGCCAAAAACACATATGTGAGATCATGCAGTTGGCACAAGCAAAAATGGAATATTTAAAATAGAGCATCTATGGACAATAACTGCAAAACCTCATTGACTGCATCAAAGTTGATCAAATTGTACTATGATTAAAAAATTTGCAGTAATGAACGAATGACAAAGTCTGGCCGAATTAATACAGAGTGATGACTGCACAAGCCCACTCATTACTATTAAGGCCAATAATGAAATGACCTCCCACTTCAATCATAAAATGAAATGGAAACATTCGTTTAATATTAAACATCATGATTGGAACAAAATTGCATTGGCATCTTACTGTTATATTTTCCCTAGTTTATTAACTTAGGTATCTGAAAACAAACGTTAGATACCTCTCTCCTCTTCTCCACCACCTTGCTGTGATTGAGTTCTTTCCTTAAGTCTTAATTCCCTTTGTCTTGTTTCAAGAATCTTCTCTCGTTTTGTTTCCCTTTCAAACATCTGGCAAATAAAATTTGAAGAATAAAATAGATTTAATCATTCATAAATAGTCAAAAAATCACATATGGAAATACGCCTTACTCCATTTATCAAGTTCTTTTCATTCTTCTGCATGTTCCATAAACCTTCAGATAATTCAAGCAGAGTCGTAGTACCAGTGTGTGAACCACATGCAATTATTTTTCCATTGTCTTGCACTCTCAAACTGTGCAGAGCCTCATCACAAACCTGGAAAAAAATAATTGTTTGCGATAGATTTATTTTTACTGCTCAAAATCTCATTTGTCACACTAACTCAGGGCAAAAGTGAATCATTCTGTATATAAGTTCGGTTCTAACTGAAAAACATTGGTATATATTTTTTTAATTTTCACTTGTTAACAGAAAAGTCTGCAAGAAAGCGAAGAAAGAGTTACTCAGATGGTGAACCATCTTATTCGTAAATTAAATGACACAATTATTTTCATATTTGAGAACTCTAGTAATGCAAGATGAAAATTAACTTAATTAATCTTGACTCAGCAGTTAGCCTGCCAACAGTGAATGCTTGCCAAACACCACTGACTGCTGCGCATGGGATTTGATGCTTCTCAATTATTAACAAGAGAGCAATGATCAAATTTATGTTTCAAAGGTTTAGAACAGTGGTTTTTAAAATTTTTGAGCCGAAAAATTTTACAAACTTCGCGCCCCCCCTATTTTTGCTTTGAAAAAATGCTTTTGTGATGGGCAAGTTGCTATATATTAAGATGGCGCTATAAGAGTGTTGGTCTCATAGCGTCATTGCTATGTATAAAGCCAAATAATGGTTGGTCATCATACATTCTCGTTTTTCCCCTCAGTTTGCAATACCTGGTAAAGTCAAACTAATTTTTAGGTAAAACTAAACACGCAATAAACCCATGCTTTAATGTATTTTCTGCCTAAACGTTTACAGACGACACATAAAATTTCAATCAATTGTTTACTTCATCACTATTGAGCGATGCCAAAATTATATACTGTTTGTTAAAAATAAGCAACAATTACAGACTTCTGCGCTTGCCTAACATTTCAAACAAAATGGAGAAGTACAAATTAATTTATGTAAAATTAAAAGCAGTTCATTTTTTAATAGTTATTATGCATGTGGACGTTTCCTCGGCCCTTGACCGCTGAAAAATAAAGTCGCTAAGGCGTTTGCGATTGCATTTTGTTTAAATCTCGATTGTTTTCGTAAGCGTGGCCTGCTATGCCGTAAAGATCTTGATTTTGGTGTTTATTCTCCCTAAATCAGAAATTTCCCTCGACATATTCTTGTGTCGCGAAGACGATTACAATTACTTTTTTTGTTTTCGAATAGAACCATGACACCTCTGAAGAAAACGAGTTAGTTTTTATTATATAATCATCAGCGACGAGATGCTGAAGATAGAATAAAGTAGTGAATCTGCAACCAAATATTTCTTTATTGTAAAAGCGAGATTATAAAATACTAAAATTAAAACGGAAAACATCATGAGTTTTGTTTTGGGGTGGACCGCGACAGATTAAAAACACTTTCTTAGACATTGCAAATCTTATAAATTCCTTGTACCTGCGGCACATCAGTAGTGTTCTAAAACTACCGAATTGAAATAAATTTTACTCCGTGGGATTTTATAGCAGACTAAGGAATCTCTGTAACGGTGTTAAAATTAATCGAGCATTGCAATAGAGCGGAGTAAGAGTTGCAGGGACAGCTCATAATGGTGAAATTGGCAAGAATACAAATCAAAACAAAATGTAATCGGGCACTTTGCCACACATTTTTATGGTTGCGGATTACCGTGGTATTTTGGAGTAGTGGTGCTTTTATTTTATCGACGCAATCGCAGATTTAATTTATCACAAATCAAATGAATAAAGCAACCATTTTAAATGAATAATTTATTCAACACGAAAACCATTACATATCTGTTGACAAAGTCGGCTCTTATAACGACTGGTGTAATCTCGAGGACTGACTCAGGGATTCGTACCGCGGGGATTTCGAGTCGATGAATATGTATTTTAATTGTACTAAATTAAGTATACTTTCTGGGATATTATACCAGATCTTTCTAATAGAAAAAAACGAATTCGCATGAGTGCAATATATATCAAAACTAAATATAATCGGGCAGTTGATCACACTTCAATATGTCCGCGGATTGGCGTGATATTTTAGATCGGTAATGAGTTTATTTTGACATGAGTCGCCGCAACTGCGAGTTACCTTGAACTCAAATGAATTAAAACAGAGAGACATTTTGAATTCTCGTAGTTATTACGAGACAGAAAAATTTATTATACCACAAAAAAGCCGGTATTTTTACGGACGCGGAGACCGTTTCAGGAGCCGTTACATGTAAATTTCCGATTCCATCTTGTGACCTCTCGCGCCCCCCCAGTTTAAGAACCCCTGGTTTAGAAGGTAACCTAAAAAAAATAATCAAGCAACCTGGGAGTACTGAAAATTTAGAATAGTTAGATACATTGGCTATGGAGAAAGATAATTTGTTCACAACAACAACAACAACAACAAGATGAACAACAACAATTTAGCAAAAAATCCATAGATCTGCTTTGTGTCCAGAAATTGATTTATTCACCTGTATGCTGAGTGTTGGATCATTTTGTTTAAACAAATAATCCCAAACATCAAGTGTTCCGTCCATCTTTGTTGTATAAAACACAGCAGGTCGTACTGGACTCCACATTCCATCAGTCAGATATGACATGTGGTATCTGAAAGTTTTTCATGATTCAAATTAATGGTTAAAAAAAAAATGTCATTGACAAGATGTTTTGATTATTGCATCTCACACAGCCTTATCAATATAAACTGCCAAAATTGCAGGTCACAAACATACTTGGTCCACATGATGCATGATTCTCTGATATCTTCAGACCAGACTCTTGCTGTCCAATCACCAACTGTCAAGAAATTCTTTGGGAAGAATGGATTTCTTTGGAGAGAATAAACTGGTCCATGATGGCCAGGATACAACGAGACAATTTTTTCTCCAGGCGTTTTTGCTTTTCTGTTGCAGGAAACGATTTGCCCTTGCTCTGTTCCAACCATGAATTTTGTTGGCTGAAGATTAGAACAATAATTTTTATGAGAATGAAAAATTCACTTGCAAGAATGAAAATAATCCTAAACTGAAAACTTAAAGTAAATTTGTAAGGTCAACTATTAAATTAGATATAAATTTTAAAGACCCAGAGGATTCGATTATAAACTTCAATATAGTAATGGAGTCGATTTGGGTAATATACTATATAGTTCTTTATTACCATTGTTGGTTCATATTCCAGTGCAATTCCTCCAAGTGCATTCTCTATGTTAAGCTTTCGTGTTGGATCAAGAACAAGTTTTTCAGTTGGTTCTCCAAGTTTTCTGATATCCCACCACAATACCTGCGAAAAATTTACAGTTTGATACACATTGAAATCTTTCATTGCTTTAGAATTTAGCACTGATTTTGTTCAGAATGCAAATCCTACAACTTATAGGAAGTTTATAAAAATGAGGTATAGAGACTATCATTTGACAATGAAAAAGTATGTTACAAGAAGTCTATCACACTCACACACACATCACAAATATGATGTGAGGCATATTAGGATTGGATGGGAGAATTAATCAGGTATTTGTTTCAGATGCATAGACTTGATGGTGTAGCAAGCCGTAACTGTGTTCAAGATAGAATTCATTATTAAACATTATTATTAAGTTATGCAATACTTCTGTTTACCTGGCCATCTGTTGATGAAGAGAAACATTCAGTTCCTGTCTTCGATTGAAGCCAGATTGTTTTATAAACTGGATCGCGATGACTTTGTTCTATAGGAGATAATTCAACAGGATGGCTTCCTTTTCTTGTGTCCCAATATGCTGCGTAAAAAATATATAAAATACTTCTAAAATGGCAAACTGTAGTTGGAAGCCTGAGTTTAAAGAAGCAGTTAAATTCAATGCTAGCCTACAGATATCATTGGTTTTAAAGCAGTCAGATAAGATTCATATCTGGAGTAAATAAATACTCAATAAATGCAATATATAGAATGAAATGAAGTGATTTGACAATCATACCAACAGATACAAACAGAAACATAGTTTTCACACAATGTTAATAAAATTTTAGTAAGGATTATAATTTTGTACAGGCATACTTACCAATCTGTCCATTGTAGCAGCCACCAACCAAAACATGAGAATCTTTGGGATTGTACTCCAGACAAACTAATGGTGATACTGGTTTTAATGTCAATTCTGGTTTATTTGGATTTTCTAAAATAAATACAGGATTAATCATAAGTTACTGGATAAAGGTATGCTACACACAGGGATGTGCATATTCTATTAGTCTGGCTCTGGCATTCTCTCAGTTTGTCTTCAAATCAAATATGAATCGGATATAGTACATTTTGCTTAAAAGTCATGATTTTGTATTGTAACATCTAAATAAATTACAAAATTAAAAAAAAAAAATTTTCTCAAAAGCACTTCGTCAATATCGTCAATTTTGAGTTTTGTTGATGTTAAAATTTTCAGAGAATAATTGAAAGCTATATACATATTTAATGCACTCCACACAATTCACTAATGTGAAAATCATTATGTGATAGTTAAACATACCAACATCCCAAATATAGGAATCAAATGAAGTATTGGGTGATGATCTCTGAAATTCAAGATTAGAATACGCAACAGCCAGTTTTTTGCTTCCGTCCGGATACCAGGATAAATGGGTTGCTGTCCGCTTGATCTCATTAGGGTCTCTGGAAAGTTTAAAATATTGGTAGTAAAGGAGTATCGTATATATTACAGCCCTAAATAACTCAAGTTTAGCTCACCTGAAAACATTGATAGTTTTAGCCGATGGTGGTTCTTCTGTACTTTCAATTTCAAGATTATCAAAATACTCTTCATAAATGTCAATAGCATTATTTTGCTTTATACAGTGTTCCATTATCTAAAAATCAAATATATTTAACAATAAACGATGTCCAAAAAATTTCAATTATATTTTTTAAATACCAAATTGATGGGAAATATTTTCCTCTTAGTAAAACTGGCGTTGTGCAGCTTAGTTCTCGCTTCGATTATCATGAAAATTATGTTAATTTAGAAGAATCAGAAATGCTGGAGGGCTGCTTAAATTATCTAGTTTCAACTTGAAATTTCAGAATTATTGATGAAGTTTCCCAGAATCCCAATAGATTAATAATTTTAAATCTGATAGTAATGAATCTAATCTCTAATATAAGGAAATCACGAATTATTACATAAAAAAATGCAATCTTACACTTCCAAGCTGTTGAATTGCATTAACATAATGATCTTCTTTTTCAACTTTCTTTCTGAATCGAATTGTCTGTTCAACTTCCTGTGGGTTGATATCTTTCGGCCACCCACCTTCGACATGGTTAATCCCTCGACTTTCCGTTTCAAATCTTTCAGTATTCACCTGAAAATATGTTATTTTAGTTTAGCCTGTGTGATATTAATATGAAGTCTGTGAAATATAAAACCAAACCTCATGTTCTGACATTTCTTGTGCACATTGTATGACATTATCACATGGGTTTCTTTCGATAAAATTTGATGTGAGAGATGGATCAGGTACAACATCAACATGAAGTTCGGCTGGTCTGTCAGAAAAATTACACTGCCGACCAAAGTCCGCCCTTTTCTTTGTATACACATAGACTATTTCCATCTTGTTTGCTTTTATTCAACCATTCACTGCAAAATTGAATTACAAAAAAAGATAATATTGTTTGCTACAGGTGGAGGGAGTCATAAATAGTGGCTTTATGAGTCAATCTACTTTCCTGCAAACCTCAGAGTCATACATTGATATTTAATATGTTGAGCTACATTTCGGCTATTATACATTGTCAGATTATTGGATAATGTTTTTTTCTCAAAAACACAGCCAAGTGAGTAAGCATATTTTGACTTCATAATTGGTATAAAGGTGGTATACAAAAATTATAAAATAAGGTTAAATGTAACATCTATATACCGGTATAACATTATTTTATCAAGTGGGTTTTCAAGGACCATACATAGCGGTACTAATATATGCAAGTGTGACGTCAGCGAGTATTGCAGTGGCAGTACCATACCATACCCTAAAGCATATAACTTATCTTTACAGTCTTTATGCTTGTGTCACGCACGGGCGGCACGAGCACGAGCAATGCATTATGCATATACAAACAATATTACCTAGCTTATATTAAGGACCTACTATATTGCTATTCCGAAAATAGTGGGCAAAAATATAGCAAAACACTAACTTAAATAGTATACCCGAAGCAAAAACTCACCGAAACAGCATTCAATATAGCGTCAAGCCCAAATATCCGATGGAAATGCAGAGTCAGAAGGACAACCGTTCACTGAGTTCGAGCTTTCATCGTCACCATGGCTACTATACGAAGTCGTGCCGCGTGACGAACTCAGAAATGTTTAGTGTGTTTTGCGAGAAAACCTCATTTGCGAATCACCAGTGTTGCCATAATTCGGACACTTATTTTAATAATTGATGATATAATGAAAAAACTTTTACCTACCCTTACTCAAAACGTGTCATCAACTTCAACCCACCTACAGATTGATTGAGCATACGTTTTTCGCGCAAAAGTACTGCTTTCATTTGAAATCACCATATTGTCAAATAAGGCTCCATCAGCAATGCTGCATATTCGGGGCCTGATTAAGATTGGAATTTTGGAACAAATTTCCTGATCGGGATTTTTCGTAAAGTTTGTTTTATACTTCGGTACTGGGTATCCGTCTTCGGCTTCCAAAATTACAAAAAGCATACGCCATGGACCTTTCCCCGAGCATCAACTTCCTTGTTTACTTCGTGACATTGGACAATCAGCAAGATGCAAAAAGTGACGTAACAATGCTCCCTTTTCGCATCCGCTCAGACACCTTTCTCACTCAGACAGATTTTCAAGCGTGGTCGTGAACATTACCTCGTTTTCGCGTTTTTGAACTCTATTCGTTAGTTTTCAGTTGTGTTTCGGAAACTTAAATACAAATCAGATAATTCAATGATCACTCTGTCTTCCTAGGAGTTTTATTTTAATTACAGTAATAAAAAATTAGTGTAGAAATAACTGAGATAGACTAGGCTAAAATTCTTTACCGGTACTTTTAAAAAACAGATTTTTGTATGTGATGAATCATAATGATGGTTTGAAAAACATACTCCATTTTACAGGCGCCAACTCGCAAAAGCACTCATAAAATAGCCCCGAAAATTTTGCAATGGTAAAGTATAGGAAGAACATTTCGGGGGTCAAAGGTCGGGGAAAGGTCCATTGTGAACCCTTTTTTTTTCAAGAAAAATTATACTGATATTGCCATGGGGAAATATACCGACCCGTTAGATACATTTGTATTACGAAAATAATGGTCATGAAACCTCGAAGTCCAGCTTTTGGAACTCTGCTAGTAGTAAACTTACACATCTCCATCACGATCACTTATTATCAGTTTATTTATGTAGCTCAGGGGTTCCCAAACCGCGGCCCGCGGGCAAATTACGGCCCGCGTAACGATTTAAAATGGCCCGCCAAACTTGAGTGAAATAGTTTAAATTTAATGGTTAAACTATAACCGTAAATAAATACTAATACGTATGTTTGCCTTTTTGCGTGCTAGATACCGCCAATTGTCACATCCTTATTACAGTTTAAGCAAGTGTATATTCGTAACAATTCAATTATGCCGGTATCTTAAGTATACGTACGGGTATTACGATTACCTACGGCAGTATTTTAGTTGTCTGGCCTATATTAAAATGAATTAAATATGTCAAGAAAACGAAAACTAGACTCTGAAAACAGACGTCTTTTGGATGAATGGCAGCGTTCTTATTTTTTTATCGAAAATAATTAAACTTCAGCGATTTGTCTTCCTTGCCAACAAACTATTCCAGTTATGAAGAAATACAACAGTAAACGCCATTATGAGACCAAGCATTCTTCTAATTATGATCAGTTGGTACGTGAGCGGCGTATTTTAAAATTTAATTTAGTGTCAAATTCATACAAAAGTCAAACAAACATGTTCAAAAAAATGTCAAATGAAAGTGATACCACGTTATTGGCCAGTTATATTGTAGTCCACAATCTCGCTAAAAATAATCGCCCGTTTGTTGAAGGGTAACTTTTCAGCGAATGTATGCTGCAAGTGTTGGAATACATTTTCCCAGATATAAAAAGTAAAGCGATGTTAGGTGTATCTAAAATCAAGCTTGCAGTCTATTTAAGTGCTTATTTTGCAAAATTATCTCAGGGCGCTCGAGCGCGCTCTTTTTGCCGCTCCCCTTTTCTGGCCCGCGAATTGAGAGAGAGAGAGAGGATTTATTATTTCGTCAACCAGAAAACAAGCAATGGTACAATAAAATATATATATACAAAATATAGTATACAAATAAAGTTTATTCGTATAGACTGGAGGGAGCGATACGAATATCTTATGCTTCGAATTTTGGCCTGCGGTCAATCAACTGTTGGAACCACTGATTTAGATGGTGACAGATGAGATCGTATTAACATTCTTATTATATGCTGCGTTCTAAATAAAGTTTAGAAAATCAGAAAATCAAATTTTCTAGTGATATTTCGACACATAATGACCACGATAGACTGTTTGTTTGGTTCTTAGTTCCTCAAGGCAATTGAAGGATGTCTCCATACAAATGTGGCCAGATGAGATCGTATTGACATTCTTATTATATGCTGCGTTCTAAATAAAGTTTAGAAAATCAAAAAATCGAATTTTCTAGTGGTAATTTAACACATAATAACTACGATAGTGTGGTTTGTTTGGTTCTTAGTTCTTCAAGGCAATTGAAGGATGTCTCCAACCAAATGCGGCTGCTAGTCAGTGGTTCCTCATCTCAAATTTATCCCTGTTTAATATATCCGAGATTACACCACTGTGATCATTGATGATCTTATCTTCAGTCCGATATAGCCGAGTATACAACTCCATTATATATTATATGCTATCGTCTGTCCACATTTCCAGTAGGAATTAAAACGAAAAATGCTTCTAAGGTTGGCATCGTCATTTTAACAGCATTACACGGGGCAAATATATTTTTATTACTTAATTGCAAGTAAGTGTGATGGAAGAATCGACTAAAGATACACAAGACTCCGACGGTGCTCGAAAATATATGGACCAACATTTTGTGGGAATTTGACGGACTTATAATCTTCCAAACCCGATTCCCGGTAACGTGAAATATTAAGGTAACTTGTCATTTAAACTTTAAAGAATTACCTATTAAAAAGCTAATGAGACTTCATAATCAGAATAACGAGCTATAAAATGTTTGGCAAATGAAAATATTGCCGCCATGTTATCTCATGATTTTCATCTTGTAATGCCAGTAAAGACATATATTTGTTTATTATTCCAAAATTAAAATCAATACCAACCCGATGAAGGAATATTACGCTTTCAATTTTTGGTCGATTTCCTGCATGAAGAATAGGTAGTTTGAAGCAGCAATATGACCGTATTATCAAACAACAAAAATGCAGTATCACTCAACAAAACACAAATATTTTGTATTTGTTCAGTTTTATCTCTTTTTCTTCAAAGCCTTTCTTATCTGACAATGCATGTGCTTGTGTATAATTTTTGGGGAATTAAAATTCGGACGAAACGTAGGAAAAGAAGGGTGTAGAATTAAAGTAAGTAGAACATAACACTGCAGCGAAACCAAACATTTGGACTGGTAATCAAGTAGCCAACGTGCTATGCGAATGGTGCTGGTTACGAAAAAATGATTTCATACCTTGTGATAATTGACTAAGAGTTTCTGAAACGCATGGTTTCTGAAGAGAAATTGAAAATATAAAAATTGAGTAGATATATTCGCTTTATGAAAAAGTTGTTGATCACATTTATTTTGCATTTTCCCATCTAATGAGGATGTGGTTTTGTTAACTATCAGTTAGGATTATGCGAGACTAACTAGCTTTCCCTGCCCTATATCTTAGCACACGTGGATCAATATTCGTATCATGTGGTTTTACGCCTAAAACATTTTCAAATATAAAAAGGGAAAATGATAAATTAATAAACAAAATATAAAGACTGAATGAACTTATCAAGCTTTAATTGCTATTTTCACAAGCAATAATATTTTTCAGCTGAGGCAACAATCGGAACATGCTATTTGTTATATTGCAATGTACATTGCCTTATTTCAACATCATTCATTACTACTGCCATCGTATCTACCGGCATATTAGCAATTTCTCTTGATGATCCTAACCACTGATTCGTGGATGAATCATGTTATTTATGTGTGCTTCATGTACGATATATATTTGGTGGTGAGTAAATTGCCAGAAAGCAATGTAACGGATTTCCCAGCGGGCGTATCAACCAACAACTCTCGCCTTCTGCCCAGCAGTGACGTTCGAATTCGGCACAGTTGTCGCAGAGAAATGAAGCGCAATGAACAGATATCTATTTTGGGCCCCCAGTCTCGAGGGACCCCGGCAAAATCAGCCAATGACATCCCCTTTTCCTCCCCTTCTTTCTTACAGTCATCTGCAACTCACTTATATGGTCATGGAATTTATTCCCGGAATATAAAACGATGGGTCTAAGAAGATATCGACCATAGGTATGAGATACCTAGACTAGGTCTGTATTCATGTTTTTGGCTATCATGTCATGTATTTCTGTTTTGGTCGAAATAATAATGAAAAATATAATATACCATGTATATAATTAGTAATGCTTCCTATTGTTGGATATGTTAATAAGAAAATTAAAAAAAATAAAAATAGTCAGTGGTTACAATATAAAAATAACAAATAGTATCAAGATATATTCTTAATTTCAACTAGATATGCCAGTATATTTTGTTCGTATAGTACGTTGTCGCAATCATCATAGCTGCTTAAAAAGATAACTTGAATTAGTTTAAATAAATAATTTAAATTATATAATCGATTATTTATTGAAATTTCATTGAATAACTTTTTTAAGACGTGTAATTAATCACCGGAAGAGCAAAGGGTTTGATCCTACCCACCAAATCACTACATATCTTCCACCATGGCTCCTCTGCCGTCGAAGGAAAGCGCCAAGGGTGAGTCATTTCTTATAATTCATTATTTCTTAAGTGTCAGAAAATATTTACCATTACATCACTAATAACATGGGAGGTGTATTGAGAGGGTTGCTTGATTCCAGGATTGTTACATCGTACTGTTGTTCACGTTCTCGAACATGGACAAATTTTTTATTTCATATCGAATTCGTTCACTTTATCGGGTTATTGTTTCATGGAATGACAATGAAATTCTATGCTTCCATTAGCTGTTGATTACAATGTAATCCTGTGTTTAGATGCGATACTGATTATATTCATGGACTTATACTCATATCATAATGCATGTGCATTTATGTGGGCACGGGAGTTCATTGTTTCGAGAAAATTTAGGGAATTGAAAAAAGGATTTCGTATAGCACACACTACGTTGAAATTCAATTGAAAATGTGTAGGATTAGTTAATGTGAACTACTTGATGTAGGCTATAGTATAACCTTGGCTTAGAGAAGGTTACAAGAACACTGAATGGAATAGGGCCACTGTAAGTATAGCTTTTTGAGAACAGATTTATAATTTTTTGCCCAGATTTATCAAATTCTGTATTTGGAAATGACGTTCCTATACTATCGGTAAGCGAATACCAATTGAACATAGACTCTAAAAAACTCCGCCCAGAATAAAATAAATACAGTTACGAAGGATTTGAAAATCGACAACCATAATTTAACATAACCGAACCAAAAATAGTGAATCAACTTTGCAAAACAATTGCTGCAAAAAATCATATTACATGTAAACGGAAGAAAAATTACTTTCATCGCATCCTTTACATAGTACCTTAAACTTTTTTAATTTGTAAAATATATATGACCGAGCTGAACAACGAAAGTTCCATAACAGATGAACCAAAGCATAAATTAATATCTTGTCGACAGTGCATTTGCCTTTTTTAATACAAAATATATATATTATCATTAAAATAAATTACCGGTACTATTAAGCAAATAACAAAAGCGTATTTTGAGAACTCATGCAATAGTATTTGCTTGTATTTTATGGAGAGAATTATACTGTGCAATTCAAGATTATGATCAAAGTTTTTCTCCAAAATCGAGATTTTTCATAAATTCCGTAATGCATCATCATTATTAAATTTGTATATCAAACCACAACTAACCAGGGAGCGTTTGATTAAAGAAAATTTCTATTAACTTCAATATTTTAATCAGGTGAATGCGGGCCTCAAGATGACCCGATGCCGTTTTTGCGTCCAAGTGAAAAGGAAAAATTGTCTTTTATGAATCAGTCGTATGACAGCAAGAAAAATGTTTGGATTTCAGACAAGAAGGAAGGATTTATCAAGGCTGTGGTTGAAAGTTCAGCAGACGGCAAGACTACTGTAAAAGCAAAGGGAACGGTATGTTAATTACTGAATATATGGGCAATACATGGATACTCATTAATATGAAAATGACTGACCAACCGATTCCTACATTTTCCGATTTCAGTATAGCTTATGGAAATTGTTGAGTAGGAATTGTTATTAGTCAATATGGAATACCAGTTCTTTGTAGAGTTTAACCAAAAAACACGTGTCTGCTTATTGCAAAAAAAAAGGTTGTTTATATTTTATTATTTCCTATCAAATTTTAGTATTATTCGAGTAAATCAGTGTGTTCCCATCACTTTAAAATATATATTGATGTTGAATCAAATGTTGATTTTTAATCTTGGCCATATTTGGAATGAGTTTCGAGAGTATTGACTTTCAACTGTCTCTATTCGTTGTGCGATTGGTTGTAGCTACATATAGATTGCGCATTCAAATTACTGGGAAATGCTGATGAAATTTTCAAATTATTTTAACTGTTTCTTTTTCGCCTGCGTCGTTTTTTTCGAGATTTGTTAGTAAAGACCATAAAGTGTCACAATATCAAATCGAATACGAACAAGTTAACGCGGTTTATAAAACTGTTGCTAATAAAATAATAGCCTACTGTATTTACATAGCTAGGAAATGTAGATTAAATTGATTCTCGAAAATCATTGCCAATGTATTTTAAACTTACTCTTTACGTTTTCACGGATGCTTGATCCCAATCAGAGATCCTTACAAACCTGACTTATTACAACCGATTAAAATCGTACCTAGAATAACGATGTTTTAGCTAAAAAGGTGCAAATGCGATTTCTCCTGTGATATAGCTTTACAAATCAATGATATAAAAGTATTTTTTATTGTTCAGTCTGTAACGGTGAAAGAGGACGATGTTCAACAAATGAATCCACCTAAGTTTGAGCAGACTGATGACATGGCAAACATGACCTTCTTGAATGAAGCAACTGTCCTGAATAATTTGAGAGCGAGATACGCTAGCATGCGTATTTATGTAAGTTAATGTTGTTTATTGTATACCCCTGTATTATTATAAAAAGCATACGGGAAAATAGTGAAATAACCGCCCGTGCCTTCAGATTGCTTCGAACCTTATTCCACCACACCTATAGGTATCGGTCACAACAATTTGAACAGGCCACGTCTGATTGGCAAGATTCAGTGCATATTTTAGAAAGTGCATAACGCAATAGAAATATATTGAAACTATACATGTTAAATAAAATCAAAAAACTGATAATTAATTGCTTAATCTATTTAATGATTAAACAAATTTAAAACTTGTAATAATAATAATAAAATATTATATCAGTCTTCCGTGTCCCCAATCTCGCTAAAGCCTCCAAATTGCCTATTAGTTTCCTTGTGGTTTTTGTGGTATACTGGCACGCTAGTCCACGATCAACCCAATTATTCACGTTTATGTAGCATAGTATTCTTGATTTCTACATAGAAGAGTTAAACCGTATCGGGCTCGAATGCAATTACTCTGGGGAATTTATAAGTAGGACTCCGCAAACGTCAGCTGCATAGCAACGTGGCAGCTGTTTAGTTAGATGGCGTAGCCTAACTGTGTTACCCCGCTTTCCCGAATTAGACTCCACTTATGCATGCGATCTGTACATCAGAAGCATGCAGTGCCGAACATAATATTAAATAGCAACTATGTTTATTTTCACTTCTTATTTGAAACATTGATGTTTTGCGATAAGTTCTAGAATAACCAAGCATGCCACTACATTACCTAACTTTTCTGTGGCGTTTTGTTAAATTGATATAAAATTGAGTGGCGCACGAAATGCTGATAACGTTCATTGTTTCGTGGCGCCAAAATACTTTTTCGTAAAAATCCGAACTTGTCTCATCTTTATTTGAAAAAGACAAATTCAGCGTGTGCTTACTGATCTCGCGGACGTTACATGGTTCGTTTTTATTATTGTTCACGTCCCCACCACTAAGTATGCCGATGCAACTCGAAGATTGGAATTTCCCCATAAATTTAAATCGTGTTCTCATCTTTATTTTGAGGTAAACATGAAGATCATTCCAAGTACTGGCATACATCGCGACACAAAAGACTTCAAAACTGTTTTAAAATGGCCAGGGATATATGATCGAATTCTGTCAAAAAATATTCCCTCGAATCTTTATAAAATTTTGAATGTTCTTTTCCGCAAAATTTTACCCAAGCTATTTATTGTCTCTTCAGACTTACTCTGGACTTTTCTGTGTCTGCGTCAACCCATACAAATGGCTTCCAGTATATGGTGCCAGGGTTGTTCAGATGTTCCGTGGCAAAAAGAGAAATGAAATGCCGCCTCATCTGTTTTCAATTGCTGACAATGCTTACCACGATATGTTGATGGAACGGGAAAATCAATCTATTCTGATTACGTGAGTTTTTGCTCTCCATTGAATTGTCAAAATATAGCGTTTTTTTTCGTTCTAACAGTCAAGATATTATGATATTCAAACACAATCTAAACTTTCATAACATTATTATCGTCACCATTTTGTGTAATATTATTGAAGACGAACATTGATAGCTATGCTGGCATCGCAGGGTAAAAGACTCGTATACGATTGTAAGACACTTAGTATATAATGCGAAATACTGAGTACGTCGGTCTTTCTATAAATAGTAGATCCTTCAAGGTTGCTTTCCTGATGCTTTGTTTAGGAATGGAGAAGTTCTGTTATTTGCCTCATAAAATAAGAACAGAACTGCGTATAATATTCAATGTCTTATGATGTTACTTGATTTACAATGTATTGTAATACATTTTAAATTTTGCTTTAAATTTTTTTCAAAGCAATGGCCCAAGTTAGTTTTAGCAAGTTTAGTAAAACTTATACTATTACTATAAACACGTACAAAATCATATAAATTATTTATTTGATACTTTCAGTGGTGAATCGGGTGCTGGTAAAACCGAGAACACCAAGAAGGTCATTCAGTATTTTGCCAACATTGCTGCATCGGGCGCCAAGCAAGACGATGGACCCAGGAAGGCAAATCTTGAGGATCAAATTGTTCAAACAAATCCTGTTTTGGAAGCATGGGGTAACGCAAAGACGATCCGTAACAACAACTCTTCTCGATTTGTAAGTGATAAAGTTGCATGAACTAATTTCTTAATTAATATACGGTATATTCTTGTCATAACTAAATTTATTTTGATATTTTTGCATTCAAAATTTTTAAAGCATTCTCTTAGAACATTTGAATGGTTTAGTATTTTACAATCTGTTTTGTGCAATACAATTAATTATATTTTTCTTCATCAGGGTAAATTCATTCGTATTCATTTTGGTACAACCGGTAAACTCTCTGGTGGGGACATTGAATCGTACTTGTTGGAAAAATCTCGTGTCATCTTCCAACTGAAAGCCGAGAGAAGTTACCATATTTTTTACCAGGTAAACTTTGCTACATATTATGTATTTCAGATTGTTTGCCAGCCACGGATACTTTTCCTCATATACCTATCGTTTTAATGTTAAAGTACAGTTAGCTAAGTAGGTTACTAACAAACAATATATGACTACGAATACGTTAAATATTTCAAACAATATTATATAGTTCAGTTTTTTACTTACTTATCTGAACGTATTTTGAAATAAACATAATAAGCATTTTGAAATACTTTCTTATTGCTCAGATCATGGCCTGCGGTAGGCCAGAACTTATAGAGCAACTTATAGTGACGACAAACCCGAGAGACTACAAGTACGTCAGTGGTGGAGTTGTCACCGTTGATAACATGGATGACAAAATGGAGTTCGACTTCACCGACGTAAGCTTTTAGAAAATGGTAGCGAGATGTTCAAATGCAAGGGCATGATATTTTTCTGCTATTCAAAAAACTAATTGTTGAAATTAATGATTAAAATTGATATTTTTGGATTATGAAGCTTTTGTTATTAGTCTTTGCTCTGCGATTTTCATCATTACTTATTCGCTAATTTATGGAGTCTCAATTCCACTGTAGCCTACTCTTGTTTCATTTGTTATTTGTATCCTTCCTCCATTGACCAAATGCAGTTATTTAATCTATTTCTATGACTGTACTGGTTTCTTTCAAATCATAGGAAGCTTTCGACGTCCTCGGTTTTAGCGGCAGCGAGAAATTGGAATCCTACAAGACAACTTGTGGTTGCATGATGTTCGGAAATATGCATTACAAGCAGAGGCCACGCGAAGAGCAAGCCGAAGTCGACAATGTAGATGGTACGTACATTGTCATTTTTGCTCCCCCAAAATATCTAGTGTGACTGTACTTGCATATTTTGTCACGTTGTTATATATATATATATTCTTTATATTTATTTTAGTTGCTGACAAAGTCGCATATTTGTTCGGAATCAGTTCTCCCGAGTTGTGCAAAGGAATTACCAGACCCCGTGTCAAAGTTGGTAACGAATTTGTACAAAAAGGACAAACTATGGACCAGGTACCAATAAACTCATCCAATTTGTGTGATATCACAAAATTTCTTGCTTAGTTACGTACATTCTATCTAGTTTGAGTTAACACGACTACATTCTTTATAACAGTGCTACTATGCAACCGGAGCTTTGGCGAAAGCTGTTTACGATCGTTATTTCAAGTGGTTGGTTGTTCGTCTAAACGAAACTCTCGACACCAAACTGCCACGAAACTATTTTATTGGTGTGCTCGATATCGCAGGATTTGAAATTTTTGAGGTAACTTTAGTTTTTAATCTAATTATATATAATAATTTTGATAACAATGGCATTAAAAATTCTTTTTATTCAGTATTTATTTCAAAATCTCATTTATAATAAATTTCTATATAGTGGCCTTAAGTGGTTCCCATGCTTAGATTTGATGTATCATTATTTATTTTCAGTTCAACAGCTTCGAGCAACTTTGCATCAATTTTACGAACGAAAAACTTCAACAATTTTTCAACCATCACATGTTCGTACTTGAACAAGAGGAATACAAGAAAGAAGGTATTGAGTGGGAATTCATTGATTTCGGTATGGACTTGCAAGCTTGTATCGATCTTCTTGAAAAGGTTTGTAATATTCTTTTTTTTTATTATGAACCGGAATAACGACATCTTTCAATTAACAATCTTAACTGCCATTTACAGCCCATGGGAGTATTCTCCATCCTGGAGGAAGAGTCTATTGTACCAAAGGCCACCGATACAACTTTCAAGAATAAGTTGTACGATACACACGAGAAAACTTCTGATGCTTTCTTGAAGCCCAAGCCTGGAAGGAAAGGAAATGCTGATTTTACCGTCAAGCATTACGCCGGAAATGTAAAATTTATATTACTTGAATATTGTGACTGAGAGTTATATATTATGTTATATCATTAGAAGTTTACACTTTACATGAAATATTGGTGATGCCTGTTCAATTATTTTCATTAATATTCCATTTTATTCTTATTAGGTCGATTATAACGTGACAGGATGGCTTGAGAAGAACAAAGATCCTCTTAACGAATCTGTAGTAGCGTTGTTCCGAAAATCTAACATGAAAATGTTTGCTAGCCTCTTCCCAGAAGATGCACCAGAAACTGGTGGTATGTGGCCATTTTTTTTTCTTTGTCTTTGTATCACAAAGCCACCTCAGAACAATTCAGAAAAAAATGAATGGGAATTCAGAGTGTTCTTTCAATTTCATCAGATATATCTTATTATTTATCATAGCTTTGCAGAATGTAACCATTTTCCTCTTATAGGAAAGAAGAAAAAGAAGAAGGGTGGTAGCTTCCAGACTGTATCTGCCTTATACAAAGAACAACTTAACAAATTGATGACGAATCTGCGTAATACCAGCCCTCACTTCGTACGTTGTATTATTCCTAACGAGATGAAACAACCCGGTGCTTGTGACGCTCAACTGGTTCTTTCCCAGCTTAGATGCAACGGTGTGTTGGAAGGAATTCGTATCTGCAGGAAGGGGTTCCCCAATAGAATGCAATATCCCGAATTCAAACAACGGTATGTTTTACTTTTTAATAACTTAATTATTTGCTCTATATTGTTTAGGCAGTTACTGAAATCAATGTGTTATCCTCCAACTGAAATACAAATTTTGTTTTAATAGCTAAGATGCAGCGACGTAATACTGCATATATTAAACACTATAATATAAACACTGCATCATTGTTTTTTGTATTTTTATAGCTATCAAATTTTGGCTGCTAAGAAGGTTTCCGGAATGGTCGACAGTAAGAAAGCCACGGAGACTATTTTGGGCCACATTGAATTGGATACAGCTATGTACAAGATTGGACACACCAAGGTTTGTGTAGAAAATTTACTCAAATAAAGTATTTTTTCTGTGTTATGTTTTACGAGAAACAACGATTCAGTCTTCGCACCTTGTTTCTTAGAAGATCTACAGATAACTGTTATCAAAGTGAGAGAAAACTTTTATTTTTATTGTATATATAATATATTCTTCGTTTAGGTTTTCTTCAAAGCCGGTATTCTTGCCGAACTTGAGGACAAGCGTGATGAGGTACTTGCTGTTATCATGACTGGTATCCAAGCCCGGGCACGAGGTAAATTGATGAGAATTGAATTCCAGAAGATGTTGGATAGAAAGTGAGTTTATTATTTCTATTATTGTTCGCCTCTAAGTTTTTTTTTGCATTATATATTTTTTAAATGACGAAGTTTATGCTTTAACAATAATTTAATACCGATACCAAAAATATGTATACCAGACACTATGATTTTAACGTTTTTAAGTGGTTCTTGCAACTTATGATAACACAAAGCACATACTAACAAATTACTGGTTTGACTTTTCACTATTAGATTTTAATCGAAAACTCTGTTTACAAAAAAATTATAATGAGCAAAAATGACGACGAAGGAAGAAATGAAAAAGACTATTTTTCAATACCATTTATCATTTTCCACAGACGAGCTTGCACGGTCATTCAGAGAAATATTCGCAAATTCTTGCAATTCCGTGATTGGGAATGGTGGATCCTGTACACCAAGGTATTTTCTTAAAAAATGTTGTTAAATGAATATTAGGCAATAGACACGTAGCTAGATTTGATTGGTTTGTGTATAAATAATACAAAACTTATGAATATATTGCCGAGCAAATATTTTATTTCGTTCATTGTTTCTTCGATTGATAGGTGAAACCGTTGTTGAATGTTGTGAGAATTGAAGACGAATTGAAAGCTAAAGACGAAGAAATTGCTGAATTGAAAGATAAATTGTCAAAAGAAGAAGTATTAAGAAAAGATTACGAGGAAAAGAACGTTCATTTGTTGGCGGAAAAGAATGATCTCATGCTACAATTACAAGCGGTAATTTTTCATTTTTTTTAGCTTTACATTTATTCAAAAAAATCGTCCAAATTTTTTTATATATATAGACAACAGTTTGAATAGATTAAAACATAAATTTTAAGTAGAAGCACTTCATCCTTTTTTGAAAAGAAAAAAGCTAACTACAATTGCTACATAAAAAAAACCTGGTTCTAACATTTCACTAACTGAACAAATGCGTGTAATATGCTGATTGTTGAATCAAACCGAGTAACATTGGATGATACTTAAAACACAAAACCAGTAGAGAATTAATATTAGAGAGCCTATTAAGCATATTTTTATCGCGAAACCTGAGAAGGTACTTTGTAGCCAATGCAAGAGAAAAGTACATTGCGTGGAAAGGACATATCCTTTGTGTATTTAGTCTGTCAAACACGTGAAAACAAACAAATAATTTAATTTAAAATAACTTTAAACGTTAAATTAAGATAGTCGAGTTTATTCCTGCATCAAAAATGACCCAGAAATGTACATAATCGAATCTATATGTCTGAAATGAGCCATCCGACCTGAATTTACCACAGAATTAAGTTGGCATTACGTGTTCTGGTCATACCACTAAAAGTACAATGTGAATTTGCTACTGTCTATCAATAGATATTCTGTATATTTAGTGTGTTTTAATAGAAAGATTAGTGTACGTGTCATACCCAAAAGATTACTTTGAATAACAAATAATTGGTTGCTAAAACCTACAGGTCTATTTAAGTTCAGGATGCTTTTATATAATATCATTTTGTTCAAAATTATATGAAGCGTATAGTAGGAATTAGTGATCAAAAGTAGGGAATACCTTAAGAATATGTATTTATATAATTGCTGAAATGGTAACAATCGACTCTAGGTAAAACTTTAATTAATAAGAACAGAATATCTAAGCGATAAATTGTATAATTTTGCCCTTTTATTAGGTAGAATAGATCAGTTGTCAATATATTTTGACTCAGCGGTTTTCAATATTTTCGCAACGAACTTGCTTGTTAGAACAAGTCGTCTGTGCTTGCGATCTAAACAGGTAGAGATTCGGAAGTAGGTACTCTATCTGATTTTTTAATTCGCACTAATAATGTGAAATGTTCTCTGCTATTGCGTAACCTGGGTTAACCTCTGGAGCACATACTTAACAACTCTTCATATCGCAATCATTACAATAATCGGCCACTTGGTTGCTGAAATATATTATATGGAATTATATAATTACATATAAATGAAGGATAGGGAAACAATTGAGTTAAATTTATTCAATCTCAGGTTCTGCGTTGCGCTTACAGTGCCTGATAAAATAATATTCGACGGTTTGCTGCTGTAGCATGTCTCCAGTGAGAAATAGTGGTCATGCCAGAATCTGTAACATGAATTTTGTTTATTAAGAGTCAAGACTGTACAGTAGGGGAGAGACTTTACTACTATTACGAGACTAAAATATTCTCCCAAGAAAAAGCAAAATATATATGAAATTTTTATATGACTAAATGAGACATTGCTATCAAGTATAATATATATTATCAGTAAAAAGACTTCTACCGTACCTCAAAATTTATAAATATATTCGTTAGTTGTTGCCATGGACGACATGGAAAATGAGACTTCTTTATCACCATCTACCATCCTAGATCAAAGACGACGCTCACGAAAACATTTACGTAGATCTAACGGCGATGAAAATGATTTTGCGTCAACAGAAAACTCGGATTTGTTGAGAATTCTGAAGTTTGGTGCAGAAGAAAATGACGGAATCGAGCTAGTGGCTTCTAACTCTGAAATTATCGTCGGGGAACAAATGTCATCACCTGAATGTTTTAATGGTAACGTCGTCAAAACCGAGGACGATTCATTAGTTAAAACTAGCTCGGACGTTCCAAATTAACACAACCAACTCGTGGAATCTGATGGCTACGTAGAAGACAGTCTTTATTCTCCCGAAAGTCATCTGAGACTCACTTTGGGATATCAGAAAAATATCGAGAACAAACTTAAAATAGTAGAGGAAGGTGACCAAGGAAATTTATGTCACGATGACTTGAGAACAGTGAGAGATCCCTTTTGCTGCGGACAAGAATATATAGACAGTAAACAAACGGTTGACGGGCCGACATTAGTTTTGTCGCACATTGATGGTGAATTAGTGTCACCAATGATCAAAGCAAATACAATGGAAGCAATTTCAACCCATCTTCCACAGATAAAACAAAATTATGAAAAAAACAACATCAAGCAGGTCATACAAAAAACATCTCATAAAATAAAACTAAATCATATTTTGTGAATCACATGCGGTAAATACGGTTAGAAATAACATGCGAACGAACCGGCATAAGATTGAATACATTAACTATGTATATAGATAGAAAAATATGATTTCATCGGTTCATCGGTGCTTGTATTTTATTTATTCAAAATTACTCGAAATATCATGAATTTCAACATTATTATTTTGTTACAGGAACAAGAAACCGTCGCAGATCTTGAAGAGAGAAATGAACAACTTGTTAAAGTCAAGCAAGATCTTGAAACGCAGGTAAGTAATATAGTACATAAAGATAATGAAATTTGAATTAGCACTGGAAATCCTGATGACTACCCAAAAATTACCAAATCGGTAATAATACTGGTCAAAATCAATAATTTTTACAAAATTTATTGTCTCGTGCATTTAGTACTAACATACAATATTATTTAAAATTACTATATATACAAGGATTTCTTCAATTAGTTTATCTATAATATTCACAGGTCGCCGATCTTTCCGAACGCCTCGAAGAAGAAGAAGCGATGAATGAACAGCTTTCTGCTGCAAAGAAGAAACTCGAAAAACAATGCGAAGAACTTCGACACGACGTTGAAGACCTCGAAAGCAATGTTGCAAGACTTGAAAAAGACAAGCAGGTACCATTTATCACATATATTTTTAATATCCATACAAGGCCGGTAAATTGCAGTACTTACGTAACATAATAGATCGAAACATAAGTAAAAGGCAAATTAGATTGGTCAGGTATGTTTAGACTTAGAGAGATATATATTGGATTATAAATACATTCTATTTTGGTTTCCAGAACCTCGAACTCAAGGTACGAAATCTGAACGCCGACGTCGAACAAAGAGACCAAAATATCGAGAGAATGCAAAAAGAAAAGAAACAATTGGAACAAGTCAATCAACAAACGTTGGAAGATTTACAAGCCATGGAAGACAAAGCAAATCATCTCGGAAAACTGAAAATCAAACTCGAACAACAAATCGAAGACGTAAGTGTTGTGCTTTCAAATCGTTTCATTTCCAATTTTGCTTGTTCAAATCCCCACTTCGAAAAAGTCTTACCATAAATAAAAAGTATTATAAATAACCTTCTAAAACGAATTGTACATAATGTAGGTCGAAGACCAGCTTGAACAAGAACGTAGACATCGCGCCGAACTCGAAAAAGTCAAACGAAAACTTGAAACTGATCTCCACAACGCCAACGATACGATTATGGAACTCGAAAAGGACAAAGCCACACTCGAAGACACGATCAGAAAGTAAGTGATTGGCATTGCAACGTTGTACTATAAAAATAAGAAAAATAAAAGGTGCCAAATTCGAAGTTAATTTTGCCATAATGTCTTTTCATTTCATATTACAGGAAGGACTTTGAAATGAACCAACTAAATTCAAGACTGGAAGACGAAATGAATTTGGTTGCGCAATTACAACGTAAAATCAAAGAACTTCAAGTAAGGAATTAGAATAAATTAGGAATTAGAAAATAAAGCATGAAGTGACCCAAAGCTTGTAATTTAAGAAACTATAAAACAAAATAAATAAAAGAGCAGTTTTGATGATCAAATATTAGTCGTTTTCAAAACCTGTTTCGAAGTTTAAATTTCAATAACTAGGGTCGTATTGAAGACTTGGAGAGCGAACTCGAGCAAGAAAGGCAGGCTCGTAACAAAGTCGAACGTAGTCGCAACGAATTTCAACGAGAACTTGAACAACTCGGTGAACAACTCGAAGAAGCTGGTGGAGCAACTGTTGCCCAGGTATGATGACGTTTTATTACATGTTTTTTTGGATGCGTTTTAAGGGATTCAGAATGGTCATGATTACGTAACTGTTTCGTTCATTTTGAAATATTGATTCAGTCTTTCTCAAAAATGTATACACTATCGTCGCATGATTTATTCCGGAAGGATATGGCTGAAATAAAGATCTTTACTAGCATGAAATGCATTTTATTTCCTTCATGTAAATTTTACTACATTCGCATTACTTAGATTGAGTTGAACAAGCGCCGTGAAGCAGACTACCTGAAACTTCGTCGTGAATACGAAGAAACTGCCCTTCTAAACGAGGCTGAGTTCAGCTCTCTGAAGAAGAAGCACAGCGATATGGTTTCCGAACTCACTGACCAGGTACGTGGATGGCATATAGTGCCGGTCAACTACATTACAACTGTTCAGAAATTATGTTGGGAATGAACTTCATACGAAGCCTAATGAGACTGTAATGATATTGTAAAAGAACGATAAAGTTTTTAAGGTTTTATTTTATTATTCAGATCGAGAATCTTACTCGCGTAAAGGGCAAAATCGACAAAGAACGAAGCCAATTGCGCATTGAAGTAGATGACCTTGCAAGTCAATTGGAAGAGGTCACCAAATTGAAGGTAAGCCAATTACTCAACATTTCTTCAGATTTAAAAGTTTCCAGTAAATAATTTTCTACTTTTGTCTGTTGGCATATTTGTTATTGAAAAAAATATTAAATCAAACAAATAGGAAATATTTGAAGATAAAATTACCATTGGAATATGATTATCACTCAATCAATTAGGCATATTAAAATTTTATAAATCTTATAGCAATAATTAGGTAAAATGTTATGTTTAAGCTTTAGGCGCAAAGATTTCAACGGTGCCTTGGTGTAAAATCCTTCACACGGAGCGATTTACCTATACGTTTTAGTGCAATAAAATTCACTGCTAGACCTACAAAATAGTTACAAATTTAAATAATATTATCAATTGGTATGATTTCAAAGGCTCGTGCCGAGGCTAATTCTCGTTCTTTGGAAGACCAAGTTGTCGACGCTAAAGTGCGCATTGAAGAGCACATCAGAAGTATCAACGAATTCACTATTTTCAAGTCCAAGATTATCAATGAAAACATGGATATTTCTCACCAACTCGAAGACTTTGAGAACAAGGTTAGTATGCAATAATATGGGAAGTAGTATAATGTATTAGTTATAAGTTTTTTGCAGTTCACTTATGTTTTAGGAACACGTAATATATATATATATAACACCTGCATACAGTTTTCCTCTTAACCAATATGCTTGTTTATTTACAAAAGGTAACCTTTAGCATGATGCATTCATATTGTAGTTTATAATATGGTGTGATTACTTTTCCAGTGCAACAGTCTTACTCGCTTCAAGTCCAATTTGACCAGTCAAGTTGAAGAACTGAAACGTCTCGTGGAAGAAGAGACCAAGGTACGCTTCAGTTTTGCTTTCATGTACCGGTAATTGAACTTTTCAAATCAAGAATGAACTCTGAGCGTTTGATTCTTTATGAATAACATTTCAACGTGTTTTAAACCTCACAAAAACTAGTGTATCATTTAAACTTTGGCTAAATCTTCAATTAAATATTGTGTTGTGGCTTTAGGCTAAGCAGTCGTTGGGACACGCTCTTCAAGCAGCTCGTCACGACCTTGATCTTATGAGAGAACAAGTTGAAGAAGAACAAGAAGGAAAGGCTGAACTGCAAAGAGCTTTGTCTAAAGCAAATGCTGAAGTTGCAAACTGGCGCACCAAATACGAAACAGATGCCATCCAACGCACTGAAGAATTGGAAGAAGCCAAGTAAGTCTATTTGTAACTAATTAGCTTTAAAAATTTGAAATTAACTAACAAATAATTACAATTGGATGTTTTTAAAAATATACAATTATCATGATCAAAATTGATTCCTATTGTGACGAATGACACTGTTACTCAAAGTTTGATTATGATTTATACTCATTCTATTGATAGGAAGAAGCTTGCCATCCGTCTGCAAGAAGCTGAGGAGCAAACTGAAACCGCTCTAGCCAAATGCGCCAGTCTTGAAAAAACCAAGATCCGTCTTACAAATGAATTGGAAGACCTCACCATCGATCTTGAAAGAGTAATTTAATTTCTATATATAAATATTTTGATGAGTAACGCATTGGTTGGTCTGTTATTCATTAGAGATTCAAAATTAACATGAACCTTCTTTTCGAAACCCAGGCCAATGCCACCATTGCTATTCTGGACAAGAAACAACGCGACTTCGACAAAGAACTTGCTTCGTGGAGAATGAGAGTAGAGGAATTGCAAGCTGAACTTGATCAATCACAGCGTGAATGCAGAAACTACTCAACTGAGATCTACAAACTCAAAGCTTCATATGAAGAAACCATTGAACAGATAGAGATCGTGAAACGCGAGAACAAGACTCTCACCGGTAATATACTGCCAGGCACTTTTTTTTTCTTAAATGTAGACTTCTGGCATAATTTTTATGCTGCTCAAAAATTGAAAACGGCATTGGATTTATACTTCATATATATATATATATATATATATATATATATAGCTAGTGTAATTTTTCAATACAAATCTTAGACGAGATCAACGATCTGACTGATCAACTCGGAGCTGGCGGTCGCACTTTGCACGAATCAGAAAAGGCACGAAAGAAGGCTGAACTCGAATGCGATGAGCTTCGTACAGCTCTAGAAGAAGCTGAAGGAGCATTGGAAATTGAGGAGGTAACAAACGAAATTGAATAATTTATATACATAGCTATATTTGTACATAAATAACGCTTTCAATATTTAATTATTCAGGGCAAGGTGCTTCGACTCCAACTTGAACTCACCCAAGTTAAAGCTGACATCGACCGCAGACTTCAAGAGAAAGATGAGGAATTTGAGAGCACAAGGTAATGCTTTGCAGTAATCGTTGTCAAATTCTATTCAATGCGATGGTTACTTCAGATTTCAGCGGAACCTTATATTTTTGCTAACAGAAAGAACCACGCTCGCGCCATTGAGTCCATGCAAGCCAGCTTGGATGCCGAGATCAAGGCTCGTACTGATGCTATGCGTGCTAAGAAGAAGCTTGAGTCTCAGTTGAATGATGTTGAAATGCAGCTTGACCACGCCAACAGAAACCTTGCTGAACAGCTGAAACTTGTTCGCAAACTGCAAAGCGTTATCAAGGTAAAAGCTTTATATTTCAATTAGAAATTATTAAAACGATGGGAATGCAAAATAAGAAGTTATTGTGTGCTACAGAGAGTAAATTTTTTTTTCATTTTTGCCATTTTTCAAATTTCGCCATTAATAAACATTATTTTCCAGGAAATGCAAGATCAAATGGATGAGGATCAAAAGAATCCATGAAGAACTTCGTGAACAATACAGCATTCAAGAGAGAAAACTGAACATTCTCATTTCAGAATTGGAGGAAGTCCGATCATCCCTCGAGTCTAACGAGCGCGCACGTGAGTTGTTATAAATAAATATACCTTTATATATAGACCAGGGTGGTCCGAGGTTGTCGGCTCCGCGGGCAACAAATTTATTTTTGCATTGTTTGCGGGCCACAATAGTGCCAAGAATAGGTAAACAGTGCAATACAAAACAAACACTTTTATTGTGCAAACACATAGGTATCAGACATACCCATCCCAGGCTGATAGAATCCGCATTCGATTTTTAGTTTTCTATGATACATATATTGTTAGCATATATTCCCGACCGAAAAGATAGAAAACTAGATAATAATTCACACTGCCAATCGCATCATTCAACTTTGCTAGTTGCCTCAGATAGCCATAACACTAGTCAATTCAGTAACATTAATGATATAATAATATGTCAAAAGATTTTTCTGATAAATTTATTATCAAAACAACACGAAATACTATTTTTTGATTACTCTCCGAATGTGACGCGGGCCACAGATAATGAAGCAGCGGGGGACATGTGGCCCGCGTGCCTGGGTTTGGACCACCCTGATTTGGCCCATCCCTTAACTTTTGTTAATCAATGTTTTTTTCTTACGACCTACCTAATATATTTATTATATTGAAAAAGTAAAAATTTGCCATTTTTATCTTCAGGCAAGATTGCCGAATCGGAACTTCTGGAAATTACCGAGCGTGTCAACCTAATGTCTGCTCAAAACTCTGCTCTATCTAGTGCTAAACGTAAGTTGGAGACAGAGAACGATCAAATGCGTGGAGAACTAGAAGAAGCCTTGGCCGAAGCTAGAAACGCTGATGAGCGCGCCAAGAAGGCAGTTGGAGATGTGAGTTTTCTATTATAATAAAGTTTACAGAGCACAAAAATAGTCGATATGCGCGATACGTGCGTGATTTTCCTGATTCTCGCACATTATACACATTTTGGGCATTATTATATTTTTTCTGTTTAGGCGGCTCGTATGGCTGAAGAACTGAGACAAGAGCAACAACATATTATCTCTATCGAAAGAATAAAGAAGAATCTTGAGGTTCAAGTTCATGAAATTTCGGTAAGTGAAGATAAAATCATGTACTTCAATCTTTGTCAAATTGAGTGACACCAGAATTATGCTAAGTATGCGTCATTTTTTGAGTTTGCTACATAAAGAAACGTATTATTTGAAGTATCACAGTTAACTTTGTCATTATATAGATCAAACTTGACGAAGCCGAAGCCAATGCTCTCAAAGGAGGACGAAAGGCACTTGCAGCTTTGCAAATGCGCGTCAAGGATCTTGAAGGCGAATTGGACGGAGAACAACGTCGTCATGCTGAAACAACCAAAAACATGCGCAAGATGGATCGCAGATTGAAAGAATTGGCTTTCCAAGTGAGTAAAGTTACTTAAGTGAATGCCATGCCTTGATTATTTCGCATTGCCACGTTTAAGCTTTGGATTTGTGTTTTCTTGTAGGCCGACGAAGATCAAAAGAACCAGATTCGCATGCAAGAACTTGTTGAAAAACTTCAAGCTAAACTGAAACAATACAAGAAAATGACAGAAGAAGCCGTAAGTAGTGTTTGCTTTTGTAATTCAAGTTCGTCATCAGGGCTATATTGTTATTGCTTTTTTTTGCTATTACAGGAGGAACAAGCCAATTTGAATCTTGCTAAATACCGCAAGGTTACTCATGACCTCGAGGAAGCAGAAGAACGTGCTGATATCAGCGAATCGGCCCTCAGTAAAGTGCGCTCGAAGAGCCGATACATGGTCAGTTGATTTTCTTTCATTGCTAACTCGACCTTGCATTTATACAACTTTAAATATATACTATATTTGAGTGCGGAAATTAATTTGGAAAATAAAACAGATACAAAATCAAAGATTTTGTGTAATCAATCCATTCAAAACACTAGTTGGGCGTCTATATAATCCTATTTTTTATTGGACAAACATAAATACCTAACATACTTTTGTAGCGTGTGTAAAGTAAATTTAAATTATATAGAATAGATAGATATATATAGATTGAGCATGGAGATTTAATTGATTAATAATACCATAATTTTCTTCTCGTTTGTTTTAAACCCAACGCTATTACTTTTTTCTTCTTATTTCTTCTTCTCCTGCGTTATTTTAGACTGGTAGTGGCGGAGGAGCCGGTGGTTCTTACTCCTACTCCATTTCAAGAAAAGTAGTGACAACAAAAGGATCTTCTTCAACTTCTTAAATACTCTTCATTTTTTCATAAACTCTCATCCCATCGTTGTAAATTATTTATCTCGCACCAACTGTTTTCTGCACTCTGCAGTTTATAAATCTGTCACTTCTCTCCTTCCCTTCTGCTTCTCATTCTGATCCTTCGATTCTCTCGCTCCATATCTTTTCATTTCTTTCTCTTTCTTCTGTCTTCTGAATACTTCTCTTTGACGTTTTCTCTGTATCGCTCTTTTCTGTCGTCTCTTCCTCTTTTCTTATTTTCTCTTATCTGATTTCCTCTTTCTTCCTTACTTTCTCGGTCTCTCTTTCAAATCTAACTTCCACCTTCCTAAAGTCTTCCTTCAGCATAAATCCTGCAGAAAATAGTTCATGTATAAATTTTTTTATTCATATAAGTTTCATTTCATATTTATGTTCACCGCATCAATATCCCAAACGATACACTTGAGCGCAGACTATATTGCTCCGAAATTCATCACTACGAGACTGCTTGTTCATCCCCGAACTGAATATAATATCACTAACATCAATATCGTCCAACTCAACTCCTGGCACACCAATTTCAAGTGGTATTGTACCAAACTATCGATTATCAACATCATTATTCAATGCCACAGTACAATATGCCAGTGTCGACGGGACGTTTAGAAAGGATGGCACATTAGGAAATCAATACGAAGTGCGGCCACCAACGCAAACTTTTATTAGCAAAAACGGGGAAGGACAAGTAGAAACGAACGTCTCAGAAAACAGTGAAATTAAAAGACAGATCTCCAAATCTGACCAAACTCCAAAAGAGGAAAACGCCAACGCCGATGAAGAGAGTACGAGCGAAATTAACGAATGATCTGCGAAATATCAGCACTGATGCTGCACAAGGCCAACTGAAGAAAATAAATGATGGTCGTCGGAAGAGAATGCGCAGTATGTTGAAGCGCAAACGAGTGAATAAGGGAAATCGGGCATTAATATTGGAGTTATCACGGAAAAATGCGCAAACATGCGAGAACAAATTTCGTATCATAGCATGATTCCACAGGTCTGGTATCACAATGTAAGCGAGAGAATCACACTATATCTTGCACTGAAATTTACAACAAAATGAAATAAATATATGGTATTGTATGTGAATTTTTCTACTTGATATTTCTGAGCAGATACCGATATCTAGAAAGATACTTGAGGATCGGGATATTATTATGTGACTTAGCAGATCGTGAGATAAAAGATACTTATCTTCTACTCTCAAAAGGGCAAGACAAGAGAGATGTGTCAAATTATCCAATCGGCATACAATCAATTATTACAATAAGTTTATTCCACAGCAAGATATTTCGAGTCGCGAACTGGCGGCTAGATAGCATTCTCATTCTTTAAGTCTGGTTAAGAATTTCTGTCGTACGTGGCACCGCCGGGGCTCTAATGGATTTTATTTGTTCCAAACCGTGCATTTCTGCTAGGAAATACAGTTCTGTCCTCAGATTATTAAACCCTTTTGTGTGGCTTTGTAGCATACGGAATCGTCTGGGGTTTTACAAACTTCGCGAGAACATGTTTCCTTGAAAACCGTATCGCCGCACATTACATTCTGTCACATTGTTATGAGCAACATGTAATACAGTCAACTGTTTTCCAGTCTGTAACTTTTTTTTAATATTGCTGTGTATGGCAAGGCAGAAACCGTTCAGCAAAAAAACAATAAAAAATATTTCATGCGTTTGTGTAACAGATGTCCACTTCGCTTTTTGTACCCTAGCTTGTTGAAGTTTCATAGCTGCTCGAGCACCATCGGCACTGTGCAGCGTATAGCGTTGGACACTACTTTTAGAACTATATTGGCAATTGCACGTCGTTCGTTTCAGGTTGGTTTAGGCCAGTGGTTTTCTTCCACTTACTAAATCTTTTTCGTTAGGTGCATTTCATGTTCGAAGACACTAATCAACTTTAACATACAAATTAAAAATTCTTCAGATATCAGTGAAGGTATTCACGGGTATGGGCTGAATGCTAAACCAAATACTTGTTATACCAGTAGTCCATCCCATAAATTTATTGAAAGAAAAGCATAAAATGAAATCAGCAATTTAAAATACAGTGAAGCAGTTGCATATGCCGCCGTTCAAAGTTTGCAAATTAGCAAGTTGGGTACAAAATAATGTTAGGAAAAGGGTTCAAGGGGTAAAACGAGTCTCTTTCCGCAAACTTAACTCGTTATTCAGTGCAAAGTATATAGACATATTCATGAAATTGAGATAATAAAACTTATCCACCAGTACTGGTAATTTGAATTTATAAATGGCACTTGTATCCCGCTACATCTGCTTCGTTAGGTGCATATATATTACGTTCCAAATACTAATAGAGTTGAACATAAAATCCATCAGGTATACTTGTTATACCAGTCAGCCCATCTAATAATATATACTGTATAAAGATGAGCTGTATAATTTTCCACTTTGAAAAATTAGTGTTTTTAAGGGCCGACACCAGAAAGATTTTCGTTTGAAACTGGTCTGCAGCGCTGCAGGTCAGGGTTGCCAGATCCCAGTGATAAAAAAGCCAACAATTTTAAGTACAAAAAGCCGGCAATGTCGGCCTCTGAGCTAACCCAGTGATCGGCAACCTTTTTCAAGTGACGGACCGGTAAAGCCTGACCAAACTTTTAGCGGACCACATTTATACAAACGAACTAAGCCTATGCAATAAATTATACGCATTAGGAAATTTATGTTGACAATATACTAAAAACGATGGTGATGCTATTTAATGCGATATCTATTATTGTTTGATGGTCATTAACTGTTCCCATATTCGAGATATGTTTGACATTGACACACGTACCCTGTTTCTTACATCCAGCCAAATTCGATATTTCGTTTTTGTAGTTATCAATATTGAAAACAAGGCCTCATGTTAATAAGATTTCGGGAAAGTTAATAATGCCTGTATCATTTTGTTGGGGAGATCTTTTTCGAACTGATGAGAGACATTCTTATACGGGCGTAGAGAAAACAATTGACCCAGCATTATTGCGACATACTGACATGACAATTGTTTATGAAGTCAGACATGCTGCTCAATAGCGTTGTGCAGTGGTCGACAAACTTCATGTACTTGCGGGCCAAATATACAGATTTCCGGTAGCGCGCGGGCCGCAATATTTACGCGGTCGAACAATCGCTACATCAATTAAACTTCAAATTATGGCGCATTCGCATTGCTGCCCTTCTTTTGCTGTGTTGAAAGCCTGTCCCAATGAGATGTGTATGTGGCGTTTTTGAAATATATTGTTTTTATTTACCTATTATCAATGTGAAGGATGATGTTTTTATGGCAACTTGTCGTCCAAATGATGATCTGACAAGCGAGTACAAAATTCAATCTGAGTACGGTAAGTGTAATGCATTTTAGATAAAGCTGTTCAAGGCCATAAGTTTTTCCGAACGTGCACATTATACGTTTTGAACTGTCGCACATATGAGCTGTGGCGCAGTTTCGGGGTCGAATTTTCGACGACTCGTTTCGTAACGAGTTTAACATTGAAACCCTTTAGAACTGCATGGCTGACAGGCAATGTTCCCTCTAATTTTTTGTAGTATGTGTGCGCAGAAATTTTGGTGTGTGCGCACTTTTTTGGAAATGACTAATAATTGTGCAAAAACCAATGAAGAAATTTTGGCGTTCTAACCGGGTAATGAGTGGGCCAACAACAAACTTTCTCAACCTGCCAACCGAGAACATTATTACATTACATCGAAATACGTCTGTGCGCAGTAAATCTATGCGTGTGCGCAGCCTCTGAAAGCTGTGTGCGCGCGCACACGCGCACACTTTAGAGGGAACACTGCTGACAGGGCATATCGAGTAAACCGGTTTTGGAATGCACAAGAGGGGGAAAATATTTTTTCGTTCAAGCACTTCAGAATGCTCGACCCTCGTTGCTCCGGTTTACTGTTTGGTGCTGTTTTTTAGACGTAGGGTTTGTGGTTAGATTGTAGAGGTTTTATTACGGCCTTGTCCGTTTTTGTGTCACCTCTTGCCGACCACCGAGCTGCTAACCTATAGTATAGAAATTCTAAAATAGCGGATCGATTATATTGTTGTGTCATAAAAGTAACAGCATTGTTGCCAAGGTTGCACACCAGGGGCCCCATTCGCCAAACTTCGTAAAAAGCCTCGTTTACGAGCACGTAACCTTGTCTCTCAAAAACGCAGTTACGAAATCTCGTTAGGTGCGATTCACGAAACATCTCGTAAAAACTTCACGCACGATCACGCAAGTTCTCCCGAAATCTAACGCACGGTCGTCGTTGAACAAAAACCCCTGTATGATATCTCAACCGTATCAGTCACTGCCGCTAGCCGCCCTGAGAGGACAAGCTCATTTTGCGACGATCTGTAGGGTTTCCCTGTTTACAGACTGTGTTTTAAAATTTGGGTCATATAGCAGTAATATAGCTATGAATATATGAAATAAATGCTGGAGTACATATTGTGAACTGCTTCTGTGACCGACAATAAAATAGATGAATGAATGCAATCCCATATTTGATGTTAGTACGCTGTTAGTTGGCATATATGGGTGGGTCCACAGCTACTAGACTACAGCCACTCTTACCTAAGTCAGGCATTTAAGGATTTTTGATACCAATTTTTCACGAAGTATGCAAACACCACAGCATTTGTTGGGGTGCATGTGGCACATACTTGTCTTAGGCCAGTAAGATATTGATCATGTATCCCGTCTTAGTTATACCGTTTAATTATTATGTAGATACTGTTACAAATAAACACACATACATTTTAACCTGAATTCATGCTAAAGAACATGCCGAACTACTGTTAACCAGCAAAATTTTCCCCTCGTTAGTTTGCGAGCACTCCGGCGCGTTAAAGAACTTTCGTGAATATCGGTAAAATGAGAAAAGAAGGCACTATACGAGACGTCTGTGTTGGCGCGCAAAAAAATCTATCGAATATTAACGATACTTCGATAATACTATTTTTGCCTTTTACGAGAAAGTGGGTGCTTAACTAACACGTTGAACGATAAAGAAGTTTGGCGAATGGCGCCCCAGAACTGCTTGTATTATTGGATTGAATTGGGGCCGGCGTTATTACAATTTCAGTATTCAGTCAATAGGTTTTGTAGAAATTTGCGGATTGATGAGACTGTAGAGTTATGAGGTTCTACAGGTCTTATTTCTGCTCATTGGGCTGTCTTGTCAATCTATTCCGTAGCTAACTCTCGACACAGTAGTAACGCACACATAAACACATCCAACTTGTATGAAAGAACTTGTAATGAAAGTATATGTACAGTATATATACAAGTCACAGTCCAGTAAAATTCCACAATCAGGTAAAAGCTCCACAGTAGATAAATAACAGTGTAACACAGTAAATATTATCTCTATGATGTTTGTATGAGCAGTGTGTCCACGGTAGTGTATACGTGAGTATGGTGGTTACAATATATTTGTGTCTCCAGCCCAACAACAGTACTTGAATTTAGCTACAAGACACAAAAACAAAGAAATAGTATAATTAGCCTCAAATATACAACTCAATCAGAACCTAAATTCCAATTATCAAATAATCCTAAACTTCCCTAAATATCTTAAGCAAGCCTCAATTAACAGAATTAAAACCCTACAATTTGAAAATCAATGCCGCAGAGTAATCGCAGCTTCTAACAAAGATACTCATGTGACCAAGCCTCATTGCACTGTCTCCGACACTAATAAATAGTACACCCAGTATGATACAATAAGAACAACAAGGGCATGAATACAAATCAGCTGATATAAGAGAGTATTGCACCATCATTGCCAAAATTTTCTTTCGGTCAGGAGCTCTTAATAAACAAACAAATAAATAAACGAGAGCAAGTCTAAACGTGATTATCGGGACCAGAATAACTAAAATTAATGGGTTAATTCACTAAAGTAAAATTTCTGCATGTAACAGAGACATTGAAATAACATGGTTGGTGGATAGCCACTCATGACCTACAGTGTTACACAATGGTTGAGCGGTGAACGTGTATTTTGAACCCTATTTTCCAAACATACATGCCATCTCTCATACCTTTCAGATTGCGCAGCATCCTCGATTCACAAAAAATAACCTGCAATTAGATAATGGAATAATTCATTATTTGTGTTCCGAATGTATCAGCCATTTGCGCAGACTCCGACCACAGTTACCCATAAGTCTGTAGTTACACGTGTTTTCTGTTGCGACCTTGCCGGCGAACGTCCATATAGGTCAGTGGCGTGTTCAGCCCAGACATTCATATCTTCAGTGGTTCGTGTCGTCTTTGCCTGGGACATATAAAGGTAATCGAATGTATTAATGTACACTTGGTATTAATGTACACTTGGTATACTGTAAAAAATATCTTCACGTTGATTTCTTGTGTTAGTCTGGCAAATTCCGCAAAGTAATATCGTCCGCATTTACCATTTTAGGTTCTCGAAGTTGGAAAAGAGATAATCGATCTGCAGGGTGGATACGTGAACTTCGGGCCGAAATGCGACGAGAAACATGAAGAATGTACCCACAAGATGAGTAAACACTATATTCATGCAATACGATTTATTTTTTTTAGTAATAGGCAGTGAAAGTTTTTTATATTTTCCGTGGTGGTGTGTAGGATGAAATATCATATATTACTGATATTACGGGTTGTATATATATATATATCGTTTATTGCCGTTACTGATTGCACTGATTATAACTCCTTGATACTGATCCCCCCTTTTTCACTGACCTTCAAGCCACAATAGCGTGCAGGGACCGTACTGGGGTCCTATTAATATACTTCCTTCCTTTCTTTATAAACGTCGTAGTACGATGTGCTATATATACTTCTTTAGCTCTTTGTGTACAGTATCACAGTTTTAAGTTCTTGAGATATTTACTAACACTCTTGATGTTGTCGCATCATCTGTTCAGCCGGTATAATTAGGGTTGACACCACAGGCTCCGCAGCTGGGTTTTTCACTATTCTGATTTAGGGTGCGGATGGAAGCTGAATTAATGTGGTGATAATAATTTGGGGGGGGGGGGGGTATATATACTACCCGACAATCGAAGGTGGCCCAATGATACCAGCATAAGTTACCCCTGAGATTTTATAAAAGGCGATGTAGATATGAGTTGGGAGGTGGGAGGCTGTAGTGTCAAGCAATAAATCGCAAAATATGGAAATAAATGATTAAACTTAACAAACAATAGTGAGACATCGAGACGGACGGAAATAATTAATGAATGAGATGAAATGAGGGAAAACTAGAATCGAATGAAAGTGATTAATAAAGTATATACGATATAATTACTACGCATGCGTTTACATACCTTTAAATATTATAAGCAACAATTGTATATATATATAATAAAATGTAAATGTAGTGAATATGAGCTATTATGTACGCAGTATAAATATGAATATAACAGCAAAATGAAAAAAAAAATGATTAGCAAACAATTATACATCATTACAGAAGAAAATAAAAGTGCTATATATTATAGGTATTCTGAGTGTACGTACGGAATATGCGGTGTGCCTTGGTATAGCCGCTTCGGTTTTGGCATCTGTCATATATATTCTGGTATCATATGTGGTGAAGTGCGTTTTCTACTGGCGTCTCCTTGTCGTTTGTTCGTTGACGTATTTGACAACTTGTGTTTTAAAATAGGGAACAAACGCCAGATAACCTTAATAGTCACTACCGTTCCCCAAAAATTGGCGCCAGAGTATGCTTTCCCGTCTGAAAATACTTGAGCGATGCGTTCATTATTTTTCTCATCAGTGTATTTAACCAACGGTTGGTTTAGTTGCGAACAGACTATCGTAGTGTAAATGTGGAACAAGCCTTATGTTCATTTTTTCACATGCTATCTCTAGCAGAAGATCGCCGCTTGTAATCGCTGCCCTGTTTCCTCGTAATATTGCCTGAAGAACTGCGCCGGGGTATTGTCTTGCTAGGGTTCGATAATTGTTTGCCAAAGAATTTTTTAATTGGCACTCTAAATATTGCAAATCTACAGTTAATATTGCAAATCTACAGTTAATTTATTGAATACGTCTGCCACTGCGTCCGCGTTTCGTTCGGCTTAATTAGCAAGGGAGACGTCATCAGTCGGGTTGGAAAACATAGCGTTTAAGGATGTTAATTGTAATTTTGTGTGGTCGATAGCGTGCAGTTCTTTGCAGCAAAGAGTATTCCTGCGTTGGAGCAATACATTCTTTCGCAGTTGAAACATCTTTGTGTGAAGTCACCAAATGTCGACCACGAGTGCAGATTTATTCCGAGTGAGGCGATTTCAATTTCATACACCTTTTTATTTGAGTTGATATGAAAAGTTATTGGTGCTGTGGTAAATTTTGTCTTTGAACAATCTATTAGTGGAGAGGTTTCCCATACTATAGTCTGAGTACCAATAGTGCAAGATCCACGTTCAACGTCGCATGTATCCAAGGCGGGAACGGGTCCGGATAGTTTGTCATTGGCATGGTCAAAATATAAGCTAATTCGGGTAAGTAAAGCATTAGAAACTTTTTCTGTACTGGATGTGGGCCATGTATAAACGGGTTTTCTTCATTGGATGTCGTCCAAAGGTTCTTGCTCTGTTTTGTGAATTTTTTCATCCGACTATCCTGTTTTGTGGTTTTCCAATTGTAGCAAAGTAAATTACTGGGTGGTGAATTTGGTTTCTATATTATGAACTTTGGCTTCGAAGAAATAACTTGTGGTCTGCCAGATTGTGGTTGATTCCTGACAAACGTATGCAGTAATTCTTGTTCTAGCCTAGTTGTTGTATTTCAGCATTACATTGCGATACTGTTGTCCGAGGATGTTTTATGCACGGTTTAGTTGGTTCTATTGCGTATTCTTTAATAGGTTTGTCTGGGTAGCAAAGATGCATTTCTATAGTCTCTGTGTTGATGTATTTAATAGATGTCAAGAAGATGAACAAAGTCATAATGAAACATCTAATAGAAAACGAAGTCGCCGTATCTGTTAATTGAGGCTAATTTCTGCTCCAGAATCAACTAATAAATGTTTTTGCAATGATTTATCGTATACAAAGAATTGGCCTCGGGTTGATGTTAAGCCGGACACGTTTAACGGCGTTGGTATACGGCTGGTCCGTTTCCCCGAAAATTACATGACTGCGTACATCTATAAGCCCGATCATAAATCGAGCATGGTAACTGCAGATGCCATTATCCGGGAGTCTGGAGAAGTTAAGAAAAGAATCGGGGTCGTAGAGAATTCCCGGTCTCATTCTGCCTCCGCTGATAGCGACGATATTCGTGATTGTTAGGAAATCTGCGAGGTTGATACGGCAATAGTAGATTCGGGTTGGAGGGCATCGGATAATTGCTGATTTTATTCGGTCTACTGTAATTTCTACGACCATTTTGACGATTCTGTTGCGACTCGGCCTGTTCTAATTTCGTTGTCAAACTATTAATTTTATTTGTCAGATTTTGAATTGGAATTTCGAGCATTTTGTTTTTAATAACTTGATTAGTCGTCGGTTGATTCATATCGTTTGCAGGTTCCACCGATGACAATTTGATCAGCACGTTTTGCTACATTTTCGATGAAATCATTCAAATTGTTTGATAAAATTGTCCGAACATATGGTGACAGTTTTTCAATGAATGTTCTTTTAAGAATTAATAATTGGATCTTCGGTATTACCAAATAAAAATTTCATTTTTTAAGTAATTCCGTTGTTTTTTTGTCTCCTAAATTGCTGTTAAAATGCATTCAATCTGTTCTTGGGAAGGTGTGAACGTATCCAGAAGAGCTTCTTTCAATTGTGTGTATGGCCTTTCTGGATCTGCATTACAAATGTCTAAAGAAACCTGTTGTGTTTGTTCGTCACTTAGCGCTGTCATAACCTCATCGCAACGTTCTTTTTTTTCATTTTTGTCCAGAATGCTTTCGACCCGTTTACCCCACGTGTCGAAAGAATGTTCCCAAAAACTAGGAAGTCGAATGGTTGTTTGATGCCAGTGATTACGAACGGTGTTTGAAACATATGGGCTGGAGCGTATGGCTGAGAATGCTGATCGTTCGAATTTTGCCTGTGAAGAATTCTTTCAGTGTTCATGTGTAGGTAAAACTGTTTCAGGAACGGCATTGGTTTCCACAGGATTAACGCAGGGCGATGAATATACCTGGGGAACCATTTCCGGACGATTATTATCTGTTGTTCCTTTAACGCGTTGAGACGTTTGCGGTTGTTCAGGAACTAACGCATTTCTCGCAGTATTATTTTTAATGTCGTTTGGAATGGGATACGGGTAATTATTATCGAATATTTCATCGAATGGACTGGGTTCTAGATAAAACGGGCTCTGAAATTGTTTTGCTAGCAATATATCTATTGCGTCCATCTCGGGGGTTGATAAAATGCACTTGTGGCAATTCTGGTTCACGTAACAAAAATCTATTACGTTGCCTTTTTGAAGGAGTGAGAATATTAAAAGAAAATTTGTTCATATTTATGGCTAATAGTTAATAATATATACAAATAAAAATAAACGAAAGGGTCAAAGAAAAATAATGATTGAATTAGACGTACCGGTTATTGAACAGTTCTATACGCATATATATATATTCTTCTTGCTGTTGTCTTTGTATTATTCGTATCCAAAAATTACTGCTTCTTTAATTAATGTTCTTAGGCTGTTACTTGGATCTGTTTAATTCTTTTCAGAAACAATTGATGATAACGCTCAATTTCTTTTTTTTTTATCTATTACCGAATAATCTTGTTCGCTATTTAAGTAGTTACTCCATTCAAAAATTGTCAATCAATATCATGCGATCTAACTCCAATCCGATAGCGGTTCATTTTGTCTGGGGTCACCAAATGCAGGGACCGTACTGGGGTCCTAATAATATACTTCCTTCCTTTCTTTATAAACGTCGTAGTACGGTGTATATACTTCTTTAGCTCTTTGTGTACAGTATCACAGTTTTAAGTTCTTGAGATATTTATTAATAGTAGTCTCATACAAATCACACACAAAATAAACAATGTCTTCTCTCATTCCTTTCTTTCTTCTAGTTCATCGGCTTATATATTCGACAGAACAGATGGTGCGTCATAAGTGTCAAATCGTTAACACTCTTGATGTTGTCGCATCATCTGTTCAGTCAGTATAATTAGGGTTGACACCACAGGCTTTGAAATGGCTTTTTTTATCGATCTAATTTATGAATTCAGAGAATTTCGTCAGTACTGATAATCAGCCTTTTCTATGCATTAAAAATGTTCGTCCAAATTACTAATCTTTCCCTATGAAATACTCCCTTCTTTTGGAATGGAATTCCGGGTTTTGAGACATAATTATCGTGCCTATACGTCCTAAAAAATTCACTATAAAACATTAAAAAAGGGAGAAAACACAATTGAAAAATATACACACTGAAATTCAAAAATATGGGACGAGAATATTTAAAAATGAGAGGGAAGTAGGATGAGAGTAAGAGTTAGAGATTAGAAAAAAATAGGCGTTTTAGTATTTTTTTTCAATTTAGGTTCGACAGATAAAACTGACCTTTCAATTCAATATACTTCGTCACACTGAATTACTGATCGCTCATATTTTTGAATAACCATAGTTGGGTGAAAATAGCGCTTTGTAAGTTCGTTTGTTGCGATATGTTGATAATGCCAGCTTCGGGCTTTGAAAAAAAATAAAAAAATAGCGCTTTGTTTGTTAAAAAAATTTGTCATATACTCGTTTTTTGACGAATATATTGATGAGCTCATTTATGCACCTTTTTAATGACGATGTTATAAACGCTTAAAAAGTGGCTCGTTTGAATCATCTTTTAAAAATAGTTCAGTGTTAATAATTTATCTAATCGGAATAGTTAGCATCCGTCAATGTTTAATTATTTTAAATCGCAAGTATTTTGAAATCGAATATTCACCTTCATTGCATAATCAATTGGCCATAAGATTAGTTGCAATTTGAGTTAACACACAAAGTCTGTTTTTTGGAGCTATTCATAAAAAATTAAGATCCTAATTAGTATCGCCAAAGAAGCTAAAGAAAGACTATAGAACAGAAGAAGTACAACGAATGTCTCAGAAGGAAAAAAGTAGTATGCAACTAAATCAAACTAACTAATGGATAATAATTTTACGTTCATCGATTTTTGGTCATTCATTCTTGCTTTGTTGTTTGTAACAATAGGTAAAAACACGCATTTCAGCCTTGTCTTTTATAAAGATTTTTCGTAGTTTTACGTTGTCAGTTTAATTTAGTTTGATACAATTTTCCCCTTGTATTTTTGATATCAAATAAAAGTTCATATCGTTCATTGTGTGGAGTTTGTCTTTATCCGTCGTCTGATTCTTTTCCTGTCCGTACCTTTGTTCTACCATGCTCTAATTATCGCCATTGTAGTGCCATCGTTTGTGCTGATTTTGATTTCTTTGATATGCGCTGTTGCTTGCTGATCTGACTGCCCCGAGGAGGTTGCATCCAATAATCGGGTGTCACCATTTTATTTAGGATAGGTGTCCTAAATATAACTTGAGTCGGCGTACGAGATCTTTCGTAGCTCTTTAATCGGAGCACGGGCTCTTGTCTTCTAGACTTGCACAAATTATTCGTCACCTCGTTGTTCGGTTGTGTATGCGCTCACCCTCAGCAGACAATAAATGATAGCAGACAAACGCCAATTCCTCTTTCGTTTATTGAACAGTATACACGTCAAGGTCGTATGTACAAGACTGGATGATACTACAGAGAAAGCGACCCTTATACAGAAAACCAATGGTAATCATGTCTCTCCCATGATTGTAACAATCAGAATTTTAAAGAATACTATGAGGATTTGATCTATAAATCTATATTCCGGGGATTAGAATGGTGCTATCGATTCCATTAGCCTTATTAATTGGAGTTTTGAATACTAATTACCACCTGGACGTTATTGATCCAGTTATTTTTTCGTTTCCATATGTTGCCTAATCTAAAATGGGATCTAATTTATGAATTCGGAGAATTTCGTCAATACTAATAATCCCTTTTCTATGCATTTAAAAATGTTCGTCCAAATTATTGATCTTTCCCTATACAGTCTTAGTTTTCTGTCCCCCCGTTAAGCGGCGATTCGCCAACTTATATATTCGACGGCACAGATGGGCCCTCAAAGTGTCACGACGTTAACACTCATTTTGTTGTTGCCCCATCTGTTTAGTCGATTTAATCGAGGTGGACACTACAGGCTCCGCTGTCGCGGTTATCTCACGATTTAGTGAAGTTATATACTACACAACAATAGAGGTTGTCCCACATATAGTTAAGTTATCCCTGATATTTTATAAAGGGCGGTGTTGATGTGGAATGGGAGGAGAGAGATTAAAATTAGTAATCAGGACGCTAACAATGATGTATGGGGCAAAACATAATCAAATAAGGAGACAAAACTGAAATCATTGCTAAATAAAAATAAATGCGGAAAATGTTAGCAAGCTATAAATGAATTGTTAGGTAATATCCCAGCGACTTTATGTAATAATGATAAGTTTATTTCGACTCCATAATCAGCAATAGACGATAAAAAAATAGATAAAAACAAAAAGTAAAAGTAACTGATTATAGAATCGGGAAAGCGAACAAAACCTAGAGTAAGGTTTGAAACGTACAAATTTTAGATGGAAAGTTATTGATAAAAGAAGTAGTACGTGTTCGCTCACCCAAAAGTAAAAAAAAAAACTAATAAAGGCACGCACACACACACACACACAATCATCGAGACATGATACAGTCGGAAGCGAAAAAAGTGAGACTTAAAAGTAAAAAGGAAGGAAAATATACAAACAAATAAAAAAAAAATGAATAAATTCTTTTGCCACACCAAATTAATAATTTTATGAGGATTGCCAAATTGGATACCGAATTAGTCAACAAAAGTAATGTATTGTGGATAGAAAAAGTATTCCTCAAAAGATATCGTCAAGCTGATTATAATTGGAGTCACCTAATGCCAAATTGCCGAATCAGAATTGCCAAGTTGGATGTATGAAGAGGTGGGCTAGACCTGCTTCACTCATCAAATAGAAGCCATAACAAGCCAAATAACGTCCAAATTATTTTAAATACTATTAATCAATAACAGTACCGGTAATCATAATTAAAATTAATTAGGGCGGTATGATACAGAGGTAGGAAAATTGGTTAAGGGAATATATATGGTGTTTAAGGTTCAAGTAAGGTTTCTAGGGTCATGGATTATAGGCAAGTAACTTTAATTGAGGTTGTTGATCACTGCGGTCAGTTCAAATTCATCACGGATGATTCATCAGTCTGCAAGTTTTGTTGATGTATACACCTTTCATGTTGACATTGATAGCATTTAAATTGATCATCATGACGTACTGAAACGAAAAATATATCTGCGAGTACAATATTCAATGATTGCAAATAAGGAATCAATAGAAAACTACCCTACACCTTTTGAGTGGAAGTTGTTGAATTGTGTAAATATTGATTAATATTAATTAAATATCATTAGACTGCTAGTTGAAAGACCTGAGAAAGAAAGATTGTGGTTGGGACACAAGAGAAATTGTTCACAAACCATGCAAAAACCTTTCGATGTCGGTCAAACCACACACATGTATGCCATTATCTTAGTCATTAACATCACACTAACCCTTACACATTTGCATGCTATACACAGCATAAATTCGACCAATGATAAAAACTTTGTACACACGCAGGACACAGCATATAGTACTACAGCAAGTTAAAATGTAGGGGAGAATCCAAATATACCTCGACTGGTCACCTAATTGCAATATTAGGTACAGGAGTTAAATTATACCGTCTACAACCCTCACAAAGAATCACACCACCCAAACAGAAAAAAAAGTTCACGCATGTGGAATATCAGAAACCCAACATTGAGCAAAAGAGGAAACATGCGCATGCAGATATCAGAATGTGAACAGCGAACAGCCATATTAAGGAGAATCTTATGCTATAGAACAAAAGAAATGGCCAACTAGAATGCAAAACAGATGAAGAGAGCTCAACTGCTTGTTCAAAAATAAATTAGCAATCTCGGAAACAATAACAACGTTATGAGTGTTCAACATTCTCATGAAAACAATAAGTATGTGCAAGTGCTGAGTGTCCCAACTTGTGTCATGGTCTTTCTTTTGAAATGGAAGCTAATTACATACGAAAAATATATAACAGTGTGATTCTAATAATAAATTTTAATATTTTGATACCAAGTAGGACTTGACTTTTTTCTGAAAAGATTTTTTGGATTTTAATGTCTTCAAATTCAAGGGGAGAGAATTCCACAGCTTGGGCCCAGTATAACATAAGGCATGTTGGCTCACAGATGTACTCATAAAAGGTATGAACAGGTTGGAACTACTTCTTCGATTGGAAGTAATTTTAGTTAGTGTGTCGTCGAAGCAGTTTGGCAAGGAATTGCTATGGAAATCATGGACTAATGATAATACTTCAAATTTCATTACATCTTCAACTTTGAGTATATTTAGCTTTTTTATAGAAATGGTTTACACTTTCACGTTTACCTTTCCTAAAAAGAATTCTTAAGGAATTATTACAAATACTTTGCAATTTTGAGACAAGTGTTTTATTACCATGGAGCCAGACTGAGCAACAATATCGGATATGGCTGAGTAGTAATGATTGAAACATTGCTAGTAAAGCTGATTGATTAACACACTGGGATACTTTGGCAGTAACTGCCAAGTTTCTTTTTGTTTTACTAATGACATGCAATATGTGTGATTTCCAAGACAGATTTTCATCGAAGATAACTCCTAGAAATTGTATTTCTTTCACTCTTTCAATTTCATTGCCATTGAGCAGCAGTGGTTTTGTACAACTCACACTTTTATGCTTGCTTGGATGGAATAATACAAATTTAGTCTTGTTAGCATTAAGAGATAATTTATTAACTAACATCCAGCTATGAATGTTGGCTAGTTCGTAGTTTGCAACTGTGAACAGATCATCAAGGTTTTCCCCATGAAGAATCAAGTCAGTGTCATCAGCAAACATGATTGACTCAGAGGATTCCAGACACCTGGACATATCTGGACCAAGTAAAGATCCTTGAGGAACTCCGTGCTTCATGACACAAATATTTGTAGAGAATGAATTGTCATATTGCACAATTTGTTTTCTGTCTTGCAGGTAGCTCCTGATCCAATTGAATGGGACGCCTCTAATTCCATAGTGATAGAGCTTACTTAAAAGGATGGAATGGTCAATGGTGTCAGAAGCTTTTGAAATATCAAGGAATATTCCAATTGCATGTTGTTTGCCTTCAAAAGCCTCGGTTAGTTTGTGTACCAAAACATTAGCAGCCATAGCAGTTGAGTGTTGCTTGCGGAAACCGAATTGATGCGAGTGGAAAACATTGTTGGTTTCAAAGTAGTTCGACAATCCTAGAAAACGACGGTAGAAGACTAATATAGGTCTATAGTTCCCAAGATCTGAGACACTACCCTTTTTAAAGAGAGGAAGAACTTTAGATGTCTTGAAACTTTCAATGAATAATCCAGTAGATAGTGAGAGATTGAATATGTATGCCAGAATATCAGTGATGTGTTCTGGAATATATTTCAATATTTTGAATGGTATACCATCGATTCCAAAACTTGAACTTGGGCTTCATTTCGCGTATGATATTTTTTATTTCTAATGCTGTAGTAGGCCTTAAAAACATGGATGACGATTCTTGCTTCCCAAGATTTGAAATGTAATTTTTGTCACAGCTAGCTGGTTGTGGCATATTGTCGAGCAATCTTTGTGCCACTTGGGAAAAGTGTTCATTAAATTTATTTGCAATTTGTGTATTACTGCATTCAAGTCCAATCAAAGGACATGAATTGTTTTTATTTTTACCGATTAGTTCATTAATTGTTTTCCATACTGCCTTAATGTTACCTTTGTGAGAGGCAAATTTGGACATATAATAACTTGATTTCTTTTTATGGAGAAGTCGAGCATAAAGATTCCTGCATTCATTATAATGTGACTTGTGTTTGTCATCTATGTTTTTATTAGGCTTCCCGCTGCTTGTCAGCAGGGAACCTATTGTATTCCTGTGTTTTATTATTATTATTATTTATTTATTTATTTTTATTTTTTCAAATTGGTCCTACAAACTTGAAATTCACCTCAAATGTGCAGAAGTTCTCAGCTAGCAATAAAATGCAAATTTTATGCATGACTGACCACGCTTTCCCGCTCCAGTGAGCAAAACGCGTCTTCAGTTTTATTGCGATTTCTCAAAATTGATACATGCTATTGGGTTGAAATTCATAACAATGATTAATGGACATGTTCCGGATACGATATGTCAAGGATACGCATGAGTGACCTCGGCGATACGCTCCAGTGAGCAATATAGGATTTTACATTTTCATCTTCTTCTCGAGAACGACACTACTTAAAATTTACATCACATGCAGATAATAAGTCCCCCATCATAAATTGCAAATTTGCAATTGCAATTGCGTGGGCATGACTGACCACGCTGTCACGCTCCAGTGAGCAAAACGCGTCTTCAATTTTTTTTACGCGGGAAGCCTGTTAAAGCTGCCCGCAGCTCTAGTTGTTTATTAATTTCTTATAAAGTTTTTGTTTGTCTCTGTTGAGTTTGCGTAACTCAGTATCATACCAAAGTTTGTTTAATCTGTTTGTTTGTGTTCTGTAAGGAAAAGACTGAGAGTAAACAGTAGAGAATTTATCAAAACATTTTTCAAAGCATATGTTTGGATCCTGTGTGCTGTTGAAGTCTTCAATATCAATGGAATTCAATTCAATTCATTTATAAAAGTATTCAAGTTGGACGAAGTAAATTGGCGACGAAGTGTTTCAATTCTGTTTTGGATTTGCTTTTCTAGGAGAGAGCATTGTACAATTGGCAAATGATCAGAAATACATTCTGCTAAAACAGCACTGTTAATTTTTTTTATCATATACGTTTGTCCAGATGTGGTCTATACAGGTAGCAGAACTTGAAGTTATCCTGGTGGGACAGTTTATCAGAGAATAATAGGCCAGACTGTGCATAATATCAACAAATAGGCTGGTATTCATATTGGACTCATCAATAAGTTTATAGTTGAAATCACCCATTATATAATTATAATTCGACCTGTTCATCTTTGAGAGAACTTGGGACAAAAGATGTCTAAAGTTAGCATTGTTCAATTCATCAGTTAGTGGTGATCTATATATAGTACCGCAGGTTATTGTTTTATTTTCTAATGATATGTCAATAAATATGGATTCAAAAACCTTCTCGCATATGATAGTGAGATCCTTACGGACAATGTATTTCAGGTCATTTCGAATGTACAGACCAACACCAACACCTCGGTGATGAGATCTACTATTAGAGATGAAAACATATCCATCCAATGCATTGAAGTGGCCATTTGTATCAGATACAATCCGTGTTTCATTTATAGCAATTACATGTGGCTTACAATTCAGTGAATTTACTAGTGCTTCAAATTTTGTGTAGTTTTTGAAGGAGGCTAAAGATCGGATAATGATTGAAAGAGTCCTGAAGCCACTTAGTTTTAGACTATCATTGAATTTAAGGTCA